ATATAAATAAATTTTGTTTTATGGAATGGATTGTTTTGAATTTACCACCATAATAATTTTCACTCTTCTCTTATAGTTAATGAACAAATTGTAAAATTTATATTCGATTTGCCCCAACAAACGATTCAACTTTGATACAAGTTTTGATGAGTACACATTTTAAGATTTGAGGCCACATCCACTCTAAAGAGTAGTAGGAAATCACAAATATTTCTCTAGATAATTAAATATACATGTTCAAAAAATTAAAAACTTTATTCAAATTTAATAACATTTATAGTTTTATACTCATACATGGTATGGTATTTCTCAAAGCAATCGCCTATATGCAAGGCAGGTTTAGCCGCACACGTATTACAATAATATAATGATTCTCGTCTTCCACCTTTAATTTTTCTGTTGGAACATACCACACAGTCTTTACTTTTTCCTTCGTCATTTCGACGAATGAGATGTAAAAGTCCGTTCAGCCTTTCTGCCGTCCCGGAAGTCGATGGTTTGTTAATACTTCCGTCACGAAAATCTTCAACTAGTTGGTCTACCAGTCGACGTACGAATTTCAAGTGTGCCATTGGTTTCTTATCTTCTCTTTGCTGGGTTACTTTATATAAGATGTACGAATTTATTGCGCATATCTCCAATCCCCAAAAGAATAATTTTCGCCACCATTTTTGGGACTTTCGCATGAAGCAATATGTACTGACACAGTGGTCTGCTTTATCCACTCCATCCATGTATTTATTATGATTTATGACTACATTTGGCTGATTTATATTGACAATTTCTCCTTCTTGTGTTCTTCTATTGAAGGTTTTTCTAGTTGACGTTCCACAGGTACCGAGCTTCGTAACGTAACGTAACCGATCAGTGTAGATATGGTATCCTGCAGCTTCAGGATTCGATTGCAAGAAGTTTTCATAAAGCTGTAAAATGATTCTTCTACTTATTGGAAGGTCAGGTCTGACTAGTATTTCTGTAGTGAGACTGCCAAAATATGGCAAAATGCTCTGTATATAACCGACATTTGCATCTAGAAGAACGTACATTCGGATACCGCACTTCGTCGGTTTCTTTGGATTATACTTGATGAACGTCATTCTTCCATTGTACTTAACTACAGCCTCGTCCACTGACAACTGTTTCCCGGACACAAAATTTTCTCTGCACTTATTGTCGATATATTCTAAATAATAACTAATTTTCTGTTTCCGTGATGTTGCGTGTCTTGCATTTCGATTAACTTGAAGCATCCAAAATATTTGCAGAAATCTGTCTCTTCTGAATACTTCAGCGAAATACGGGATCCTCGAGTTATTTTCTGTCGACCAATATTCTTTCAAATTTGAAAGTGTTATCGTTCCCATGTTCAATACTACGCCGAGAAATGCAGACATTTCTTTTGTAGTAACGTCAGTCCACTTAAGCCATATAGAATGTTTCGATAAATGTTTCTCCGCTATCTTTTCATTTGCGTAGCCATTTGTTTCCTCAACTAATTTATTGATCAATTCGTCGGTAAAGAATAACTTGAAGAAGTCGATAGGCTCTGCACAGTTTGTACTTATCTGTGGACCAGGCATTCTCGATCCTGACGTAAAATCTATATTTCGCGTGTTTTCATCTTGAATTATAAGGTTTCTCCACACATTATCTATGTCTACATTCTCATTTTTCACTCTCACCTCATCCAACTCAACCTTCACCTCTCTATATTCTCCATCATTCGATATATTTCCACTGTTTGAAATATATTCATCATCATCTATTGTATCTGATTCTAAATAAAACTCATCATCACTGCTATCACTATCATCACAAATGTCATCTCTAGATCTTTTAGGCATTGTATTTAATATATATCTTATTTATTCAACCAATGTCTTAGTCTTATTTTGATATATCAAAAAAGTACGAAAGTATTAATCTAACTAATCGAGAAAAGAAAAGTATCTTCTGATGAGTTGCATATGTTTATGCATTAGATAATATGCACATCATAAAAATCTGAGTTTCTTTCGTAGAAAATCTTATATAATTCTTTCAACGATACAATCGTTTATGCGAATTGATGCCGGCACATACTCGCTAACGGCTGATATATATATATATTATACTATATAATGAATAAACAGATTATATTTAGGTTATGATGGTTTGTTTTGGTTTAAGCTTTTGAGGCAGAGCAATAGAGGCGCCACATGAATCTACAACCTTATGCCCTTTGATGTATGACAGTCAGAATCAGTCAGAATAATATTCAAAATACCGTTCAGCTGATTAGGCTGTGTCATTTGATGCGCGCTAGAAACTTATCAATTAATTTATGTGTATAGAAATCAGTGCGTGATTGCAGCAGCGTGTAAAGGTTAACCACAATGACTATATTCTCGAAAGTACGTGGATTTCTGAGCAGAAATCGAAACAAATTCCTGGTCGGCGGTGCGGTAATCGGTGGTACGGTGCTACTCACCAAGTATGCTCAGCAGAAATTGAAGGACTGGCAGGAGAAGGAGACCAGGGAATTCCTGGAGAGGACAAGGAAGCAGCAGCACTTCGAGAGCACAGAGATCACATGCAATCAAACGATATTGAGTCTGATCATGACAATGAATGAAGCACTGTCAGAGTGTGTAAACACTGAGGAAATAATCGCTTCACTCAGAGATAACCCGGACAACAAACTGGAACTTTGGGAGAAATTAAAAGTGAGTTTAAAAACAGCACATCTACTACTATTATCTTATCTTAACTGTTTTAATGCAATGCAAATGATTTTGATTTTAGGTGCTTGTTTTAACAAAAGCCAGTTGCTTGATTTATTTATCTGTGATGTTAGTGATTACATTGAGGATTCAGTTGAACGTATTGGGTGGTTATTTATTCATTGACCCAATGTCCATTCCATCTGAGGTGCAACAGAAATATCTGCATCTCTGCCACAATCTACTCGATACTGGTTTGAACAATATCTCCAGCCTCATTAAAACAGAGTACATCAAAATACTTGGTCCTATGGAACTGAAGAAGCAGCTTAAACTGAAAGACTTTGAAAACATCTTCTGGGCAATACAGACTGCTATTGCTACACATGCGAAGAATCCAATTAATCATCTTAATTATTTAGTTGTGGAAGATGGATTATACGATCCTCATGAGAGTGTTTTAAATGATATGGTAATAATAGAGGAATTCATTAAATTCTTGATAATCATTTCGATATTTTTCTTTTCAGATGAAAGCCACAGCAGATTTACTGGAAAGTGATGAAGTCAAAGCGTTGGCTGCACATTGCATAAATCGCGGATTCGTGCAGCTCTGCGACCAATTGGCAGATTACTATGGGAAGAATGATAGGATAAAGGAGGTTCCTGCAGATACCCCATTGAATGGGTTTGTGCATCCTGGAGATGTGCAAATGCCATTGGCCAAATTGATACCCATAATTAATGGTTTGACATCGAAAGGTTCAATGCCTGATAAGTTAATTCAGCAATTAATTTCAAATGATAAATTGAAAACTTTTGGAGAGAATATTTATGAATGTTTCAGTCATAGCAAGTGAGTTAGCTAGCATTTATTTTTAATTTATGGGGTGAGATACTAATCTAGTTTGATTAAGATTCATCAATTCTGTTGCTCACCCTAAAATATATTTAATATATATATAGCAATGTGTATTATATAAAGGAAAATCTTTTATATTTTTTTAAAAACAGGAATGGTATTTTTCTCTTGTTAATTTTAGATGAGATAAGTAGAAGGTGTCGTTGTTTTAATAAAAGTAATTGTTTTTTTTTTCTCTCGAAACAGTAGTATTTAATGACTTATTTTAAATAATCGTATAAACTCAAATAAGAAACATAAAAACCGTTCGAAATGTTAAATTCCGTAGGAATGTACTCGCCCATCTTACGAAGATGTTCCCCTATTGCTAGAAACATTGGTTTCGATACCGCCACATTTTGATTAATAGAATCATGTACCCAGTCGTCCTGCAATTCATCGTCGAATCTGTACAACACTTTGCAAACGTTTTTTTTCCCCTCTCCAACAATATGCACACTCAAGTTCTTCTCCAACACCCAAAGAAGCAAATAGTCGACTGTCGAATCATCCTTTTGCCAGTTGAGTGAGATCTTCAGAGAAGTCAACGGCAACTCGGCGAAGCATTCTTTAATTATAGCGAAGCAATCGCTCAGAGAGTCTGATGGTATTACGTTATCCTCATTTATTATATTCAGTGTGCTGAACCACAGTTTAGAAGTTTCTCTGTTAACGTAATCCCCCAACCATTCGTCACAATTGTTACAATACAAAATTTTGTTTCCCTTAATAGTTCCTTTAAATGAACTAGAGTTCACGTGAAAGAATGTTTTCGTATAGAAGAAATCCGTTGTGGATGGATTCAAATTGATATGAGTGTCTTCAGAGGCATGGCAATACCAATCATTGTGTTCAGAATGCATTGGCAAAGGCAAAATCCTTTTAAAGTTGCACTCGCCCAACGTTTTAAAACACTTTTTACAAAAAAAACGATACGGGACTTCTTTAATCAATTTACACTCATTCAATTTCACTTTCAAATTGGATAATTTGCTGGACAGTAATTCCGCTTTGAATCTTCGCATTGTACTTCTTTGCAGCATTGATCGGAATGAAATAAAGTTACGTTTTGCCACCAACGAACTCACTGCACTAACCAAGAACGAGTTATCGAGTTCAATGATTTCCTCTTCGTTATCAATCGTTATCTGCAGATAATCATCGTCAAACTTGAGTCTGCATTCTTGCGCTATGTCATTTTTAAGGATGATGAAAACGTTGACTGATTGCAGCCTAGGCCGAAATTCCATTAAAACACTCTGCAGCAACATCTTAATTTAAAATCCCCTTGCTTTTTAATATCTTGCAAAGGGTGCTGTTCTCCTGAACGACGAACGGCAGTGAGACTTTTTGATAGTAATCGGAGAGCAGCTCCAAATTGCTTATGACGTTTGAGAGTAGATGCGCTCTTTCAGTGTATATACCAGGAGCGTCGAATTGAAGGTAAGTGAAGTGCACATGCAGATGGTAAAATGAAGGCTGGTAATGTAAGTAAACGCGTAGTTGACTTGCTGGGATATTGTACTTTTCTTGGATTATGTTCTGAAAATTAAAGGGTAAATATTTTGACTATTCTGTGCTATCTTAGTTACCTGTCCAATGGTCTGGATATTCTTTAAGAGTGTCAAATGATCCTTGGATAAGTCTCTTAAGGACTTTATACCTCTTGTATGAACTAAAGCCAATATATGTAAAGTTTCAATAGTTTTACCATCCCATTTCATATCAGGCAGCAATACAAATCCATTACTTTCAGAATTATCTTCATAAATGATTCTTTCTACTTCCTTTTTGTGGTCAAGAATATTATATAGCCACTGTAATATTTTTTAAATTTAAGTAAAAAAAAATTGAACAATTAAAATAACTTACAGATAAATCAAACTGCTCTTCAATAATATGAGGTAAAATGATGTTCTTGTAAAGCTCTGGAGTTTCATCAACCATAAAACTTATGTTACCTGAATATTTGCTAATGTGCTTATCAGTGGCAGGATGAATTATTGTAGTCTTAATAGCTAAAACAATTGATATTGTCATTTAACATACACTCTTGTTTAACCCATAAACCTACGATTGTACTCTGGGAAGCATTCATAGTTTCCATAAATATCGTTTTGGAATATCTGCTTCAATTCGCTCTTCTCATTAAAGAATGCACCCTTCTCTTTCAGTTTTTCATCCTCAAAGGCAGTTTTCTCTAACAAAACAATTGCTGTGCCACTAAGACCATCAAAAGAGCCTTGCAAACATACCGACTTTCTGTTCGAATTGTTGTACAGGATTTTATCCAAAGAGAACGCCGAAAAGTTCTTCAGGTCTTTATGGACATTGGTTTCACCTTCCACCGATTCCTTCTCGATTTCAGTTTCAATTTTAGGTTTTTTACACACGGGCTCGGACTCGTTAGAGGACATGTTGCTCATGTTGCTGCTCTTCTTACTTTTAAACAAAAACAATGTAGCCAACGTTAGGAACACAATAAATGAAAATGCTAATTTCGATTTAAAAAATTAATATTTTATATATAGCACCATGGAAATACGCTAAACGAGATCAGGAACATCCAATTAGAATAAGCTTACATGATTATATAATTAATAGAATATATAAATAACTTTTGTAATAAAAGTTTTATAATTTAATATGAAAAAAAATAAATAAAAATAAATTCTTAAAAATTCTGAGCATTTGTTAAACAACAAACTAATACTTCAGGCATTTGCAACATCTTGGCTATCTGTTAAACAAACAGTAGGTTCTTGGGCTTGTTCCAAGTGTTCATCTCTGCTCATAGTAGGATTAATATCATTTGATTGTGTGCAATTCTGAGCTGAATTTTGATTACTCTCAGAAGTTCTTAATCCAGCAACTCCTAAATTTAAAATAAACAATAATCATCATTTAACAATAGATCATTATTCAAAATACCTTTTTTGTCAATAGAAGCCAAATCTCTTTTAATTTTCCTGCGTCTAGAAGGATCATTCCTCCTCAATTGGAGCATTGTCTCAAAGTCCATGACATAGAGGAAACCTGCTATAAGTAGTTCACAGGTCCTCTCCCCAGACTTGTAAGCTACTTCCAATTCCTTGCTTGTTCTCTCATCATATTGCCACCAACCTAGAAGGAATTAATATAATGCAAATATTTTACTTAGTAATAGTATTAGTAATACTTACCATTTCTTCCCTCATAATACCATTGATAACATCCCTCAAAAATGTCACTGTCACCTTCATTGACTTCACCCAACAAGTGTGGGTGTTTCACAAAGTTACGTGGAATCTCTTGTCTGCACATAGCACATTTCTTGCTCTGATTAGCAATGCCTTTGACACACAGAAAACAAAAGATGTGGCCGCAGGGCAGTTGCGCTGGGTGGACATAAGGTTGCAAGCAAACTGCACATTCTGAAACCTCTGTAATTCCATCAAATTAATTAATTGTCTTACATCACAACAAAATCATCTTACCTTTATCGTCCACAAAATTGTTGCTATCGGAACCAGCAGTAGCCATAGTAAATAATATAACTTAATAGAAACACAAACTTCGTGCAACAACAAAATTTTTAATTGAAAACAAAACTTTGACATTTAGTCACTTTTGTCATTTGAGGATTATTTATCAGTTGGCAAGAAAAAATATAGTTTTAAATTTTGTGTTTGATATTTAACTATGCAGATGGTGCTGTTTAGAGAAAAATATCTATTCAATTTAAAATTTCACTTATATGAAATTCTAATGTTACTTTAATGTCATATTGTTTAGTTATCAATGAGAATTTATATTTATAATTGTATTTTCATAAATTTGGTAAGTTCACTTTGACAATTCAGTAGTGGGAGAAAATTTAACCTACAATATAAAAGTACCGAAATAATATACACTGCATTTAACTATGATTTAAGTTATTTAAAAGTTGAAAGAAACGTGTTGCTACTAAAGTTAAAAGTTTTGTATTTACTGCGAAATGGCATTGTTACTGGGGCGAAGGTTGCTCAATAATAAGACTTTACTGAAAACTCAACGAAGACATGGATATATTGTGCTGTAAGTAAAATATTCTTAAGCTTAGATTTCTTTGCTAAAATAAATAATATTGCAGTGTGCCAGAAATAGGAGAAGACTTGCCAGACAAAAATCCTCTGGTGCAGGAAGATGGGTTACCACAATTTAATAAGGTCACAATAGAGAATTGCATGGCTGCAATTGGTCGACAAACATTAGATTTTGAGAATGATGTTAAGAATATTGAGAAAACCTTAGAGGATGGACCAGAGAAGGCTGATTTCTTTAAAGATATTATTGATCCTTTGGAGAAGATGGGGACAAGTTTGGATATGACCTGGGGTTTGTCGAAAACTTTATACTTGGGAAATAGTTCATTGATGCCAACAAAATCTTACCTTGCAATACATGATAGGGCTAAAAAGGCCAGAGCAACCAAATATAATAGTCCATTGATATACAGGGCTGCACAAAGCAATGTTAAGAAAGTGGAAGTTGGGAGTGAGGAGGAGAGGGTTGTGAGGAAGTTTGCACTTGAGGGAAAGCTTAATGGCATGAATTTGGATGGGGCTTACAGGGCTCAACTAGATTTGAATTTGAATAAAATGCTCATCGAGAGGCAGAAATTTAAAGTTAAAATTGACGCGATGACGAAAAAGTTTAATCACAGGGTTTCTGATTATGATTTCTACAAGGAATTGCCGAAGAGTCTGACGGATGCGATGCCCGGTGGTGCTCTCACGCTTAATCCTCACGTGGTGAACGGTTTCATGGAATACTGCCCGGAGCGCGAATGGAGATGGAACGTGTGGCAAGCTTTGGTCAGCAGAGGCTCCGGATATGGTGATAAGGAATTCGAGACGAGTACGCATATGGAGGAAATCAGGTACTTGAGGAGAGATCAGGCGAAGATCTTGGGTTTCAAGAATTACGCAGAGATCTCGATGGAAACTAAAATGGCAGGCAGCGTGAATAATGTTATGGATACCTTCGAGGCTCTGCTGAAGCAGGCCAAGGTAGCACAGGACAGGGAATTGGAGGAGATGCACGCGTTTGCTCTGAACAGAGGTTTCGAGGGGAGCAGGATCGAGTTGTGGGACTTTCAGTATTGGAGACGAAAGCAGTGCCGCAGTCTCTTCGAGTACGACGAGGAGAAGTTGAAGGAATATTTCCCGATGCCTAAGGTGTTGGACGGTTTGTTCGATCTTTGCGAGAATTTGTTTAACATCACAATCAAGCAACGACAGAACGTTCCTACATGGCACAAAGATGTTAAATACTATGATGTGTTCGAGACGCATAGTTCCGCCCCTGTTGCCGGTTTTTATTTCGATCCGTACGCACGTTCCGACGAGAAGATGCTCGGTGTACAGACCAACGGTTGGATGGTTGGTATTCAGAATCACAGCAGGATAGCCGAAACTAAGCCTCTCACCGCTCTGGTATTCAATTTCGAAGCACCCACAACCGAAGTACCTTCACTGCTGAGCATGAAGGACCTACAAGTGCTCTTCCACAAGTTCGGTCAAGCTTTGCAGCATCTGCTCAGTCGCACTACCTACTCAGAAGTGTCCGGTCTATCGAACGTCGAGTGGGATGCCGTCGACGTAAGCGGCCACTTCCTCTCCTCCTGGTTATACAATAAAGACACTTTGAGCAGGATCAGTTCGCATTACATGAGTGAGGACAAGCTGCCGGGACACACGCAGGATTCGTTGATCAAGGTGAGACAGCTCGGTGCGGGCACCGAACTATGCAAGGAACTTTACCTCTCCGCTCTCGATCTCGAGATCCATAGCAGCAAAGACTTTTGGTTGGACATCGTGAAGAGGCTGTGGCCGCAGTACCGCAGTTTTCCTCTCCTTAAGCACGACTCGCACGCGACCTCTTTCACGCAGATTTTTTACGAAGAATGGGCTGCAGCATATTACTCCCACACCTGGTCCAAAATGATTGCGGCCGATGTGTACAGTGCGTTCCACGAGGTCGAGGGTCAGGAGCAGGCGATCGCCGACGTCGGCAAGAGATTCAGAGACACGTTCCTGGCCTCAGGAGGCGGTTGCCATCCCAACCAAGTCTTTAGGAATTTCCGGGGTCGTGACCCCTCGCCAAAAGCACTGCTCGCAGCACTAGGCTTAAAGGATAAAACCAATTCCATCAAGGAAATTGAATGATTGTTTAGATTAATTATGTTCTAGTGATTGTAAATATTAATTATTAAAGTTTTCGAAATAAAACTTTTTTTTATTCGGATTTCCTTCAACTGAATTTTACAAGTTTTTCAAGAAGATTCTTGTCATCATATTATTGTATTTTTTTCTGATTATATACCAGTAAATAAAAACAAAATAAGAATGTATTTGGTTTATTTGCATCTTCATATAATATATATATATATAATATAATTTCCTATTATTATATATACAAAAGAAAAGAAAAACAGGTACGTATATAATATATATTCCTTTGATTAAATGAAAACAATGATTGATAAATAATGATCGAATAGAAAAAGCATCGAGAAGTGTCTGACTCTTATTTTCATTTTCGAAACGTAGAAAATAATCAACTTAAATATAACATATTTTGGCGTCTCACTTCGAGAAGAAATCACAATTCAAACTCGTATTTGAAAAAAAAAAGAACTGTAAACTTGTCTAACTGATATTTTAAGAATTATTACTATAACAAATATATAAATTGCTAATAAAATTATTACATAATCACTTTAAATCTTTAATTGTATAAGTCATTTAAAATAAATAAACAGAGAGAACAAAGAAATTAGTACTTGTCAAAATATTAATAACATCCAGAGATCACAGCTTCAATTTTTCAACACGAGTTTCAATCGTGATTACTTTCGAAACACAATAATAAATGTTTAATAAATAAAACATAGCCCCCCAATTGTACTGTACAATATTACGAGATGCGAGAATCGTTTGAACATGTGCGACGAGCGTATCGAATTCATCGCACATTGTTTTCAATCATTGGTGTGGTCGCATCTCTCCTATTTTCCGTTTCTGATGTTATCCGTAAACGAACACATAAAATTGACTAACGAGGAAAAACAAGTTGAATATTCCTATTTCTTTCTAGACTTTGTACGTTAGGAAACCTTTTACGCGGTAATAAAATATAAAATAAATTAAACAGAAAAAATATTAAATAATAATAATATATCAATTTAACACTATGTATATATATGTTTATGAGTATATAAGTATATATACTATATAACAAATACTTTTCTTCAATCAAAAGTTAATAAAGTATAATCAAATGATCATAAAATTTAATCTTTATGAATATGTTTCTTGACAGTGGTTTGTTATTTTGTTTTGTTGTTGTTCTCTTTGCTTTAGGGGAGTTTGTAGGAGGAGGTAAGGCTTACAGATATCTCGTAGAGTTGCCATGATTTCGCTGATTGTTTGTCTTTTAGCCCGGACTAGTAGAGGTGTGTGCATTCGTGTTGGACAGCCGCCGCCGGTCTTTCAATGCTCCGAGTGTTCCTGTTCCTCGTTGGCGACGGACCAGTAAAAGAATCTGCTGAAAGAGTTCAGGATCCAGGGGAATATGCCGCCGCCCCTGACCACCGTCTTGCACACGAATTTCACGTAATCAGTACGTTCTGCCGTTAAGGAAAAATAACAGCCAGAGCAGGAAGAGGAACGCGAACGGAACCAGAAATTGCTTAAAAGGATATACGAAGGTCCACGGGGGATGGCCGCCGTTTATGTAGAGCACGTACGTGAAGCCGTCCTTGCATCTCCCCTTGATCGAGTAATAGTATGGCAAGAAACAGTGCAGTTTGAATCTACAATAATACAACACATTTGCAATTAGTAAAAGTACTGAATAACCAGGCCCCAAGAAACAAAACAAGTTGGTTCAGATGCCGTAAAGTGTTTTTCTCAATCAGTGAAACGGCCTTCGCGAAACACTGAGTAATAGTAATTATCTAAAGGAAACATGAGATGCAGGTGCTCACTTTCGACTCTCGTAGAACATGATGGCTGCCGAGTTTGTAGTCAACACATGCAGGAATACAGCCTTGATGCGCTTCTTCTCGTTGGTTGTCAGATACTTAATCAGCGAATCCAGCAACAAAGAGGCGATCCCATTTCTTCGATACTCCTTGTCCACGCCCAACGATAGGATGTAACCGACGTCGCATGACTTGATGAACGACTTGGCCAGTATCCCTGTGTCCTCAGTATTCAGAGAGGCATAGGGTTTGATTTCGGCGACGATCAGTCCGATGATTACATGATTGTAGACGGCGGCCAGCGCGTAAAACCTACTGCAAATTTACACAAAATGTTTACTTTTCATTTCATCTGGTAATGCAGGACGCATCTCATTACGGGAGAAAACAAATACCAATTATACCTCTCCGTCATAAAAAAAAAACTCAATATGTTATCGTAGTCTATTTTACTTATTTGTTTTCTTTACAAAAAGCTATTTCAGTAGTCACTTTGAACAACGACCTATAGTGCAAAAGCAAATCTACATTTATGCATTTATTGGCATATTTTACTTGAATAAAGCATACATTCTCATAAAAATCCTACTAATTTGCATTAAAAAGCAGTTAAAAGTCTAAAGATTGCAAAAAAAAAAAATCAATAATTTTTAATTAGCTTCAACTTGAAAACACTCAATAATATTTGTGTAGACATATCAGTAATGAAATAATTGATTGCAATAACTTTATGGTTCTCTTGCTTCTATATTTACCAAATACTCATACGAAGTATTTTATATACAAACATAAAAGACTATTATATAATACAATTTTAAATTGTAGAAACAAAATTCAAAGCGGAGATTGAAAAATTGCTTAATAGCAATATTTTGTTACGTTTAATGCTCAACGAATCCAAATGAAATGCAAATATAAAAGTTGTAAATTCTTGACAATTTTAGAACATTATCCAACACGAAAACAAAAAGAGTTTTAAAATAGATCAACAAGCGACTTTGGTCGTTCAGCGATATTCAGTTCCTTTGTATCGTCTTTGATACAGATCAGCTTACACACAAGATGCTAATGAAAGATATGATTTCACAAACTACTTGACGTATATTAAAGTTTTCCCATTCACAAGTTATGCTAAATCATAATACATAGATAAGATAATGTGTGCATAAAAAATGATTATGCAAACAAATTTAGAATGTAAGCTGTTCCTGCTTTTCGAAATAGAAGCATACGTCCATCGATAATTACATTTCAGTTAAGTGAAATGAAGCCAATTTTAAGCTACAAATTAATAACGTGATTTTAGTAGCTGCAATAAATGCATCCGTTCATATTAATCTTCACGCACGACTTTGCGACATTAATTAAGTTTTCGATTAAATGATGCATATGTTTGCAACAATATCATAAACTCTTTAATAAGATCATTAATAAAACGCTTAAACTGTGATTACACAGATTGGTGCAATTATAATTGTAAATAGAAATAGACATTAATTGAAGTTAATACTAGGCATGTGTTTTCTTTTGATTCTTGACATCTTATTTACTACATCTTTATCAAAGTAATTTACTACAACTTCACTACAAAGCATATAAATTGCATTAGTAAAGGTACATGTTGATCTGTAAATGTAACCAGAAATAAACGAGAATTAATGTAAATAATAGCCATGTGTTTTCTACTGTTCAACATAATCACAACAGACCCAGAGTGGTTTATGGAGTAGACAGGCTTAGTCGAACCATTGAAATGTAGTTATTCTTGTTACACAAAACAGACAATTGGAATGGGACAAAGACTTAATGGAGTTTGCGCCGATTATATTTACATGCGGCATATTTAAGTTTACTATCGTTTATATTGACACAAATAAACTTCTGATTATTCAATTCGTTCTTGGAATTCCTTTATAAACACTGAATTATATATTAAAGCTATTACATAATTGGTTAAATCTACTGATATAATATTATTCTAATCTAAAACGAGTTGCGGTTTTACTATTTCATTTACTAATAAACACACTGTTTGAATTATAAGAAAATATTGGAAAAACCAAAGACTAAAAGCAAACTTCGGTGATTTGCTTTACAAATATTTAAGTTTGTATGTATAGTGACGTTATGTAATCAAGAAATAAATATACTTGGCCGAGAGCTGATAAACGGTTCAAATAAAACATGTTTTAGTTGAAATCCATTTGATTTTAAAAATATTAAATATTTATGCTTACAAATTAATATTAGCTTTAAACGTAATCTAATAAGACATTTAAATTTAGTTACTAAGTCTTCGCAACTGAAAGACACGAATTCCTCGGTATTTATAGGTTTCCTTAATGATACAATAAGATGTTAAAACGAATGAATCAGATGGTTATAATACAATAACAGTTTTTACTGTAATACAAGTCAGCAGAACAAATCTTCGTTTAATTGTAGACAGAAGACATATAAATCAATATTTACTTTGAAACGTGTCACTCTCCGAGAAGACAAGACATATAATGAATACGAATAGGAGTAATATGAAGGTATAACTTTTATAATGGTTAAAATTTCTCCGAACTCGTAGCGTCAAGATATTCTTTATGTTTTCTAATTTGAATTGAATTTATGCGAATGGATCATTTATGTTAATGGAGATAGTTTTTACACTCTAGTCTTTCAAAATATTACTGACAATTTGATAGAATGATTCAAATGTACGTTTTTTGTATTAGCTAAAAAATATATTTGTCATTTCAATATATCTTTTCATCCATAATTTCATTTTGATATTGTTAATTTGAATTCTACTATGCTCACATTTATTTTATTTATTACCATCATTATTACCGAAATGCTAATTGTAAATTTGATACAATATATGATTTTAATATAGTAGTTGTTCAAAGCTTGATTTTGTTGTTTTGGCTCGTTTTTGATAGATTTTTGTATTGGTACTGGTCATATTAGTGCATTCGTATCGGTTATTGGTAGAGTTCAAAATAATTAGCCCTTAATGAATATAAATGAAGTGGCCAATCGTAGAGGTTGATTGGAACGCAAGCTCCTCCCAGTAGGTGGGAGTTACCTGTCGCGATGAATGGCGAATGTCATCGGATAGGCGAAAAACGTGGGGTTTTGTACCTGGTGCTGGACGTGATTTCTTCGTACCACGAGAGCGGGTACTCTATGGGGAACCAATCCTGACAGAGTGCCCGCACCTCATCGAGATCGTTCGGACACAGGAACCGCAGCTGGACGTCGGCCAAGGAGTACAGAGGCACACGACCATTTCCGACAAAATGCTCGACGGAATCTCTGCCATTATTTTGATACCTGTAACAGACGAGGAAACGCACACACGGGTTCTTATCTAAACGTCGGTTACTATAATCGATATGTTTACTTGGTAACTTGAAGCCGGACTTTATAAATAGGCGGAGGAACATGACTGACAAATATTTAAACTCGAAGATACCCAAGGCATACTACGTACGCATCCAGATAGGACGAGAAGATAAGATTGGTTCAATTAGGGCCAATTTATTTTAAGTGCACTCATCGACTTGATATTATTATCATCATTTCGATGAAGCGAAGGAACGGATAGGGAAGGAACACGCCGTTGGTGACGTGTGACGGAAGAAACTTCGTGCGAAGAGCAACGAGGTCGGGGTGCAAAGGGTTTCACCACGGGAAACTCACCAGCTGAATCCGGCCATAGGTGTCGGGGCTCCTCCTACTTTGGGCTTTTCCGCAATTCGATCACAACTTTCTTGATAGAGTTAATTCAACTTTGCTGCTTATTTGTTTTTCTATTATTACTATACTATATCTCTCCCTCTTCTCTACTCTTTTGTTTGTTTGTTTTTATTTTACTCTTCTTATTATTCCTCCTCCTCACCTCTCTTCCTGGATCAACGACTTCCGAATTTTGGGATACTTGAGTGCTGGAGTTGTATCCTGCTTCTGTTCACAGCATCGCGAAGTGCTAGATCGTCCCGGCGCCCCGCGATTTCAAAATCAAAAACGCTGCACACGAAATCGCCGACGATCACGTTGTGTTGCACCCATTTGCCCCGTCGTCTACGCAACAACTAAACTCGATTCCATTCGGCCGACCATTCCATTGTTTTATCTATGCACATACACAAACAAATTATTTGTACATACACTATCTCCCCACTCACATAATCACTGCTGGTTTCCACTGGCCACCCCCGCAAGACTTATCAACCTTTATGACAGCTGTCAAAATAAATGTAAAATTGTGAGTTTCTCCTGGAAAATTCCATTTATCATCCCCAATCTCACACTTTTAGATTATAAAATCTTTGACAACATATTTTACCCAAAAGATTATCAATTAATCGTCCCGATCATCAAAACTTAAACATGCGGTTTTCGTGTCTTTCTATTGGGAACATTGCCATTGACTTTTCAAACTCGATTAAAAGATGTAACAAGTCGATTCAAAAAAGCTGCATTATTTTTAATAGCAACTACGAATATCATAGTGTATATATAGCAATATAGATCTGTTCCTATTCGATGGATTATATAAGAAATATCAATAAGAAAATATTAAAGTAATTAAATCTATTATTCGTACCAACTTAAATTCATAATTAACATTTTATAACTGTGCAAAAGTAATTAATAATCTATAATAATTACATTTTTAAATCAATAAATTAGGAACGTTGTGATCACTTAATCATAAATTAGAATATAAATTTAGCTTATTGCTTTTAGTGTTTGTTTTCATATTGGGAACATTGGAAATTGTGTTTGAGAGTGGGGGCAATCCATTTAAAGTAAATACCCAAACAATTAGTTTTAACCCAAATTCCAATTGGAATTTAAGGCCTCTTAACAGTTATAAACACTACGTTGAATTCGCTAAGAAAATCATGAAAGTTGTAACCTGCATAGCACCTGTGAACATAGCAGTGATTAAATATTGTAAGTAAACAAGTTTTTAAAATTACCTTTAATTAATTTATTACTAATCTTGTTTTCATTAAAAATATGTATCAACATGTATTCAAATTAAACAAGTTTTAAGAGTTTATTCAAAGGTAAGCTTTTTTCATAATGTTAGCAACAACAATTAATGTTAATAATAAAACAACAAATTGATGATCAAGATCAAGAAAATTGTATGCTGTTAGGAGTCTGGGTTGAAAGGTTAACTAGGCTTATTGTCAAACAAATGTAGTTTTTCTATGACAGATACATAATTCATAATGTATTTTTTTCAGGGGGCAAAAGAGATGAAGATCTTATACTGCCAATCAATGATTCAATCAGTGCCACATTGTCAATGGATCATGTAAGCTATTGCTAATGCCTTTTACATGTTTAGAGGTTTTATGATAATTTGAAATTTTTCTAATTTGTTTTTGTCTCTCAAAATAAGAAATGATTGAAAGTTGTTATTTATTTTAGATGTGTGCGAAAACGACGATTATGTGCAGTCCGGATTTCGAAGACAGTAAGTTCTGGTTAAACGGAGTCGAGCAAAGTCTGGAGAGCAAGCGGCTAGTTAACTGTTTACAAGAAAGTATGTCAATAGACGTTTGCATGTTGCTTTCCTTTAATTGACCTTTGTTCCGTGTTAGTTAAAAGATTGGCGAGCGCCGAACCAAGCAATGCAGAGATGTTGAGGTGGAATATCAGAATATGTTCTGAGAATAATTTCCCCACTGCAGCAGGTTTGGCTTCTTCGGCCGCCGGCTACGCCTGTCTGGTGACGGCTTTGGCTAATTTGTATGGAGTGAAGACGGACCTAAGCGCTTTGGCACGGAGAGGATCGGGAAGCGCCTGCAGGAGTATTTACGGAGGATGGGTAACATCTACAGTTTATTTACTTTGCTTTGTTTAACTTTTCTTTTTCGCGAAGGTTCAATGGCATATGGGTTGCAATCCGGATGGGTCCGATTCTATAGCCAGGGTGATCGAACCGTCCATCCATTGGCCCGAGATGAGAATATTGGTTCTTGTCGTGAACGATGCTAGGAAGAAGTACAGCTCGACCACCGGAATGAACCGAAGTGTCGCCACATCCGACTTGATCAAACATAGGGCTTGTAACGTTGTCCCGAAACGTGTGACAGAAATGAGGGAGGCCATCAAGACCAAGGATTTCAATAAGTTTGCTGAGATCACCATGAAAGACTCGAATCAGTTTCATGCAATCGCCTTGGACACGCATCCTCCATGCGTCTATATGAATGACACATCACATGCCATCAGCGATATGATCCACGCTTATAACGAGCACAAAGGAGTGAATAAGGTAGTTAAAACGCTCTAAATTAGGTTTTGACGTAAAAGATATATTAACTTACAAGTTGTTTCTTCAGGTCGCTTACACTTTCGACGCAGGTCCAAACGCCTGTCTGTATTTACTCGAATCCGAAGTAGCTGAAGTACTCTCGCTGATAAACGAGTGCTTTCCATCCACAGTAGCCAAATCCGATTATCTAAGAGGAATACCATTAAATATTGAGAAATCATCAGATGTAGCTAACGAATCCTATGCGTCTCATAAGTAACTCAGCATTGAATATTCTATATTTTTTTAGGACTTAAAATTCGCAATGAATCTGCAAGTGAATGAACCAAATCTACTGAAGTACATTATTTACACCAAAGTGGGTGAAGGAGCTCAAGTGCTTGATGGGGACCATTTGTTAACAATGGTTGGACTACCAAAGAACACAATTTAAAATTATTTTTATATGTGAAGGTGCAATGGTTTTAGATTGGAGAAAATGATGGGAAAATTGAGGTGCTTAAGAATTAACTTATATACATTTTTTAAATTATTATTATTAATCAATTTGTTTTAAATCAATCCTACACATCCATCTTTCCCTTCCTTTGCATCCTTCCAACTAAAGATTTAAGAGGACTTTGGTTTTGGGAGTTCTGCAAACACAGATATTAAATTAGAAAATTTATCTAAACAGTATTCATGAAAAATAAAAGACAAGATGCAATAAAACCAAACACCTTAAAGTATAAAAACCACTCAAGCAGTCAAACAACTTACGAAAGACAATTATTGTCGACCTATAAGTTGAGCAGAAGAAAGAAAAATATATATATATAATAAGTATATATATTCTAATAGTGAAGTGTTTCAGGTTACTCACTCTGTGATTTGCCATCGATCCATGGGGTAAACTTGATTTGGGAGGCTTCACGCTTCATGGCTTCAACTTTGAAATCTGGCTTCAGAGCTTGCCTCAACAGGCGAGCTGCGATGGTGGAATAGTTGATGTAGCTGATGAATAAAGTGTATATTAGTGAAACCTTATCTTCTGGTGATTATGTAAAATCAATTTTCTTCCCATAACCTAATTTTGGGATCGAATCATATTGCTTTAAGATGTTTGGAGGGACTTACTTAAGACCAGCGGCTCTCCAGGCAGTCATGATGATTGAGATTGTTGAAAATTTGGAATAGAAGTAAAAAGATCGAAGTGACCAAATCGAACCGTCTTTTGTTCCTGACAAATTCGTCCAATTGGAAAAATCTCAAAAGTTACATCACTATCCGCAGGTTCGACTCATGCGCCTCAACCATAAAATCCGAATTTATCGAAACTAGTTTAGAATTGCAAAAGAACATAATGATTTCTTTGGATTTGACGAATTCGGCTTATTTAGAAGGTAATTAGAGTAATTTATGAATTTTATTTAATAGTTTACTTTGCGTATATTGAGTTGCCTAAGTTTAGGAAATCTGTCACCTAAATCTGAATGAGGTCTATTTCAATAATTGTTTGCTCTTGTTTTCTGATTTCGTAATTAGGTTGTAAATCGTTGTGCAAACGAAACTTTCGTCTGCAAATATTATTTTTTTCGTCGTTGATTTATTGTGCACAATATAAGAATAGAGAGATGTAAATAATCATGGTAGCAATGGTCATAAATTGTTGGAGCGACGATGGAAGGAAGAAAGGGCCGCGTTCCAAATATTGGTTTAGTCGTGTTTATCGTTGTAGCAAATTGCGCAAATATGTTTGCCTCGGTGGCAAATACTCCCTAAGTCTGTATACTATAATTAGGTGAGCGCATTTGCGCTAATCAATTACTCCTCATGCAGCGCCGAAAGCGATCGCATCCAATTAGTTTCGTGCGATCGTTGTGCGACCGTCTTTATTCGTGCTTATTCATTCAATTATTTGTTTTGCTTTTCGTAGTCAAGTTATATCAGAGCGTGCGACGGGGGGCCAATAGATAAAGGATTTCCCCAGAGCGCGGAGGGACGATGGACGTCGGAGAACCGCTTGTTCTGCGCTCAGTATCGCAAGAGGAACGGAACTGAGCCGTTCTCGTATCATCCGTACATCCAAAAAATTGTTACTACAAGACGAAGAACCCCGGATTGCGTGCGGTTTTTTTGTATGTTGCTGAATGGGACGCGAGTGCTGCTCCCCGTGATCCATCAACTGAACGCTAGTTAATAACAATGAAGTTTGCCGAACATCTATCAGCGCACATCACTCCGGAATGGAGAAAGCAGTACATAAACTACGAGGTATTTTGTTTGTTTATGTGTTCGTTCTGTCCGACGAAAATAGCACTCGTTTCTGCACGACGCTGCAGCGCACCCCATACGCACTTCTTGGTTATGTGTGCTTTGTTGCGTATTTCGAGTAAGAAATGACTGACCATTGATGGCCTTAATCATATGATCGTTGTGGCGGGAAATACGATTTGATCAACAAGTGCATATAAGGTTCAACAAACCCCTACATCGAGGACTTCCTAGAATACAGTCTAAATCAAATAGATCAAATCAAAGTTATATCAATAACTTAAATGCATGCTAAATTTGATATATATATACTAATTCTGTTGCAATATTTTTCCTTTTAATTATATACAAAATACGTTGCGTAATAATGTTATTGATTGGAGTAGTTTCCTCAGAATGTTTCTATTTCAAAGTAATGTTTATAGATTATTTATCAAATTTCGAATAACACATTTTTACATAAACCTAAGTAATTTTGTATTTTGGTGACGTCAGGACATCACAATTTAAAAGAGTAACAAGTATTATGTGAACTACCTAACAACAGTTACTAATATGTTATTTCTCATTTGCGTTTACTTCGTATTATAGAAATAGATTTAATCCGAATTACATTTCTGTTGCATTTTCTACAACTTATATTATTGTATGAAAAACTAAATTAGAAGGATTGCGAAAATATTTAACTTTTACATTTATATAAATATTCATTCAACATATATTTTAAGTAAATATTGATAAAACGCACTGCTAAAAAGAACGATGGACAATTTCGTCGGAATCTTAAAAATTACCTACATTTCTAGTGTTTTTATTTAAGTATTTTTCAATGCCAATTCAGTAAAAATAATTAATTATTTAGCATGGCGGTTTTTAATATTGCAGCACTTGCAACAAAGTCAAACAATTATAGAATTTAGCACTAATTATGAAAACTATGCAAGTTCAAATTTGCATATTCAGCGGTCATTCGTAATTTTGTGAAAATTAACGAAATTATTCGTTAATTTTTAGTAGTTTAATTTTATGTTTTAAATAAAACCAAATTGATAAAGTTAAAATATTTTAATAATTTCTCATATTAAAATAATACGTTTAAGAATTCTATCAAATTAGTATATACATCTTTTATTTCCTCGAGTGAATTCAATTATTCAAATGCACTGAATACCAGATGTATTTCTATTTTGTTTTTCTTTCTTTTTACGCATCTCCACGCCAATCTACATTTCTCAAGGCTTCCAGCACTTAATGAATCCATTATACCCGTGAAAAGTACGCTCGAATTGCTCCCCTAGCAAGTAATCATTTTTGATCAGATTTTGTACGTTCGCTATGTTTTTCTTCATTCCTTCAATGTTTTTTTTTTCTCTCACGGTATGGACATGATGAAGTAATTTAATGCAGTGACGACAGCAGGTGTTCGTTCATGTGATTTTATCTGTGTTTGGCAAAGGCTTGGGTGTTAATGGGATTAACGATTAACTCTTGCCTCTCTAATGGGAATAATGCGAGGGGACATTTTATTTATTTTTTATATTGTCTGTTTCTGCCAGATTCCTGTGAAATTTGTAAATGATGATAATGATGATGAGAAAAGAGAAAGAAGAAACAAATAAATAGAGTAAATTTCATGACGTCTGCGGTCTAGAATAAATAGGTACGAATAATAGAAAAAATGTATTATGAAGTTGGCAGATACGCTTCACTCTGCGCAAACAAAGTATGCTTTTCTATATCGGTATTTCTAGTATATAATGTTAGAAGTGCGCGAAATTAAATACAGTGGAACCTCGCTTAACGAGCACCTCACATAACGAGTATGAATTGTAAGAAAAAAGACTTGCTTAACGAGCGATGATGAGAAGAGAAGTCCCGGATTGCGCGCCTGCTACATCATTTTTAAAACATATTGTACACATATTATGTGTATGTTTTGAATATGTTACACTATACGAGTAAAATTCCGAAAATTTTGGTACAGATTAAACTCGTTAAGCGAGGTTCCACTGTAAGTACATTGAGATGCATACATACGCAATTTATATATTTATATGTTATAGAGAAATTTTGAAATTTATTTCTAGAGATTTTTGGCAAATATATTTAGTAAGTATAGTAGTTTTCGATTAAATATTTTGATAGTTTTTATTTATTAATTGAATATTTGCTAGCAAAAGTGATCATTTACATTAACACACTTGTTTAAATGAGGTATCAGAACATGTGTGACTCTGTTAATAATATGTTAAATTTTATAGCTTGCCAGTATATTCAGCAATTTAGTATGTGCAAATTGATTAGTAAATGTAAACATTCACTATATTGACATATTTATAGTGATATATACTTAAAACATTTGAAAATAGTATAACTGATATAATAAAAGTTTGTATTATTATTAAAGTGAAAATTCAAAGGTTTTGACATGGAAAACCTAACTTAACGTATTTTTTTATTTTTGTTTCTTTTTTGAGAAGACAGGAATCCTTGCATTAGTAGTGGTACTGCGGGATTCCTACCCACTAAAAGCTCTCCACTTCTTCCACGTAGAGCAAAAGGGCAAATGCTGTCTTGATCCCGATGTTTAGTACGCATAGGGACCGCGAAAGCGGTTCTTTTGGTTGTTCTGTGAAATATAAATTATATTTTATTTTTTTCATTCTGCAGGAGATGAAGGCGATGCTGTATGTGGCCGTGGAGGAGGCGCCATGCTCGGAGAGCGTAGACCCGGAAATTTTGAACCGTCATTATCATAGCTTTGATGAGCACTTCTTCCACTACTGCGACAAGGAGCTGAAGAAGATCAACACGTTCTACGCTGAGAAATTGGCCGAAGCCACACGTAAATTCGCCACACTCAACACCGAGCTGAAGACGTCCTTGGCGGAGGCCAGACATCGGCCGAAGTCGCACCACAACAGCGACCAACCCGTCACCAAGAAACCGGCAATTCCGCCGAGGAAGATCCAAGAGTTCAAGACGGCCTTCAGCGAGTTCTACCTCAGCCTCATTCTCCTCCAGAATTACCAGTCGCTCAATCACACCGGCTTCAGGAAGATCCTCAAGAAACATGACAAGGTGTTACTTGTTTGCATATCGTTTGACGTTGTCTTTAATCGCATCTACTATTTTAGTTATTTTCAGTCGACATGGGTGCCAAATGGCATGCCGAGTGCGTCGAAATCTCTCATTTTTACACGAACAAAGACATAGATAAATTGATCACCCACACCGAGAACACCTTTATTAGTTCGTTGGAGTCAGGGGATAGGCAAAAGGCCATGAAGAGGCTGAGGGTGCCTCCGTTGGGAGAGCAAAGATCTCCGTGGACCACGTTCAAAGTTGGACTGTTTTCGGGATCCTTCATCGTGCTCCTTATAGCAGTCGTACTTTCAGGTAATTATACAATTAGAACATTATAATCTTATTGAGTAAATTTACACAAAATATACACAATTTTCTAATCACCAAAACGAGTTGTTTTTGCTTAATTACTTAATTATTATGTCTGAATAATAATAATAATTTCTGTTTTTTCTTTTAGCGATTTTCCATGAGGGTACGAGCGAGAATTTAAAGATAGCTTTCCGCCTTTATCGTGGTCCACTTCTGATCATCGAATTCCTCTTCCTCATGGGCGTGAACGTGTACGGTTGGAGGTCGAGCGGCGTGAACCACGTACTCATCTTCGAGCTTGATCCGAGAAATCACCTCTCCGAGCAAGACCTGATGGAATTGGCGGCAATTTTTGGCGTCGTCTGGACGCTGAGCATACTGAGCTTCCTATACAGCTCTTCTCTCAGCATCCCGCCGTACGTGAATCCGCTCAGCTTGACGGTGATCATGCTCTTGTTCTTAGTCAATCCACTGAAAGTGTTCAGATACGACGCGCGTTACTGGTTCCTCAAGATATGCGTAAGTTAATATCAGGCGTTAGGTGCTAACATTAGTATTACATAGATTTATTAGGTCCGCATGATCGGAGCACCATTCTTCCACGTCAATTTCGCCGATTTCTGGCTGGCCGATCAATTGAATAGTTTGGTCGCAGCATTGCTAGATTTCCAATTCCTGCTCTGCTTCTACTTCAGCAACGGCAACTGGTTGGAGGCTGGAGGTACGTGACAACATTTTTTTTATCTATGCAAAATATAGAAATAATATCATTCTCAATTTGTTACGATAATGTTGTTATATAATTATATTCTTCTATTATTATCTGAAACTTTCTATTGTTCATATATTACTTTAGGATTTTATTGTGGATTTTTAGCTGCAAATTATAGTTAATTTTAAATACTCTTAAATTTAGAAACTCAAGTATTATTATTTTATATTCTTGTATATTATTTGTTGAGAATCTTCGTCGTGTTGTCTATTCTATTAATGGTATTTGTGTGCAAGATAGTGGACCGTAATGTATTGATTCGTGTGCTCTGTTTGTGCAGATTTAGGGCAGTGCCAGGAGAAGAATTTCATAATAAGACCGATAGTGAACTGCATTCCGGCTTGGATCCGTTTCGCGCAGTGCTTGCGCCGTTACAGGGACAGTAAAGAGGCGTTTCCGCATTTGGTGAACGCGGGCAAATATTCAAGCACATTTTTCTCCGTAATTTTCGCCACGTTGCGGGCATTTTATAACGGTCAGTCATTTTTCCGTATTTATAAAATGGATGAATTTGATGATTTTGTTGTTATGTGTTGCAGATCAGTACGAAGACCCGATGGACAATCCGTTCCTTTACCTTTGGATAGCAGCGAGCTTTATAAGTTCCTGTTACGCGTACACGTGGGACATCAAGATGGATTGGGGCCTATTCGATAAATCGGCAGGAGAGAATAGGTTCCTCAGAGAGGAGATCGTGTATTCGTCAACTTTCTTCTACTATTTTGCCATCATGATCGATTTGGTGCTGAGATTCGCGTGGGGATTGAGCTTCTATTTAACCGAGAACAAGTTCGTGAGCGGAGATTTAATGACTTCCATACTGGCGCCTCTCGAAGTCTTCCGTCGTTTCGTGTGGAACTTCTTCCGTTTGGAGAACGAGCATCTGAATAACTGCGGTAAATTCAGAGCTGTTCGCGATATTTCCGTGGCGCCGATAGACCAGTGCGATCAGACGCAGATCATACGGATGATGGACGAGGAGGATGGAGTGCTGAATAGGAAAAAGCACAAGTCTGGAAAGAAGGCCAAGGACGAGATGAAGTTGCTGCTGCAGGAGGAGATTATCAGCAATCTCGATTCGAGTAGCCCCACCTCGACCATACACTAACTGCAAACAGTATTTTAATTGAACAATTAACGTGCTAACCCTTAAATAATACTTAATCTACCCGAATTCATTCCCTTTTTATAAATATACATAAATATATACCATTTTAAGCCAATTTATATGATATACAAAGAAACGATTTATTACTACTATTTACTTATATAGATATACATACATACATTATTATACAACTATTTAATTAACTTGAAAGGTGCCTTATTGATTGCCCGAAGCAGTTTCTTTTCTTACGTTTACAATATTCGTACTTAAGAAAGATGTTTTCTTTTTTTTAAATAAACTTAATGTGTAATTTGCTGTGATTAGATTTTCGTATTTATCGAGTTTCGCAAAAAGAAAAGACTATACGACTGTGAGAAGAAGGATAAAACAAATAAATGAAAAACGTAATAAACCATTCGTTTTTATGATGACCACTGAATCACCCACCCCAATCCAGATGACCGACAGAAATACAAGGATTCGTCTGTTCAAGCATCCGATCTATATATATACACTTGTGCGTGTGTGCGTATTATCCTCTGAACATTCACTTACATCCGTGTTCACAAGTGGTCCGCTAATTTCGTTTCGGCCGAAGAGAAGCAGAGCTAAAAATACGGAACGCGCCGTTTCGGTTTTGTTCATCTCGGCCATTCTGTTTCGGTTTCGCTTTAGTTGACTTTAATTGATCCGGAATTAAAGGTGCGAGCTTGGTTGGGCATGGCAAGGGACGCCGCAATCATCGCCAATTGCTGCGCAACAAATCAACATGGAAGAAACGGGAAGAAGAAGCAACGATCGGATGCAGCTAATTACTTGCACATCGACTACTTCTACCAGTTCTACAGAGGTTCGTTTTACATAGAAATCGATAGAATTAACAAGAAGCGCCGGGGAAAAGGGAGAAAGAAAGAATTCTGGTCTAGCCAGACTTCCAAGAACGTCTGTTAGGGATGTCTGGAGACGCGCCAAACGGAAAGTTTGTTTATGTCTCTTACCATCTCTTATCTAATGGGAAATTTCTATTTTATTCATTCACTGTATATACATATTTTATTACTTGAACACATTCAATACTTGTCAAGTAATGTGTAAAGTTACCAAGCCTTTAATTTAAATTATATTACATAATATTAAGTGGTCGTAACAATGTTTACAAAAATTAAAAAAAAAATAAAACGAAACAAATAATCCTATACTTCACAAACACTTGACAAGTATAGAATAGTGTAAATATTATGTGTGTCTCCATGACAACTGTGGTATTTTCACAAATCACTGTCACTTAGAAGATTTGTATTATTGAAAAACCAATAAAATATCTTTTATTACTTGTAATAAATCTTCATTAGATGTTGTAAAATCACTTAAAGTATATATATTTCTATATAAAGTGATATATAACAAGTGAAGAAAATCAAATAAATAATTATAATATATTATGATATCAGAATGCAATTGGATTGTTCGACATATTTGAAGATATTCGAAATGGGTTAATTTTTCCAACAGGTAGCGAAGAAGAACCGTCTGTAAGAAAAAAAGGTTCTTTCCGAAAGTTTATCATGTGCGCAGAGCGTATTTAAGCGCGCCGAGCAGAATGACCTTCTTAAAGCCTTTAACAACGGGATTATCCAAGCGTGCGTTGAAATTTCCTCGTGCGTTGTTATTGTTGGTTTTTTTATTCATTCGCTTCTTCGTTTATGTTAGTTTTATTTTTTCCTCCTCCTCCTCTTTTTACCTGTGCGAGTTCCCACAAGCAAACTTTCGCTATCCGCAATAATGAATCATCATCGCTTTGTGTATAAACTACGTATAAATATTTCTTGCCTTTATTTCGCAGCATCGCGTTAGGTTTATCGTTTCGCTGTTTGTGTAACAATAACAACATCAAAGTATTTACATAACATTTCTTCGTTGCGAACGAACGGATTGTTTTTATATTTGACGTCGTGGGAAATGATTGAATATCAACGTTTTGTTTAATTGTTGTTTGTTTTTCGATTGCAATTTTTAAATAATTAGGATGCTCGATGCGCAAACTTTTGAGTATTAACGGCGTGTAGCGAAATGAACATTCATTTGAGGCAACGTGCATGTAATTATATGGAAATAATATGCACACACATGTACATACCAACTTATGTACTTGCTTATGTATCGAATGCGCACTTTCAAGGTAACAGTTTTGACCACTAAAATTAATTGCAGAAAGATTAAGAAAATTATTAATATCGAAATGCAGCAAAACTGTTTTATGATGCCATCATTTAATTCGATTATGTTTTTGTAAATAAACATCATATTTTGACATCCAATACAAAATAAAACAAAAGAAAGATTAATAACAATTCAAAACTGTGACACTTAAATTGTCATATTTTGACACAAATTACATAATGATTCATGTAATTTATGTGTCAGAAAGCAATGAATGTTATAAATATATAATCTATAAAATTGTTAATAATAAAGATGATGCAGTTGATGGTAACATCTTGTCGATTAAAATAATTGCACCGTAAAAAAGTAATGCTTCGTTGGAGAATGGTTTCGCACTAAAATAATAAATTTACGATTCCGAGAACTGTTGCTAAGTAATTTTAATACGTCGGTCGACGTGCGAATCGTTTTATTCGCAGGTTAACGTTGCTGTTTATATAAAATTTCATTGGAGCAATCTCCGGTCGCACATTATATGCACAACAACAATAACAATAATAAAACTGGGTTTATTTGACCAAAGCCAAGACCCATAAATGTGCAATCGTTTACGAAACGGTCCATCAAGTGTTTCAAATTAACTTCAAGTTAAATACTAATCATCACTGTAAATCTAGTTTAAATATACAATACTAAATGTATATAAAATATTTGTAATTTGCAAGTATTGACTGTTAATATGTTATTACACAAAGTATTTTTTCCTAGTAAAAAACATTGTTAAATGTCAATACTGAAAACCACAGATTAAGTCCATGTTGAAAATTTATTAAAACTGAAATACAGTGGAACCTCGCTTAACGATTATACAAATGGAAGATTTTGGAAAACTTTTAGTGAAATAGTAATTCAATGCAGCTGGTGTTTTATCAATGAATGTCCAGAGAAGTGTAGGACACTGTAGATCCTTGTGGAACTTCAGATTTTGCATCCAGAAATATTTGATTTACGACTGTTTATAAAAACATACAGTAAGGTTCTATGTCATAAGTATAATCTATAAAGGTGCATTGTGTTGATAAAAAAAAGTGTAGCCGATTGAAAGGAACGTCCCGGTATTATAATAATGTCTATGGAACCGGTCTAAACGTGTTGTAGGAAAGGTAATTGTGTCTGTGCGGCCGACGTTGGAGCAGAAGAAGAACAAGAAGAATGAGAAATCGATGGGGGCCCAGGTGCTGTTGCCTGTATCCAGCGACGTCCAGGGTTTCGGTTTGCCTGTTGCTACAGCAACAAACAGCTAGTGGTCATGACAATGAAATGGGTGGATTGAAAAGAAGGAGTAGAAGAAGGAACGCAAACACGGCAAATACCTGAACATCAACAAGTACAACAGCATCAAGAAATATAAGAGGAGGAGGTGGTAGAAGAAGAGGTGGTAGTCTGCAGCAGTGCGTTTGGTGAGGAGAAAAGCAACAAAGAGTGTTGGTGGTGGGGCAGGTACCACGCACCACGAACTTTTCAAAAGTCGAGTCAGTTGCGTGTGTCGTGCCTCTGGCAGCTGCTGTTGCGTTTTAGTCTTTGAATCGGGGGAATTCCGCGCGAAATAAGCGAGAAGAAGTGTTGGTGTATTAGGGTGCTGTGTGATCGAAAAACAATTACTACTACGATGACGACTAGACCGGATAGTTACTATGACAACTGTGGTAATCAGCAGGAGGTTGTCAACAACAACGCGTTGTACGGCACCTACGAGAACGACAAGTACGACCACCTGAGGAACGAACTCCTGGGGTACGCGAGAGCGAAGAGTCCCACGCAGACCATCGCCCTCCTCACCACCGTTCCGCAGAACATCGCGGCGAAGAGCATCGCCGGTAGACACGCGCCCACCAGGAATAGCCTTCGACACAGCAGGATTGTTGTCATGCATAAAACGGGCGCAGGTAGCTAAATAAACGAACGAACGAACGATGATCATCATGATGATGACTAACAGACTGAATCAACCTTCATGCATCCATCCATCACCGACCGTCGCGAAAGCAGATAATTGAACCGGACGCGCAATCAATGCCACGGAAAATCCTATTCACAAACGCAAAACAAAACAAAAATAATAAAAGGAAACAATTCCAAAGTGCAACAATTACTACAATTGCACAAGGTATCGTCGACATCTGGTCGTCGGACGGATTCCCAAGAAAATCTCTTTGTACTCTCCCTCCGCATTGTCAATTTCTGTTCCATTATCATCGTAATCAACATAATTTTTACCTACAAATGAATTCAAACTTCCGGTTCGCAACATGCGAACGACATACACGGAAACAAATGAAAGCTGACTTAGTTTTTAATGACCCATTTTTGTTTTGTTTCACATTTATGTATTAAATGAATATATTTGTATGTCCGTATTTCCAAATGACGCGAATTGCACGCTGCACTTCCGGTTGTTTTCAATGATGAACGACGATGAACTAGGAAACAAATGAAACGCGGTCGAATCGTTTTTGTTTTGTTTTCGTCCCACTTCGGACATTCTTGAAACCGGGAGGATAAAATGTTTTTGTTTTATCGTCGTTACCAGGGAACGTGTCTAAGTGAAAACTCTAATTAATATTCATTTACCTGTGCTACTATGTGTGGGCCCCCTATCTGTGGTCATTAGCATATGTCCATGAATTTGAACTATCTAACGAAAATATCTATACTATACGAACGTAAATGCACCATAATTTATTATCAATATGAACCTGAAGCATTCGTACTTATTCTACATTCAACAATAATAATCATTGTTGTTTAAGCAAAATTGTTTCTATATATACGCAATTTACATAAATATATTTCAATGCAAACTCTTTAATGTTTAGTCTAACTAGATAACTAATTGATCTTCTAGTCTTAGATAAATAAGGCAATAATCACAATACAATTATCTTCCATTTATGAAGAGTTAAGACATCTATTTTGATCTGTAAACGTTTCATAATGTATTTAATTTCTTTGTTTGAATGGTAAACTTACATTTGAACATTCAAACTATAATATTTATACCATGTAAACGTAAATGCTTTCTTTATATAATTAGTAATTACTAATTTGTTTGTCTAAGAACTTGAATCAAATGACTTATTCCATTCTTTCATTCATTTACTATTTATAGAAGCAAAATTCGATATGCATATGTTTATTATTATGAACAAAATCGCATCGTGTCAACCTCACTCGTTTATTTACTTATCGTATTTATATAAAATTAACAATAATTGGCAGTTTTAGTTGACTTTATTATTATTTGACATTTGTAATCGCGACAGAGTTAAGTATTCTAGATAAATCAGTCTTTAATCTTTGCGTAAACGTTCAGTTGAGATTATTGCAGAAACTTTAGTCATATCAGCAAAAGTTGTGACGCCTTAAAATATTTACTTATTGCTTCTTCAGTTTTGATAAGTTTCAACAAATAAATGTAATAAGCAAATGTATTATATTTTTTAGTTAAACTAAAAATTAACATTTTTTATACATAATACATAAATGTCATAAAAGTAACGTTACTATTTTGTAATAAGTCGATAAGCTGAATGAAAATCAATCTACGTAAAAGCTATAAGAAAATGGTAATATTCGAAGAAGAAATTTGATTATTCAACTGTAAAAACGCTTCTTTTACAGTTTTGAATAATGCAGATTTATTTTGAAACGTGATGACGTGAATACTCTTTCCGTCGCCCCGATTTAACGACTCCAGATGTTTTTTTGTTTGGGGTGTTTTTTTTTTGAAAAGATGTAAAATAAGCAATGTTCAGTCACTGAACTGACAATAATCATAAAGATATTGAAAGTAATAACACAAGAAATGTGCAGAAAATATTGTTGAAGATGTGCACAGAAAGTTTAGGTAAATTAGTTAGTATTACATTACATAAATACTCCGTAAAAATGTCTTTTTTTAAAGTTTGTTATTAAAAATTTTGTCAAATTACACTACTAAAGTTGGAAGAGAAATTTTGCAAACACTGTAAAATATAATTATTATTGTAAGAATGAATAATGTGAATTGGATGGAAATAATTGAATAGTTCAAAGTGTTCATACTTTAATGGATACTTTCGAGGTGCGATTCGAAGAAGATTGAGAGAAAACCGATAGAGTTCTTGTAAAAATAAACGGTGCAAGTAAAATGCGATTTTGGAATGAATTTCGCATGAATAATTGCTAATTACAGAGACGTAAATCAACTGCTCAAACGGTTGTTTCGAACCGAGGAAGAAGATTTTATTATTTATGGGTTGACTCTGCCAAAATCCATCTATCATCCAGTGTTTATATATCGTTTAAACACTTTTTTTTTAAAGAAAGAAATTAAAAGCACGATGTGTAAACAGAAAGTATAGGATTTCAAGATATGGATCTCTCGAGGAGGACCTCTCCTTTTGCAGCGATGATAAAGAAGCATGCCTTCACGTCCGCCTCTTCTATTTGTAAACAATGCGTTTGAAGATAAAATGCGAAAAAGATGATAATCGTCTCTTCCTCTCGAAATTTCTGTTTGCTGACTGTTCCGAAGATTGTTTGCTGCAAAAGCAATCACAGTTCGAAACGTTACATACAAATTTTGAGAAACACAAACACACTTCTCGACATGCTAGAAAGAGAGATATTAAGAGTAAAGAAAACGAAAGTGAGAGTGAGAGAAAATTAGAAACTATCACCTTGAACACGTAATTATAATATTTTAATAACGAAATTAATAAATTTATGGGCCTTGGCATTATTGCAATTGAAAGGAGAATTGAAATTAAATAATAAAAAAAAAACTAGATTTTTCTGGTCTCGGTAATTATCAATGAAACGCAAATGTAGCGTATGATCCGCGTGTGTCTGTAATTGCGAAATTATAGTAAACTAAGTTGCGAAAAAAAGCACATTTCATGCGGCGACAATCATTTCTGTGCAATGAGCAAAAAAAAAAACAGAACTGTTACGAAATTGCTTTGTTACATTCACACAAAGATTTCATTTCAATTTTTGTATTAACTAACTAATTTTTTTTACACATATATTTTTGTGTGAGAACATGCAATTAATCTATTTTGTAGATCGTTTTGTTTGATTAAAATTAAGCAAATCCAATAAGATTTTTGGATAATTAAATAAAGTAATTTGCGTAATTTATAATTTAAAATAAGATTACGCAAAACGTGATTTTAATTGATATTTTCGATGTTAGCGATTTCGTTAAGTGGCTATTTCCTTTAATCAGGATTTTATTCAATGCACGAAAGAGGCAGGAAGATGCATTAATTTTATTCCCTATAGTCTTAACTTTTATCTGCATATTCAATATCGTTTGTGGTATCCGCAGTTCTTGAGAATTTCGTTAAAAACATTACTTTTTTTACGAGTTTGCAATTTAAAAAATCAATATCAAGTTTAACAAGAAATGAAGAAGAAATTCTAATATGATTTTATACTAGTTTTATTTCGAATAGTTTTAGCTTTATACTATTGAATATAGATTGTAGCATCTGTAGTGTCATTAAGATATGACACTTTTTTGACGTTTGGAATTAAAATAATTGAATTCTAAACGTCAAAAAAGTGTCAATTTTGTAAGCGGTTTAGCAAAAAAAATTAAAAGAGATACAAGTATAATATTCTTTATACTTTTTGAAAAATATGATAAAATGTATTCATGACAAATTCTACAAGAACTTTTGTATTTGTGGTTAACCAGAAAATAACACTAAATCTAAGTTCACTGTAGAATTTCATCAGTGTTTTACAATAATTCTACAAGAGATTGAAGTATAAGCGTATAACTGTTATTTTCTTTATAGTTTCTACTTCACTTTGCATCTACTACATTGATTGTGGCATTAACAGTTATCGAGAAATGAGTTTATATCTGAAATCACTTGTTTTTAAACCCTAAGCATTTTATATGTAGACAAATCTACAAGAGTCTTAAGTGCATACTAATTTTAATTCTCTACAGGTTAAACTTTGATTTGCATATTTAAGAAGTAGTGTTCATTCAATATAACGAAATACAATTACCGTTAACACGAAACCCGAAATGTGTTACATAAATTAGAAAAACATCGATTTTTTTTTTAAATACTCAAACGTATATTTAATATGCATATTAAATTACCTTCTTTTTTTCAGAAATTCCGTTCCAAGGGCAACGATTATGTGAGCGCCTTAGAATTCTTAATAAGCAAAAAAAAATAAATAAATAAATAACCTGTAAATACAGGTTTAGTTAATAGAGACGGACACTTTTAATATGCGTTATATAATACATATTGGACAGTCCGCTTAACTAATTAAAATATTTTTAGTTTCAGATTTTTCTAAACAAAAATGATCACTTGATATGAAAATTATATTAAACAGATGTCTGCTTTCATTTCCTTTTATCTAGTGAATAAATCACGAGTTTACGTTAATTTTTTGTGTAATTAATTAATTGTTTACTGGTAACTCTTGTCTCACATATTCAAGTCACTGGAACTTAATTTGACTTTTTGGAAAAGTAAATAGTTTTTTTTTTGGTTTTACATGCCAAATATAAACAAAATGTATCTATTCCATAGTTGGCTCAGGATAATTAAGTTGTTTTGTAACCATAGCAACTCTATAAATTTGAGACAGTTTGAGCGGTGTCGGTGGTTTAATCGCGTCGAAAGAATTCGGATTAAGAGCGGGGTCAGACTATCAAGGTGGAATTTAATCGAGCGATTCGGTTTCCTTTTAATACCTCCTTGCCATTCGATCGAGTGGAAACTTCGAACTCGAGAGTCGGAGACATTCGTTGTTGGACGTCAGATGAATTTGCGTTCATCATAATTATGATGAACCGATCGACGAGATCTCTAATGTCTTCCTGGAACAAAATCATCGTTAGTCGACGAGCGAATCGACTAATTGCCAGGACAAAGTGCGCGCAGAGTGCAATTATTAAATCAACGTAAATTGATCGATTTCTGCTATAAGTAGCGAGGATGGTATCATCGAAAAGTAGGTGTACATTCGACACGAAAACGCTGATTGAAATAAAGCGAACGTGCTTAGATTTCCCAATTTCAATTCCCGTTTCGACAGGAAATAAAGTAATGCTATTTTCAATTGTTACCCGTTGCTTTGGAAACGGGTCGCGGACACATGGATCATGTTTGTTTTGTTCTTTTCCCTCCCGATCCGAGGAAAACAGCATCATTGTATTTACACAATCGCTCAGCCAGCTGCCGCTGCTGCTGTTGTCGTTTTCTTTTCCTGCTTGGAAATCACATTTTCTCGGTGAAATTAGCCGCGCTTCCACTGTTATTATTGCGTAACTATAGTTTCCCGGGAGATACTTATTATTTGTTCTTTTGTTTTGCTCCAGTGCCCACTAAGCATCAGCCGCCGGTGATGAGGTTCCATAAACTGGCCAAAGGCCTGATCGGTCTGCAGAACCTGATAGGATTGGCCATCTGCTTCATCTCCTTCTGGCTTTTCCTCTGGACGCCGAACATCAAAGTCAGGGATAATCCGTTTTGGAGTGGCATTCCGGTAAGCTTTTTCAATTAACTTCATGCTTTGCTGTGTACTTTTTTTTTGTTTTTAATGTTTTGTTATTTGTCATGAATCATCGGATATAGACGTTCATAGAATTTTAATGAATTAAATAAATAGTGCTATGCACGATTCGTATTTTGATTACAAACGAATTACAATTATTTTTGTTGTAATTCGAGTTACATTCGAACTTAAATATCACAAACTTTATTTAAATAGCAACAATAATTTTCTACCATATTTAATTAATTAAATCAGCAGAAGTGAAAAATAAATAAATGACGAATATAAATAAATGAGTAAATATTATCGTTTAATTCAAATTTTAATTTTATAAATGTAATTATTTATTAAATTATCATTAACTATAATTATATATTCATTAATGAAACACGTTTATAATTAATTATAACGAATATTTTTATTCGACTTTCGATGACGTTCGAAAACATAAGATACAAATCATGTTTAAAAAAAAACTTAAAAATATAATATTACAAATTGCTGACTGTCTATGGAATTTCCTTAAACGAAAATAAAAATGAAAAGTTGTTTTTAAGTCGTTTAAAGAAATTCCATAATAACTTCTCTTAAATTGTATTTAGCATTTTTTTAAAACCTTTGATCTGTACTAAGGTTTTCCTACAAAATGATAAATGAATATAATTTTTAATAAGTAACACCTACTAAATATTATATTTACTTTTGTGTAGATTTATAGAGGAAATATAAATACTTCAATAAGAATATTTCTGTTATTGGATAGCCTTCTCATCATTTAAACTTGTTTGCATTTAATTGCTTCCAACAATTTACCTTTCATCTGTAGCGATTTTATTTTTAACTTGTTTTCGGAAAGTACGTATAATTAATTGATTTTATTTTTGATTATTTTTTAAATATATTTTGGAGTTTGTATTTGTAATGTAGATTGTATGAAATTGTTTATTTTCAGCTGCTGCTGGCGAGTGCGACCGCAACTGTTCTGCTTTGTTGCTGTCGAAAGGAATATCCAGGTATGAAGAACGGATCATCAGTGTACTCTTTAAAGGTACGTTGTATCGTCATTGTCTTTTAAACGTTCAAGTTGAGTTATCATTGATTGCATGTGTGTATTTGTTGTTGCAGGTTGTGAGTATATCATTAAGTACAATAGCTGGAACGGCGTGCATGATTTCATCTGCATTCGCCATCATCCACATCGTCAGCTTATCGAGAATGGATTGCGTGCCGATGCTCGAACAGAACGAGTCGTGCCTGTGCCACGTGGCAAACGGAACCTCACCGATTCCCTTCGTCTCCCGAACTTACCATTACCTCGACCTCCTGTGCAACGAGCTGAACAGCTTCTTCGTGCTGCTGCTGATCTTCTCTTGCGCCGCGAATTTCATCGGATCCGTTCTCTCCCTCTGGTACGTCTACCTCCACTGGGCAAGCAGATACACCTACACCTACTCCAAAGTGCACACGGACTCTCTCAATCCCACGGTCATCTCCAACACGTAACCTCTAATTCGTCCTCATTTCCCTCTTCCTCCTTCAAATCATCTCCGATCAATCTCTCTGTTTCTCTCCCTACCCCGACTTAAGTAATACCAAAGTATATATGTGTATATTTAGACGTAGCGAACGCACAGTATTGTTGACTTCTTGTTAATCTCGAGAGATGAAAAGAAATATTAATGGAATTTACTCCGTATGTGATTTAATGTTTAGACGTTTTAGCCAGGGACTGACTAATAAAAACATTTTTTTTATATTACAATCCTTTGTTTACTGTACACCTAAACCCACTAAATCCAATTATTTAGAAATTTATGTATAGATAATCAAATGAATTATGCATTTCATTAATAATGAGTGTTAAACTAAGTGTCATAACATTGTTTGTGTATAAAAAGACAAAGAAACTACTATTATCTAAGCTTCTGAATCATATCTTGTTAAAATAATGCAACAACAATAAAACCTATGAATCAATCAAATGAATAAAAGTTGAAGAATATTATTCAATAATATAATGTATATTTTTACATACTTAACTTTTTGTATGGAGAAAATTAACGAATTAATTTAAAGATGGGTTTCAAAATTAAATCTTCTGCAAGAGATAATTTTAATATATTTTATCAATTATCAATGTAATAATTATATGTTCTATATTCTAATATAATACATAAAAGCATTAGAAAATATAAAATATTAATATGCGAGAAAAACAAATTTGCTAAATTGTTAAAGTAGATATAATACAACGCAATATAAATTTTATATATATAGTACAAATATTTTACAAATTTACTAAAGACCGAAAGTCGAGGTCAATTCAAGACATTAACAGTTAATGCCTTTTTTAATTTTCTTATTTTTTCATAAATATATTAACTTACTTATGCCATTAAAGGGTTACTCTATGTTTAAATCTAAAATCATCTTACTTATTATGTCTTATTTTCATATGAATCCAATAGATGTTTGATTTCTATCTCCGTAGTTGCTAGCAAGCCAAAATCATTGGGGTTCACTTACAAACTATATAATACTGTTATAGGCCGATGTCCGACTTGTCTTCGTCGTCACTAAAACTCACGATGATACATATATATATTTCTTTTTTGTATATCTTAGATTTTCAAGAAATAATAATTTAAATAGTTATGGTACTGATGTGGTCGCTTCGGGAGATCTCACGCATTTCCGTTTCGGATGTGATCAGAAGTGGAATGTCATCGCTTGAACCGCGCCTCGAAACCATCACCGTATTCGTTGCCATCAGCTTTTCCGGATTCATTATGTTCTCCTCGAGTTGCATATGATTATTGGGGATGTTGGGTAGAAAACTCTTTGATCTGGCAAAGATGTACCAATTCTAAGTGAAAATACGTGATTAGTGGATAAATATAAATAGATTAAGATATGATTTACCATCAGGCAAGATGTTATGGAGTATGCGATGGCCATGTTGTTGCTCTTGTCATCATTCTCCAAAGCTACAACTGCAATGAACCAGACGATGTTGTAAATGGACTGTAGTAAGCAAAGACTTATTAGGCATGTTTTGGATTCTTTTAGAATGATGATCTCTCCATCCATGCAATCAGGCATCCTTCTTTCAAGATCCAATTCAGCTTTAATAACGTTCAGCGATTCTGCAGAACTGGTGAATTCTAGTTTGGAGAGTTCTATATTGATGTTCCCGACGCCGGTTAGAGAGTACGCAGTGGTAAGCATGATAAGCAGGAAGACTGGTAGCATGTAGTTGACGATCATCCCTCTTTCCACCGAAATGAAGCAAAACTTCTTAGTCTCAAAACTCTTTGGTAAAAGCGCGAACGAAACCACAGTTACAACCAAAGGAATGCAGTAGGTTAAGCTGTACAATATTTTGGTCCTAGGTACTGGTGTATTGTGGCAGTTTCTCTTGTAGATGTAGTAGGAGAATGTGAAGATCCAAAAGGCAGTCAGTAGATGCATGTAGTGCAGAGTCAAACCGATGATTTGGCATTTTAACTCGTTCTTGGTGGACTGTTGTCGACGTGAGTTTAAAAAACGAAAAATAATCGCAATAATCAGTTGTTGCATTTACTTACGTAGATTCCGAGCATGAAGAGTAGGTTTGAGAAACATAGCGAGATCATGAATTGAAGGAACGTACAGTTGATGTCCTTCTTGTTTCCGTGTAGGTTCTTCCGCAGAAGGACAATGAAGATGGTGAGCAGTTGAGCGGCGCAACTCAGGACGGAACCGATGATGATGATTTCCGAGCCATAGTTCGTCCCTGCTTTGTTGTGTGATCCGTAGTAAATGTACATGAGGTTGTCCATAAAATCATGATCCCTTAAATCGGAGTCGGCCAGAGAGTCGTCCGGTAAATCGATCTCCGGAAGGATGTCTATGGTGTACCTGGAATCAGGATTCTCCGGTACAGGAAGAATCAGCGACTCCGGTCTCAACGAGATACGAGAATTGCCGTTGTCATTGCTGCTGCTGATCCCGCTTTCGCTACCACTACCGTTGTTGAGGTTGGTGAGAGGCAGCTCGTAATCGTAATTCGAATAATAATCTTCATCGATCTGTTTCCTCGTCGAATTCCTGCTACCTTTTATGTTTTCAATTTAGTTGTTGTTTTTTTTATTTTTTCGTTCGTTGGCGTTACGTTTTTCGAAATATTAATTAAATTACGACAATAGTACGCGAAGCATAATACTCACATTTGATCAGAGTGATGATTATCAGCAAGGTGGTCAATTCGAAGAAAATCTTCATGGTTTGCTTCTGGGAGCTATTATGATGTGGTGCGGATTGGGGGATGTTTTTTTCTCACGAGATCAGGTCCATTCAGGATGCTGTGCAGTTGCGCAACAAGAGGATGAAACGGCGACGCTGCATCTTCATTGGTCCAGATCAGAGGAAAACATTTGAACGAACGCAAGCGCATTTCCAAAAATCAATCGAGCCTCGCAAAAGGAATTTGTTTATTTCCTGATAGATACAAAGTTAGTATCAATAAAAGATTAAACATTAACCGATTATTAAATATTCGAGTATATTCAAAACTTTTTAATCATGTAAACTAAATATCGAAAATAATGTTTACACTTAACGAAACCTCATTTGAAAATATCTCCAGGAAAACTTAATGTATCATGTCTTTATCGGAATTATTATCTTATAGTTTAAAGCAGTTTTAACATATGAAAATGAGTGACTATTAATAACGCAATTCTAATATGTAATAAACACTATGGCCTTTCTGTTGATAATGCAGAGGAAGTTGTAATGTAGGCTGTAATAACTGTAAACGAAAGTTAAAGTAGGTTTTTGTTGGAAGCAATCTAAATTGTGAAAATTGATTAAATTTATTTCTTCAAAATCTCCCCCCCAAAAAAAACCTCAATTAATAACAGTATATAATATATATCTAATATTATATATAAGGCAAGGAAACTATAGTACTTAAATTATTGTTAATGAATATTAACAATATAATTGAATTGTTTGATTCACTCGTCCACTTTGTACTTAATATATTATCAAAAAGTATTTATCTTTTTGTTTTGTTGTTGTATTAGTTATCTTTCGTTCGGAAGCGATTCGCTTTATTAATTTTCACCTTATAGAATTATTGGATTCCCTTTGAAATCTCTTTTATAGTATTTTTAACAAACTGTAAAGCCTATGTATTTACAAAAAAACGTTTTTTTTTAGATAAAAGTTTAAAAGACGGATTTGGATCCACGACGACGACTTTACTTATATCAAAGTGATTTTAATTTCAAATATCGTTTTCTGTTTGTTTGGTCTTAAAGCTGTGTGTGTTTATATGTGAAAAAAAATCGTTGGCAATTTGAAACAAGGGCAGTCGTCGTTCGTGGATTAGGAGGAAGGAAAGAAAGGAAATATAACGTATATTTATACTATGTTTACAAAGATTTTGAGCGTTGTGTTCTTAACCGCCCCCGCCTCCCAGCTCCTCTTCGTACTGCTTCCTGAAGCAGTCACCCACCGGTAAGAAGTCCCAACATCGTTGCTGGTACATGTTCCAGACGAAGGTCTCTTGACCCGTGTATTCCGTATCCGGTTTATTGATCAAATGCATCAAGAAGAACCTGTTCAACAATAAATTAAAAATTAAATTTGTTGCTAATTTGTGTTGGATGGAATGTTTTGCGTTACATGTAATTTGCTAAATTATGTTCTTGCTGCACATGAGTGTCGAAACCGTGCGGAACCTTATCGAAGTAATCCTTCCCTATGCCGCATATGAAGCAGTTGGATTCCATGTCCGTCTTGACGTTTTCCATCTGATCACGAAGCATACCGAAAGCATCGATGATCAAACCCTGAATGATGGCCAAAAGGATGACGATGACGAAGAAGAAGAAAGTTATATCGAATATGATACGATAAACTTCGTAGTCATCGCCGTCGGGTGGTTCGATCTCATCACCGATTCCACCTCCAGCTCTGACACCTTTGTACAAATGGAACACAAAGCACTGAAACCGGAAGATTAGTGAGTGTGAATTTTTCCTCGATCGTTCAATCTTAAACTTACGGTTAACATATCGTGACATTTCTTATCGATTACTTCTTCCTCTTCCTGCAGGTAGAACTTTCTGAAGAAATTGAACGCAATCACCGTGTATATGTATACGATGATCGTGAGCAGCATTACAGTCAAAACAAGTTGTTTTCCGTTGTGCGTTACCGATTGCAAAATAGTTCTCAGCGTCTTGAAACCGACGGCAACGTCGATCAAATGAGCGGCAAAGAAGAAGTTGTTAAAGTTGCCCAGAATGGAGAAGGTGAAATACCAGAGGGAGTAGAGGAACGAGTTGTCGGTTATGGTGACGCCGGCCTTCCAAATCTGATAACGCCAATCGATTCTCAGAATGTACGAAACGATACTCTTGGGTTCTTCATCAACTTCTTGCGTGAACGAAGTCTTCTCCATGCCTAACAGATTGCTGATCGAATCAAAGTCGTACGTTTCGCTGTACTTCTGGCGCACCTTCTTCTTGACGAATTTATCCCAGTAGTTCACCGGGAACGATTTTGCAGATATCACCAATTTATCCCAAAGCGATTTTATCAAATTGTCGTCCGGCTGTACAGCAATGTAAATTCCTTCGAATTCAAGTCTCCTAGCAATCTCCTTTTCACGCTTGAAAATGGCCAAAGGTACTTTGAGATGGTAATAAGCGATGAGCATTGCCAGCGAGGCTATCGAATGTAGTATTGCCGCTAATCGCATTACGTGTGCCATGTAGAAGTAGTCTTCGTCGACGTGTACCAATTCTAGTGGATCTTCCTCTTCCTCCGATCCTCCTCCTCCACCGGAACCGCTACCACCGTCTCCTGATCCCACATCTCCAATAATATCCAAACCGCTACTGCTGCCACTTCCACTTCCGCTACCTTCCTCACCCACAGTCGAAACCTAAATAACATTTAATTAGTTGATGGATGGAATCAATTCAACTGCACAAATTACCTTATAGAATAATAGCATAAAGTTGATAGAGAAAGCAAGAACCAAAGCGACATATTTCAAATTATAAAAGTTACGAGCCAAAAACGAGACGGCCTTTTGGGCGTATGCACCAAAATTGATCTGGTTGACGGCCGATGGTTCGACAGCTGTCGTTTGCTTGCTTTGTGATTCGATCGCGGCCATAGCTGCCTGTTGAGCTGCCTGCGCTTCCACCTTTTCTTGAGCTGCCCTTTTTGCTGCTTCACCTCCCAACAGATCTTGCAAGGATACCGGAGGTTCCGTGGAAACTTCGCCTTCAACGTGCGCTTCTGCACCTTCTTCCGACGTTGACTCACCTTCACCTTCCATTGACGATTGTTGTGAACTAGTTGGAGATTCGTGAGGAGCCATTTTCATCCTAGAATTTAGCATTAATTAATATAATGCGATATATTCAGTCTATTTCCAAGTAATTACTGTCCGCCTTCTTCTTTCGTGATATCCAAACCGAACGCTTGCATTTGTCCAACTGGTTCTTCAGCGGCTGGTAATGCTGGCAATATCCTAAGTTGAGGCTTTTCTTCCTCTTTGGCAACTTCCTGTGGCTCTTCCAGTTGGGGTCCTCTCATTAGATTCAATAGAATACCTCCGAAGTATCTGTGAAATAACTTACAGTTAGCATAACATTCATTCACTAATGAGCACAAACCTGTTAATATACTTTCCACACACATAAACCAGCGGGCTAATTTAATTTAATTTTTTGTTAATCTAATCGAGTTTTTGATTTGTTAATAATATGTTCCTTACCCTAAGACAGAGTACACTCCGTAGCCTGAATAGTAGAATATGTTGAAGATGTTTTTGAAGAACGCCACAATGATTTCGTAGTATGTCATGGTTTGCATTTCGGTGTACTTGTATTTGATATGTGAAGGAGAAAGTGAAGACATTCCATATGCGATTCCATCCTTAATAGCCTGATAACTTCTCCTGATAGGATCCTTTCCAGCTCTCTCTTCATCCTCATCCGTCATGTAGTTATAACTAGTAGATCTCGCTTGTCCTGGTCCTGCTGTCTCTTCCACGGCCATAAGTCCACTAGCATGTTGCATTTCAAAAATGGCATCCTCGCAGAAGTTAATGAATGCCTCCAGTTTTTCCTTATCACCTCCTTCTGTTACAATGGAGTAGAAGAAAGCTCTCTTGGATTCCTTAATCTGGGGCTTCTCCCACTGTTCGATATTAGATTCCTTGATTTCGAAGTAAACACGTTCGATACGTTTGCTACCGCCCATGATTTCAATGCGACCCAGGAGCGGTTGGAAATAGTTGAGGACCGAACTGGCCGTTTCTAAGAACCTGGCCAACCTAGGCTCATTGGGCATGTGCTCGGATAAGTTAGTCAAAAGCAAAGCCAAATTGAAACCAATTTCCTTCGCGGGTTCATGGAATCTATCAATAAAACCTACGTAATCGATTTTACCGTCGTGATTAACTTCGCAACATTCCAGCAAGAATGCAATCTCTTCACTGAAATAAAAAAAACAATTATACATTTATTTTATTGGATTGGATAATTTCATAATTACGGTGTATAACTCTTTTGTTGTTCCATCTTTTCTTTGAAATCCTTCGGTAATACCCATCCCTCGTTATTGGGATCAATCTCTTGGAAACTTGCAGATGAAGTTAGGTCTTTAAGTTTGAGGAACATGTCGAAGTATTTCAGGATCAGTTCTACGTTCGAAGCACTTTCTACCAACGTATCCACCATCTGTTTACCGATCGTGCCATTAACAACGTTTCCTTCAAGCATAGACAACATCATAGTGATCATGTCTTTTTGGAGATTCAACAGTTCCTTCAAAAGGTCCACTTGGCTCGAATGTTTTGATAGTTTATCTTGCATGTGAGAGAATAGGAAAAGGAAACCTCCAACGGCATCCCACAACCTAGAATGAGCAAGGGCTTGCTGATTGAGCGTGCAAGGGCCTTGGATAACTTCAGTGAGCGTATTGAAAACTTGACTAGCAACTCCGATGGCTTTGAAGAAATTAGCTTTACCAGCTGGATCGATCAATTGTTTGCTAGAGTAGTGCCAATAGAAATCCATAATGGATTCTTGTAGCCTCAGCAGATAATCGACTGTGCAAATAACGACGTTAACAGTCGTTGTGTTTCCGGCTTGAGTACGCAAATAGTTTTGCCATTCCAAGTTGTGACCTTCGCAGGTCAATTGGATGAAACGGAATAGAGCACACGTGAACTCTGCATCGTGCATGTTCTTCTCACCGGCAGCACCTAAATGACGAAGGAAATAACAATATTATTAGTTTTCAGTGGTGATTAATAACATCTAGTGTTTCGTGTATATTTGTTTCTTACGGTTGGAGGGCATGTGATTTACCTTCTTTAGAATTTCTCTCACCTTCTGACCCTACTCCAAGACCTTCCGCTTTTGTGTTCCTCTCAAACGCGTCCAAATCTAAGACGCTGCAACTGTTCATCAATCCAGCTATGCTGGTGAAGAATCCGACGTCCTTCTTGTCTTTCAGATGGTTCAACATCCCCATCTGGATGTCAACATTGCCTCCTCGCAATACGGAGATACCCAACTGCAGAGTTTTCATCACCATTTCGGATGGAACACCTTTGCAGGCGGAGATGTGCAGCAACACCATTTCGGCGACGCCGCGGTTCGCCAACCTCGCTTGATGGAACAGTAGTTTTTGCTTCTCCATCTCTTGTTCCTACATCAAGGAAAATACTATTAGATATAGTTAAATAATTTGGGTAAATTTAAAAGTATTATTAGATTAGTTACAATCTTACCATCAACTTTTCCATAGTTCTCTTTAAGCGTGTAATTAAATATAGCGAGTTATGTTTGAAATGTAAAAGTATAAAAACTTACATGAATCGAAGCTGCAGCTTCTTCACCTTCTCCGCCTTCTTCTTCACCTTCGCCCTCGCCTTCTTCCTCTTCCTCACCACAAGATTTTGCAATGATTTCAGCGTAGCTCATGTAAAGAGGATCTTCCTGTAAAGCGCCTGAACGCTCAGTCATCGCACCTCTACAGAAGGTTGTCACCAATTGCGTTAGAGGATCAGGTTTACCTTCCTCTTCTTCGGCTTCTTGCTTCTTCAATTCGGAGTCCTCGAAGCTCTGAGTAAGATCTTCAATGAGAACCTCTTGACCGACATTTTCATCTTGCAGCCATAGTTCATAATAAGTACGAGCAAATAGATTGATCGCCCTATGCCTGTGAAAACATTGTTGAATAGTATATTAGTTTTGATGTTTAACAGAGTTCTTGAGCACACTGCCAAACCTGCTAATTTTATAAAGTGGTCTACATCTGAGACAAGCAACGGCCGCACGTTTCCTTGCCGCGTTCAGCACGCGGCGCCAACCGTCTTTGTTAACTTTAGGACGTGTAGCCTAAATATCGGGTTAGCATTGAAAAGAAAATCAAAAACACAGAAAACGTAAAGGATATTAGTAGTGGTATTAATGAGGGCCAAAATGTTTGGTGAAAAAAGAAAAACCTGCATGCAAAGAAGCTTAATCAGAGAAACTCTGATATGTTTGCATCGAACCCACCTGGTCAAACTGTGCAATGACGCTTGACGGAAACAGGATAAGACAGCGCGTTTGCGTTGCGTGGACACAACGCTCTTATAAACGCCTTTCTGTTGCTGCTGGGGATGATCGATCTAAGGTGCAAAGCAAAGTAAAAAAGAAACTCAAAAAGAATATTTGAAATATAAGATGATGTTGATGATGATCATGACTATGATGGCAAAATCATAATAAGTGCTATTTTATATGTAAATTTGGCCAATTAATTTGATGGTGATGTGGATGAATGAACAGTTACCATGTGCAGACCGAAGAGTACTTTGGACATGGCCACGATCCTATCAACCGTCTCTTCCAGTTGATTCTTGCCATTCAAGTCAGTGGATGTGACTGTGACGCACTTCTTGCTGCCCAACTGGCTGTAAAGGAAGTGTTGCCAGGACATTTCATCAGCCGGATCGATCTTATCCGGAAGAGTTAATTGCGTTTTTGCAAAGTCAATGATATCATACTCAGGCATTTTCTGAAATAAATTTCATCGAATTTCATCAAGTATTACATTATTGAATAACCTTACCTTCAAAAACCTATCTTTGCAATGTTGCACCAACTCTTGTTCTCTCCCAGCGAAGAGATTCAAACCTACAGGCAACAATCTCTTCAAGCATGCCACCATCAAAGAGGCTTGAATCTCCTTGCCCTTATCCCTCTTCTTATCGCGATGTTTCTTTTTCTTTTTACCACCGCTCGGTTGAGCACCATCGGTTATCACCGGCCTTCTCGTCGCCGTCGGCATAATCAAAACCATATTATCAATTTCATTGGCGGAAATAAAGTTTTGTTCTTCTCGCAAGAAGTACTGAGACTTGGACCAAATGTTGAAAATCTCAGCAATGTGATTGTACAATTCTTCCGCCTCCTCAATATTATGCCTGAGCCAGTGATTACGTTGCAAGTCGACGTATTTAATAAGCAGCGGATAAAAGGAGTATATATCGCGGACAAGCAAATGCCAATCTTCTTGAATTTGCGCCTCAATTTGGGATGTATCTTCTGTGGAGCTTTTGATGAAACCCCTTAAACTTTCTTCCTTGTGGAACATGGTTTCCGTACGCTTTTTGACTCTCTCAGCCAACGGCAGGAATGGATCCTTCAATAATTCTTCGCTACTGTTGATGATAATTTGCTGCGTGTAGGCAGCAATTCTTGTCATCCACGGAGCCGTTTCGTTGCCGATGTTCTTCTTGATAAGCTTAAGCACATTCTTCAGTAGCTGATTCATGTGCTCTGCAGTTACCATGGTTACGTGATTACTAAAATAATCGATATTAATATGGAAGTCGCGCGCGTTTGCTGAAGACTTACCCTGCAGTTGGGCTGACATTATCCGGTCCTTGACCCCACCAATACGGAAGGTACGAACATAGCATCGGCATAATCACATCAATAACGTGCATATCATCCGCATAAGTTTTATTGCTTTCCACAAACTGATCGACTTCTGTCAGAATTGTCTCTAACGTCGGCATGGAACTTTCCATTTTAGACATTATATCTGCAGAATAAAGTCGTTAATCATATACATATACGAATTTCAATTGAATTACCTTGAGCTTCCAATGAGTGATCAGCAATGCGATTCAGCAAAGAAAATTGATTGTGCTTGTTGAGATGTGGTTCCAAATAAGCGACGGGGAAACAAGAACCGAAAGCTCCCAAACATGAACCTAAAAGTATATTGTTAAAATTGTATTACATTTGAATTTTAATGCGATTAAAGCTCACCTAAAGCCGGCTTATGTCTTTCGATTTCGGTTTTAATATATTTCCGTTCGTGCGTCAAGGTTTGATCGGTTCCCAATGTATAGAGCGAAGCTAAAATCTTGTAAGAAGCAACTTGGATTTCATCCAAAAGTAAATCACTTCCGTATTCGCAATTCGCTAAGTGATCGAACATCGCTGTTAAAACTGGTAGAACCACGTGGTTTATATAGAAGAGGGAAGTTGAAGTTTTTAGATGAGTTCCTCGAAGATGACTATATTTGCCCTCTTGTAAATTGATGATTGTATGGCCTAAATCATCGGCAGTGTTGTTGAAGAAAGTGAGCATGGAAGTACGAATAAACTCCGGGCAACTTTTGACTAAAGACTTCGCGTCTACTCCCTTGACGAGAACTTGAAGACATCTGACAGTAATCCTAATATCAGCTCCGAATGCAGCCAATCGAGATCTTAGCAAACTCGCAAGTTTGCAGAACAACGATGCTACCATTTCTTTTTCTTTCAAGCTAGCAGCTCCAACGTTATTGGTGGCAGTTGCGACTGCAATAAAGTAATTACGATGGGTTGAGAAGTATTTTTCCATCAATGGAAGAACGACTTTGGAGAAAAATTTGATGTCTCTCGTTGAGGTCTTGAAAGATGATCGACGACTGAAAGTGGAAGATGGTTTCAAGAGTTTCATGTTGATGGTAGCTCTGTCCAAGTATTGAATCAACTTTTCCAATAAACTATAAGCGAAGCGAAGTTCCACTGCTGGACCTGCAGTTCCTTGTTCAGTTTCACCTTGTCCCCCACGAGTTGGTCTAAGAAGAAATATAAATTACATAATTAGAATTGATTTAAATATAATTCTATACCTGTGTAATTTGTATCCCTGGTATTGAAGATATTTTAGGAATTCTTGAGACCTTTCCCTATCCTTCTTCTTTTCTTTGTCGGTGAGCAAATCGTAAGGTACCAATTGTGGATGAATACCACCACCGCACGTGTTCAACTCTTCCTTTTTCTTTTTGGCCCAAATGTCATGAGCATTCTCGGCCAATCGCTCAGCCATATTCTGCATCTCACGGGACAAAGTCAAATTTGACATATCGACTGGATGAGGGTTGTAATTGAAAGGAGAATTGGCCTCGTTCTTGGACGATCGACGAATGGAATTCCTGTTGTTTGATGGGACATCGACTTCGGTATGCTCCACGGACCATCCGATTGCTAACAAAGCTTTCAATGATTCACGAACTGGCTCTTTGTAACGTTCTTTCTCCTAATAAAATAAAATAAACATGTTAGTTAAGGTATTTAGAGGAGAAGGAGGTTTGTTATTATTACGTAATCGTTAAGCATGTTGTAAGGCTTCAATCTAGGATGAGTCTTATTGTGGTCTGACCACGATTCACCGTATTGCCAACTGTTCTCCAGTTTTCTGGACGCCCAGGCGTCGTGGTAGTGTTCCGAGAACTTCTGCACTATTGAATTCAAATCGTTATTCAGGATGACCGAAGACGTGTTAATTGGAAGTGGATTGTAAGGGCCGTCGGGACCACTCTTATTGGCGTACCATTCATCATCGTAATTCTTGGATAGAGAGTAATCCGGTGGCAAAGCGCAACCGATTGCCGTGAGACATGGAAGTGCTTTACCGAATAACTCTGGATCGTAATCCATTTTGCTCAATGAATCAAAGATGTTAGAGAACAACATCATGGTTAATCTCTTTTCTTCATCGGAAGATGCTCCATACATCCCTTGACCTCCGGTAGATCCGTAATACTTAGCGCAACGATCGTAATGCAAAGTTAACAATCTTAAGGCGACAGTCGTGTACTCGGATAAGTTGGAGACATCAACGGTAAGCTTTCTCAATAGTTTGAGCAACATAGCTGGTTGCATTGCACTTGTAAGAGCCACCAAAAAGTCAGAAACGCATTCTCTTTGACCCTTAGTTAACATACGATTCTTGGATAACCGATAAACTGTATGTAGAGAGGCATCCAATAATGCCGCATAGTTCTCAGCCTCGCTGTAGAACTTACTATGTTGGATAAGCAAAGGTAAAATGGAGTTTCCAATATAACGATTCATGCTTAGAGCCATATCGGATTCGCTTCCATCGTTCTACAAATACAATCAGTAATATCTTTGATAACCAGTGTTTACAATAAAAACTTACTCTATCGAGAATTGTGGCGCATCTCAAATCTGGCAAGAAAGCTTCTTCGAGAAGTTTGAAAAACAGTTCTTGCGTTTCAATGCCATAAACGCGTTCCAGAAAGAGTACGACTGATTGTTTATGACCAGGCAATAAACCGGAAGGCATATCAGATTTTGGTCTTTCTTCTCCAGCCGCTGGATTATGAATCGTAAACTTCAAACTTAGTACTCCTTGCAGATCTTCTAAAGGTACCAAAGAACAGAGAATAGCTCTAGCGCGAAGCGATTCATTTTTACCCTAAGAAATATAATATAAAAAATAGAAACATTGTTATTAACTATTCTTTCATAAACTCACCAAAGCGATAACTGAACTATCCGGAGCGCATCTACCCAAAAGATCTACCAGAGTGCAGTAGAAGGAAAGAATTGCTGCACCGGTATCGATGTAATCTTCGTCATCATCATTTTCAGGTAAAGGATGCTGGAATTGAGCTACGTTCACCGTGCCTTCAGCTTCCTCCATCATTCTTCTTCGATCAGAAATACGTTCCGACATTTTGTTGGCATCGATGATGGCCCTCAGAAGACCTTCACCTTCGCCTCTTAAAGCAGGACCTAAACATTCTGGTCTTCTGATGAGCAACCTGATTACCAAGTTGGCATTTTCTTCAACGCTCTCGCCGTTAACCCAAACGCAGTATCTCAAGAAATCTAAATATCTTTCGCCTTCTACCGGATCCCAACCTAAATCAGGATATCCCTTCTCCACCAATTCAGAGTTAGATTGTAGACCGCACCGCGATAGATAAACGGCAATCTTCTCCAAGTAATGTTCTCTCAGAGCCAAAGCCAATTCGGTGTTTTCCATTAGAGATGAATATGCCACATCCAATGGAGTCGAGCCTCTCAAACTTGGTCTAGACAAGAGGATATTGCTGTTGTCCAAAAGGAAATCAAAATGCTCGAACNNNCCATATCATTTATATTGAAATTACCTTCTTTTTAACAACGACTTCGCCTTCTCCTGCTTGTGCTTGTACACTAGCATCGGATTGGGCTTGAGATCTTCTTCCCAATGTGTTGATCATAACTGCCATTACATTCTCGTGGATTCTCAAAACTCGAATCAAATCGGGATGTTGAAAGAATGTGTGATTATTAACCAATTTCCTAATGAAATAAAATTTTCAAAAGTTGATTAATACAATAGTTGTATTATATTTACCATAGCCTCATTCTCATGAGTTCCTCTTCCTCTTGCGACATTTGCACAGGAAGTAAGGCTCTGATTTGACTCAATCCGACCCACATTTCAGCAACATCGCGTTTTGTCTTCGCGTTGCAAACGTAGGTCTTGCTAAGAGCGCGAATCAATTCTCCAACAGCGTCGTATTGTCGCACCAATAAGCTAAAATATAATTAATATTATTAATATATATTAATTATAATATTAATTAATAATATACAATACCTAAACATTTCTTGAACCAATTTCGGTATTTCGATCTGCGCCTCCTCGGCCCATTTGACAATGGTGGCTATCAAGACTTTTCTGAAAGTTTCTTCCGGTGTTTTCTTTTCAGGTTCCGGCTCCTCTTTGGGTTCAATCTCCAATTCCTTTACTGCGTTTATGAAATTGTACAACTTCTTGATAGGTCCACTCCTTCCTTGTTCACCGGCATTTTCATCTTCAGGTGGAGCCTCTAATGCTTTCAAAGATACGTGATGCATCAACTTCTCGTGGAAATCGTTCATTTTTCCGCACAAGTCTTCTCCGATAGGACAGTTCTCTTTGTCATCCTCTTCCAAGTTCTTGAATCCAAGAATTGCCTTCATCTGTTCTCGTGGTGGACAACGGAACTCTCTTGTCTTTTTGGCGGCGATAGCTGATGGTAAATCTGATTGTTTGATCTCGATGTAACGTCTCAGCTGATCAGCCTGAAGTTCTCCAACAAAATCGTGGCTGAATGCTATTATAGATTCAACGCGATGTCTGAGTTGAATGTCGTTCAAATGTTGGAGCAGATAGCACATTTGCAATTTAGCACCTTCTGCCATCTTCATGTGCAATAATCCCTTGCGATGCTCATCCTTTCCTTCTAAAAATGTAATTACTTTTTAGAACAAATTCAGTCGATGACTCAAAAATAGAAATGTTTACCTTTCTCGAATGTATTACACCAAGTTTCTGGATGAATCATGATGAGAAGCTTATCGACGTCATCATCGTTGAGCATACCAACCAGCAGCAATCGATCAGTTAATTTAAGCAAAGGCCTAAAAATTAGATTAATCAATTTAAACCTTGCACATTTTCACAATAAATTTACCTGAATAAATTTTCATTTGAACCTCCGATAGGATCTCTGTTGTGGACCTGGTTAATTTCCACTGCTTCATTCAAAGCCTGCATAACGAAATTACGCACCACGTCTAGTGGGAAGTAAGGCGAATAGAGATTCTGTATATTATCAATGCTTTCACTAAAAATAATTAATTTAGTTAATTCCAATTAAGTTTAATGAGTGTATGTTTACGTAATATCGGTCATTTTCATTTGTGGCCTAACGGATTCCATTTGTAATTTCCTTAAGCTATGACCCATCTCAGGATCATCATAGAGCTCTTTCAATTGTGGCCCCAATGGTATTACGTATTCGTTTTTGCATACCTCCCTGTAAATGATTTTCTTTAAAACATAAGTTTCAATAGGATATTTAGTTAATTTTACATTGTGGTTGCTGTGGACTCCAAATGTACGGCGATGAGAAGATCGTAGAATCCTTGACGAAGAGGTCCACTCATGTATTCTGATTTTATTGCATAAAGCAACTGCTTTTGATCGACGTGCTTGCAGAGGGCATGTGCCGCTCTGTAATTGCTTTGGTAGCAGAGTGCTGCATACAATGTTAAAGTATGAGCGTGGAAAGATAATAATTTGTCCATCTCGATCAACTCTAAGATGTCGATACATCTATCTTCTTCTGGGATGTGAAGAGCTAGCATTGAAATGGCATCTTCGCAAAGCATGGACCAACCACGAATATCTGATAATTTCAATGCGTGCACTTGCAAGCTTTGGTTTGGAACCTGCAGGATCATTTAATATAAAATATTTAATTATTTCAGTGAAATGTTACTTACTCTAGCCCAAGTGTGTGGTTTCAAGCACTGCACCTTCAATCTCGGTGGGAATTGGGGTATTACGTGCTTAGCGCTGTTCTGCAGAACGGCAGCGGATAAAGGTAAACTAGTAGCTGTTCTACCTAATTCAATTTGCAAGCATTCCTTGCTGGTTGCTTCCAAGAAAATTGCTGGGAACAACTTAGTTTCAGGTTCCATCTGCAATGAAAAATATTTGTAAATTTCTATAAAATAATAATAATAGTACTCACCTTGAACTTATGCTTAGTTCCCTTTCCTTCGCAAGTAAATGATATGATACCAGTGGCAGCGTCCACGAAACATCCAATGAACATACCTTGAGATGCACCTTTTCCGGAAGCATCTTGAGTAACTTCATTATATAACTCATCAGCTCTCACCATGTAACATGATTGACGATCAACGCTAAAATTAACATGTTTGTATTGAGCGTAACAAAATAATTTTAATTTAAATTACCAATCGATGTATCTATCGTAATCATCTACAATCATCACCGAGCTCTTAAGCACTTGACTTTGGTTAAAATCTTTACTGTGCAAGTGGTATTGCGTGGTAACCCATCCAACGTAAACGTGAGTAGGATCTTGGCCAGGAAATACTCGAATACCTACACGAAAAAACTTAATGAATTAATTACATAATACCAATTATAAGCATCTTACCATAGAAATACTCGTTGATGAGTTTCAAACATTCAGAATCGAAAATTTCGTTGCCGATGGACTCGACGTCCGAGGCTGTAGGAATCGATAATTGCTTCTGTTGCGGCTGTTGGTTCTGGAGCAAATCCATCTGCGATTGTTTGATAGTTGGAGATCTCGAAAGAAGATTACCGGACACTGTTGGTTTCGGAGCTAGATTCATGATATCAACCATCTCAGGCTCAGGCGTTTTAGATTTTGCAATCTTGACTCGTTCGCCACTGCTTGCCCCCTCGCGTTTTCGCGAAAAGAATCTAAGGTAGAAGAAGTAAAAGTGTTAATATAAACTTTCAGAACTATTTCAGGAACATGCAAGCTAGTGCAAATGATAATTTAAGGTAATCTATTTGGGCTTTCTTTCCCTATAGATAAATTATCGAGTGCGTAGAATAGAAAAAAACTGGTGAAAAGACACACATGTGAAAGCGGTTTTCTTTTTCGTTCTTCCTAGAACATTTACTAAATACCTTCGCAATTCACTTTACAATAGAGAGTGGAGTACAAGTAAAGACGAGAAGAGTTAGAAGAGAAAGACAGTTATTTACACAAAACACTTGTAGGAACCAGAATTGCGATTTACCTGAAAGGAGATCTGCCGCGCTTCTTCTTGTCGTCGACCTTGTCGATTTCTAAATCGCTCGTAGATCGGTGTAATAATTTTGATTGTGGTACATTCGAACCTGCTCAAAATTAAAATGAATAACAATTATTTAAAAGTAATTAAGGATAAAAACATGCCTTCAGTTTCGTATTGTGGACTTCTAGAAAGAGATAATTTCCGTGGAGGACGTGACGGTAAATTCTTGGTCTTTACTGGTGGCTTGATCATCTCATCAGCTTCCACCGCGTCTTCTGAATAGTTCCTATGCAACCCTAAAATATAATATGTCAATTATACAAAACCTTATGTAAAAATGTATGTAAGTACCTTTAATATCGCTCATTGAGAATCCACTCTTCATGATCTGTTCGATATGAGCTGGTGTTTGCTGATTTTCGGCTTCGATTCTCAAACGGTTTTGGCGAATTTTGATTTCTTGCCAGCGCCGCATCTTCTCCTCCTCGCTAAAATCGTATATATTAAAATATATGTTTCTTGTACGAAGATGAAGAACTTACCTGATGAACATTGGGTGGCAGATGACTGGTAAACTGAGCCTCAGGAATTCCCAATTGGCTTTTTCCATGGTCTCGAAAGTGTTGTGGCTAATCTTCAGGCATGGAGGAGTATCAGATCCAGCCAGAATCCTGGTAACATCGATTTTGGTGTCGGGCATATCATCGGTGTTCTCGAAGATCGGTTGGTCTTTCGTGTACCAATAGGTGACGGCCCTATTCATGTTACTGGAAAGTTATAAAAAAAATAAATAAGTAGATAATCTTTAGTATAGTAAAATAATCTTACACGCAGAATGGTTCATAGCCTTCTTGCAAACCGCACGAGGTGAAATACTTGAGCATGGTAACATCTTGACCAAAGCACAATTTGGCCTTTTGACCAACGCCTAAAGTGAACGCTGGCACGAAGTTATCCCCTTGGACGTCAGCAAAGGTGGTCTCACCACCTAACGCATCCATCAAGAGTTCGCCGTTCAACGAGAAACCTACACACAAAGTCGTAAATTGAATAAACAATGAATTATGTGTGTGATAATTCATTAGTTCAGGTTAACTGAAGATATCATGCAAGCTAAATCTAAGCTAGGAATAAATATTTCGGGACATCTAAAGTGTGTAGCAAGCAAAATAATTTTTCTATCAGCCAAAGCGATTCTCTGATGTCGATTGTTTGATTAATTTGTTTTTGTAGTTGTTTCATAAGAAAATTGCAAAAAAGCTTATTTTTTCTCTCTAAATTGGCTTACTAATGGTGTGATCGATGAGATCAAGAAAGACGCCAACGACGTCTCCGACGTGCCATTGCTTTCCAAAAGATTCCGCCGAATTGCAATACACTTTTTCTTCCTAAAGTGTTTACATCCACATGGGGAGGAGAAAGAAAAAAGAAAATAATAATAGAAAACGAATAATAGACATACACATAGTAAGTTTAAAACCATGGAAAAGAAGTAACGAAATTGTAAGAGAGGACTTCATGCAATGCTTTTTTGTAGTTTTTTTTTTAATTTTTTGTTTCTTTTACTATTTTGACTCACTAATTGTGCGGTCGGTCAAATCTATAAAGCAACCAACCACGTCCCCAACTTCCCACTTTAACCCATATGCATTACTCTGACTGCCGTGAATTTCACTTCTCTTGAAAAGAAAAAGAAAGAGAAAGAGAGAGAAAAATGGATACTTTTTGTTTTTTCGTTGCTGTTTCGAGATCATCGAATTAAGTGTTATAGAAAAGGTTCTTACATTGTAACCATCAAAAGCCCATGTGTTTTCATCGGAGCCAAGCATGCATCCGGGAGCACAGTCCGCCTTGGCCCAGCCGACTCTCATGGGTCCCGTTGTCAGAATTTCAAATTCAAAGTACCATTTACCAGAACTGACAGCATAGTTCTTTTCCGCTCGATAAGTTCGGAAAGCCGATTGCCTCAACCTTATAGCTTCGGCCAAAAGGGCTGAAATAAATAAAATCATCAAATCAAGATAATTTTATCAAATATTTATAACTCACCATCTTGCTGTTCACCAGTTGGTGGATCAATTATGTAACCGTAAACCAGCAAAGTTCTGACAGTCTCCGAAGCCGTGTCCCTGTTAGCCTTCTTAATGGCATCATCGACTTTACAGTAAGGTACCAAATGTGGGCTGCGGCACAGCTCAGGATCTTCGTTCAGAGCATAAGTCCAACCTTGTTGGATTCTCTCTTTAGCCCAGAGATTGTGGGTGTTCTCGGCCAGTTGATCCACCAGCTCTTCCATTTTCACGTTCAAGTTGATAGCACTCAAATCTAAAGGCGCTGGTTTATATCCGTTAGCCTGCATGAATGGTTCGTTCGGTAAACGAATACTTCTAATCCTTGATGGAGGTTTATCCATAGTTATATAATAACCAAGAGCCAAGATTGTCCTGAAATTCAAAACATATTTTAATATTTATTTACACAATTATTACCAAAGAAATATCGACCGAACTCTTTCCACCCATTACATTAATATTTTCAAGTTATAATAAACAAGTTAACTCACTTCAATGTTTGTACCGCTAATTGCGAATCGTATCGTTTCTCAGCTGGCGGAAGCTTATCGAAAGGCACCAAACATGGATGAATGTGGTTCATATCATCTCTGTATTCGCCCCACATCCATCCGGCTTCGATCTTATTCATAGCCCACATTTCGTGGATGTTCTCTGCTAATTTATCTTTAATTGAATCTATGTAATTGGCCAATGTTATCTATTAAAAAAAAAAACATGGTTAAATGATCCAATTGTGTTAAATCACAAATTTTACCATGGAAGTATCTACGGGATTTGGCACAAACGCAGTGTCGTCTTCGACGACGAGTGGTCCAGCCAATACACATTTGTTCATATTACCAAAATAGAAGCAGGGATCCAAACTGAGCACTTGCTGAGGTAGTAAACTTTCGACTAAAGGAGAGAACTCTTCCGGTGGCATGTACTTCAACCTACCGTGGTCTCCGCCGAGCAAAAAGCGACAACTAAAAGGACAAATAATTTTATAATTATTGTATACATAATTTATTAATATGGTTACCTTAATTTCGAAGAGCAACTAATTACGGGGAAGAACATGCCGTCCAAATTGAAGTTCCTGAAACTACCCTTGACTGGACGTCCATTGAACGTGAAAGAGATTACAGGTACTGTAAGATCTAAGGCACAGCCGACAACATCATCTGCAAAGCAATAATTATAATAAGTTTGCTGTTGATAATTTACAGGATTTCATTACTTTTTCTAATAAAAGGCTCTGATGCTTCCTCCACAACTCTAGTATTTCTGCCACCCATCCAAAGGAATGCGCCATCAAAACCATATGAGTACAAGTCATCACCAACACCGTTTCCGCCCCACTTTTCACCGCCTCCTGGATAAGGTAAGTAGCCTTTCGAGTTAGCCCAACCTATTCTCAAGTGAGGCATCATGTGAGTGGTCTGCTCCAAATGGTCCACAGTTACCTCAAAATACCACTTCTGGTAAATTGCACTACCAGCCACGCGACCAACGAAGATATTAGGCCTAACACTTGCTACATGATCCACCAATTGGGTTTGCAGTAGCAAATTCTGCCCGGGCAATAAGAAATCGGCGATGTTATTCTGCGATCCACGAACGGCCACGCCGTTACCAACACATAGAGAGCATAAGACATCCAGAACTTTCGGATCTCTTCCATGTTTCTCCAATAAAGAAATAATAACTTTGATATGCTCATCCTGGAATTAAATTTCAGTTAAATAATTGATAATAAGGACATTTTTGTATAATCTACCTTCATCATGTTCAAAGCTTCTGGGGAATCAATCAAAACGCAATGGAGTACGTCGAGCATACCGGTACCTTCGCTTGAAGCTTGAGAACCCAAACGCGAGAAAAGCCAATTTAAACGGTTCGAGTTTGCGAATTGTGCGCAATTTGTGTGATTTCCTTTGATTATAGCAGCCAAAAGCTGATATAGGTAACCGGAAATCAATTCCCAATTTTGATCGCCGGCCAAAGCTGCCAAGAAACCTTGGGAGGTAATGACGTTGATCTTGTCGATAGCTTCGAGAATCAAATTGAGAATTCCTTCCTCCTGGAATAAGTCCTGACGGTTTCGCAAAGCCCTAAATCTGTTTTGCTTTTCTTCGTGCTCTGAAATAATCGATTTGTTAACATATTAATTAAGATTATTAAATTGTCATACCCATATCATCTTCGGGCTGAGCGAAATAATTGATTAAGTCTTCCAAGCACATGACCATTTCGTTCAAATTAACGGTAGCGAAGAACAATGAATGTCTTCGATTCATCTGCAGTGTTTCCAAGCCGCTGAAATTTTAATTACTAGAATCGATAGAATTCATGATTAACCGTTGATTACTTACGTTATAAATTGAGTGAAGAGCGAACTGCATTTACGGATGACACGCGCCGTCCTCGATTCTTCCTCCTGACTCCTACTGAAGTCCAAGCCGTCGTCCATCTTTCCTTCTTCATGGAGTACAGCCTGCTTCTCTTCAACCTTGCCGACTCCCTTTTTCTTCGTTTCGTAAGACTATCGACGCACGCGATTAGTTAAGTATTGAACAAGTAAATGATTTTTACCTTGTATGAAAGCCACAAGCCAGTTTCCGAGTGTTGAACGATCACGGTGGAATCACCGTACTTGATGATCGGAGCTCCGATCACCTCAAGATCTTTGTCTTCCATCACCACCTTCTGGTCGTCTTTTTCCTGTCTCAAGCAGAAAGTCGAAAAAGCGGTCGTCGCTTCGTCTCTGATAAACAACAAGAAAATCAGCAAAATCATAACTAACACAATAGTCAATAGTATTACCGGCCTAATAGACAAAGTTCATTGTTTTCATTGACGCTCAAATAACGACCGGTTGTTAAATGCCTGATACGCATTGGATGGAACCAGTTGATGAAACCACCGGTCCATTTGGTGCGCGCCAATTCCAGACGCCACAAAGATCGAGCTTGAGACATAACACTACCTCCTTCATAAATGACGATGCTGAAATATATGTATTTCATAGTTTTGCAATCATCAAAAACGTGATATTGTTTTATTACTTGTGCGCCGGATCTCTGGTCCACGTCGATGGTATTGTTAGGCATTCGTCGCCCCCGTGGAAGAAACGCAGGACGTCTCCGCCGAAAACGTAACCCACGTACTTCATACGGGAAATTCCTGTTCCGTAGGGCTGGACAGACCAATGGGTTACGTGGAAGCTGGCATTCACGATTGACAACTCGTTTTCTTTCGTTGTATGCTACAAAAGGTAAACATTAATAAGTTCACAAGTTTTTCATCCATCAGTGTAAATATATAATATATAACATCTAACTGTTACATTAATTCCCAATTACAACACAGATGTCATCATCTGATTATTTTAGAAATCATAGGCAACTTGTTTTTCCGATGCCATATAAAATTATACTTGTTTGAATTACTAAAATGGTCACTTACCAAGTATCTTTCAGTTGCCACGGAAACAAGAATAAGATCATCTCCGACGCGAATCTTTTCACCTTCAGATCTGCAATGTTTTGTGGTTTTTAAGACTCGTATTGCTTTAATTAGATTAAATTATATACCTTTGTTTGCTAGCAGGATGGACGGTCCACCAACAGGCCTCACCTTGGCTGTGTTCTTGTAAGCCGACATCGAAGGCCAACTTATCATTACTAGAGCTTGTTGAAAGACATGCCAAGTACTGAAAACCGAGACACAACAAAAATACAGTCACTCTGATTTTTTGGCACGGATCTTGTGCGAAACAAAGCGCATAATCAAAGCCGGCCGGCCGCCGTTGCCAAATAGAATACTAAAAACGTTACATTCCCATGAAAATACTAATGATTGCGAGTGCTTTCTGATTTTATTTTTTTCTTTGTATTTAACTATAAAAAGTCAGAGTTGCGAGTGTACTTGTGTGTATGTATCTCTGACGCTCCGACCTTTTCCTACCAAGCGTTTGCAGATTATCTACTTAACTATTTACCTGATTAATTAGCAACTTAGCCACATTAAAGAGGGGAAATAAATACATCAATTAATCAAAGATATCAAGGTTACATATGGAAGAAGAGAGGTTTTTTTTTTGTGAATTGCGAGAAATCGTTTGTTTGTTTATATGAGAGAGAAGAAGGAAACTTAAGACGCTAAAGATTTTCACATACCATATCACTGTTCTGGTGGCGCAACAGAATCGCGTTACCGTACAGAAGAGTACGGTGCCCTGATCCCGGACCTTTTCCCTACAAAAACAAAACACACAAAACGTAAACTTTAGATACAATTACAAGGAATTACATTACAACAATTCCTAAAAGAACTACATTTACCGATAAACAAATTTTGTTTTCTACCTATTTTGTTTAGGAATTGTTTTAATAAACACCAACCCCCTGCAATTCAGATCTCACTTGATTCTAACTTTAACTATCTCAATTTATTATTAAGATGAATAACATTTAGATTAATTATGGATATTCCATAAATCATCTAATATACATGAGAATTGGAGGTGTGGTGAATTACAGGGTCGAAACCAAAAAAAAAAATATAAAAACTTCAGCCAATTGAATGAACTAAAATCGATCTACAAATAAAATGTATACAACAAAAGTATGTTTTAATCTACGGAAGCAAATGTTCGTTGTTGTGGTCACTGTTAAATTGTTAAGTTAATAATGCAGTTAGTTAACGAAATGATATGAAAGTATAAAAAAAAAGCACAACATCAAGACTACTCTTTTGATTTTTTTTTGTTTAATTATTCTGAGGGGCTACTTGGTTAATCTCGTGTTATTGACTAATGTATACGGAAAACATTTTAGTAAAAATTTTGAATACCGAAGAACGTTCACGTTTCGGTTACTTACTAATCTATCTTGACCCTGAAATTAGAACGAGCGGATAAGACAAGGGGGCATGAAAAAGAGAAAAAAACAAATGCGAATAGACAATAATAAATAATAATAACAAACAAAAAATTGATTCAAAAATAATTTACAAAGTATGAGCGATTTGAGGGTTTGAATGATCGATAGGTGTATTTTGTGTGAAGAAAGACTTACAGTTTCGCTGCCCGCCGCAGTCACCAATTCCTGCAAGGCCCTCACCGAGAGGGCCTGCTCGATTACGAAGACGCATTGCGATAGATCCGGAGGTATGTTCTACAAAATAAATAGTGCCCTTTGTGTCTACGGATGAACTTTTTTGTTGTTGTTAAAGGTTTACCTTATCGGCGATATTCTCCAAAAAGCAATGTCTGTTGCCGAAACCCTCAGCTGCTAAGCACACTCTCTCCCCCGTGGCCGTGCACGAAAGACAGACCATGTCTTCCTGAAAAACCATAACATACGTATGTTGTTCAATTGATTTTGCGAAAACTGAATGTGCGTTTATTACCGTGCGTAAGAACGAGACATCATCCTGCTCCGATCGCCCCTCGGCTTCCGCCATCCTGGGGCTCTAATCCTGCTCTATAAACAAAACAACCCCCATTTGTGGTTAAATCGCGTTTCGCGTTAAAACATTCAGCAGCAACAGGGTTGCAGGGACTCAGGGGGGTGAACGTCAACGAATAGAGAGAGAAAGAGAGCGCAGAATCTGTTAGAGTTTGGGGGGAAAATGCACGACCAAACCCCGAATTCCCTCACGAACTCGCGACTCTATCTCGCGCCTCCGCATTGATTTGCAACACGCATGCAAACAGAAGTAGCACCCCCCAAACCATCAAGATTAAATGACAATCAATAATGTGTCGCATGCATTATTCAACCGCACCAACAATACGGATTAACGAAACACATTCATTTCCATGGCAAAGATGGATACAATAAAGACAAACAAAAGTCTTCAGACCAATTCCAGCTGATTATTCCGCCCCAGCTTCCGCGTATTTATAAATAACCACGAACATATTACCCAATACGTACGGGAAAATGCGATCAGCGCAACCCCTTACCGTTTCCTGTATCGATCGCTACGTCGTCGCTCGGTCGATCATCAAAACTTTCAAAATTCGATAATTCAATATAATTCCACGTGAATCAGACCTTCTCTTCTCCTCGCCTTTTTTTCCCTTTACACACACAGCCTCAATTTCAGTTTCGTGGAGTCGAACTGAAAATCTCACTGTTTCTATTTATAATTTGAGAGCTGTGTTGGAGTTAGTATTTTTAGGCCGTCCGGCTTGAGTAAATTTAGACATTTTCCGACTCCTACGAGACTATACTACCTGTGGAGCAAAGCAGGCGGCATTCCTTTTTATATTAGTTTTTTGTGTGGTTTTCCTCGCTTTTCTTGGCTTTGATCTCATATCGCTCAATTTATATTTTTGCTCAGTGCCAAATTATAAATACTCATCAATATATCAATATTATCGATGCGTCTCCATAGTGGAAGAAGACTTGGATTAGATAAGCAACATTTAAATTGTTCTTCTTTTCAAATTTTCAAATTGTACCTTATCTCTGTTATCTTATTTTTTTTATATTATTAGTATATGCAACCAAACTTACGACGCAAAATTTAAATTTGAAACTCTGTGCGCATCACAAAATACAAATTTTTAATTTAATAGAATTACTTACCATCTATTTCTACTAACTATTCAATCAATTATATCACTCTTATCAGTTAAAAGATGCATTGATTTGACCTTAAGCTATTTACATACTTTTAAAATAAACCTTTATTGTTTTTATAGATACGTTTTCCAACGAAACATTGCAGACCATTCTTTTCGATTGAGTAAAATCTCTATAATTTATATATTATATAAAGGTTAGGTTAACAGCAATAACCAGTTAAGATTACCTATGTTTCTTCTCAAAAAACTTCAAACAATTGCCCAAATTTAATTTATATTACTTCTTCACATTTCACTTTTTTGAAAATAAACAATATCAAAATATTGTTATTAAACAATTGAAACACAATAAGTAAGAGCAGAAACAATCCAAAACTATCCAGATCTTTTGAATTATTTATAATATGTTTGTTCCAATTTAAAATAAAAGTTATTTTATAACGTAAACATGAATAATTTAATTATATAAATGAATATTATATAATAATCGATTTTTCTGTATTATACCATTGAAAACGAAGTAATTCAGCTTTGGTAATAATTTATAAAGTTTTACGACAACTTTGAAAAATGCTTTCTAAAATATGTTTAAGTTCGTAATTCAATATGAAAATCAAATATCATTATAGAACTAGTAGCACAGTATAAAACTATTTGTAAAGTAAATAATTTTTCTTCTTTAGTGTAAAATTTCAAATATAAGAGAGTAGACCACCAAACATACACGAAGTAAATAGTTCTATTTGGATTATTGAAGATTTTATTAAAATCCTTTTTAAGGTGAAAACTTGAGTACTATATCGTAATTAAATTAGATGAAATAGATTGATAAATTTGTATTATTTGAAATTGCATAAGCAGTGTTAAATTATGAATCATATTGGAGGTAGTTCAAACGACTGGAATCCCATCTGACAAGTAATGAATTTTGGTATGACTGCGGGGTCAGTAAAAGCAATATGTCCGACTAAATAGTCTAGCTACTGTCAAATTCACGTAAACATAATTGAAAATTAATGGAAAACATTTAATTGATGAACATGTAAAAGGGAATTGAGGACTCTGAAGATGGCTCAAGGCGTACTGAGCTCGGACATATCGAGGAGGAATCCTCAGGACGAGTACGAACTCATACAAAGGATTGGGAGTGGAACTTATGGAGATGTCTATAAAGTAATTCCCATCGAAAATTAACCCCCAACCTGTGAAGGGTGTACAACGAAAAACTAATTCTAATTATTGTCTGTCTTTGCAGGCCAAGAGGTTATCCACCAATGATTTGGCGGCCATCAAAGTCATCAAGCTTGAGGCTGGTATGTTTCATAATACAAGTTTTTTTTTTCATTCTTGCATATATACATTCATATACACACAAATATCTATATACATGCTCTTCCTAAACCACTTTTCCAATTAGGTGATGATTTCCAAATCATCCAACAAGAGATTCTGATGATGAAAGACTGCAGACACTCAAATATTATAGCTTATTATGGTAGTTATTTACGCAAAGACAAACTATGGATTTGTATGGAGTACTGTGGTGGAGGTTCACTGCAAGACATATATCACAGTGAGTTGTTGTTCTGCTCATTGTATTAGAATCATTGAATCATTTGTTTGTTTTATTCTTTAGTTACTGGACCCTTAACCGAACAGCAGATAGCTTATATGTGTCGAGAGACCCTGTTAGGTCTATCTTATCTACATATGATGGGGAAGATGCACAGGGACATTAAGGGCGCTAATATCCTCTTGACAGAATGCGGGGACGTGAAATTGGCGGACTTTGGCGTGTCCGCCCAGATCACTGCAACCATTAACAAGAGAAAATCCTTCATTGGAACACCATATTGGATGGCCCCAGAGGTATGTGCATTTTGACCTAAGCCTGATAACAGTATCTCTCACAGTTTGGATGATTTCAACCCAGAAATTACAATGGGCTATAGATTAGGTGATATCTGTTAAGTGATTTGATTTGTTGTTTAATACAATAAAATCATAATAAGAAATATAAATACAATGGCTTATTGTAATATGCTTTATCTATTAAATACTTCTTACTAAGAAGAAAGAAATCCAATTGGATTGAGTAAATTGAAATAGAGTTTACAGATTGACAATGATTAAATTGGTCTATGATGGCTTTCAGGTAGCTGCTGTGGAAAGGAAGGGTGGTTACAATCAGCTCTGCGATATTTGGGCGATCGGAATAACTGCAATCGAATTGGCCGAGCTGCAACCACCTATGTTCGATCTGCATCCGATGCGGGCGCTTTTCCTAATGTCCAAGAGTGGTTTTAAGCCGCCCACGCTCAAAGATAGAGACAAATGGTAATTTTTCGTAGCCCACCTACTCATTCGTACCGCTAAATTACAATTAAATTGATTCGACGATCTTCCGTTGCAGGAGCGGAACGTTCCATAATTTCGTCAAGGCCGCGCTCACGAAGAATCCCAAGAAGAGACCAAATGCCGAGAAACTTCTGCAGGTTTATTCATTGATCCCTATTGTAGTATTTTTTGGGCGTGTTTTAACTTGCTTGTAATGTGTTCCAGCATCCGTTTTTTGGGACCGGGATGAATAAGCGACTCGCAACAGAACTGCTCCAAAAAGTGAATAATCCATCACACATGTTTAGTTATATGGAACCAGACGAGGACGGGGTTAGTGCATTTCGTTAGTACTGAATCATTTACAGAATTTATATAAGCAATTGTTTCGTTGCAGTCCGTTCCGAATGTACCGCAACGCATTGCATCACGCCTCACGACCCGCCCTAAAGGAAGAGTACTGACGCCTTCCTCGGATATAGAATGCATCGATGAGGCTAATAATACTTTACACAATAGGCCAGGTATGGCAAACATATCTTCTGCAATCGATACTGGGCGAAATCACGCGACATCGTGTCTTTCAGCAGGTCCTTCAAGTGATATTCCAGATGAGAGCACCAAAGCATTTGACATTATGGACATCATGAACAATGTGACGTCCGTTCACAAATGCATGGAGCACCAGAACCAAAGATGCGGCATTGGCACGGCCTTCGATTCCCTGAACAGAGAAAAGTAAGTGATCCCAGCATCTCTTCGGTCGATATATTTGGTTGATTTCTATTATTTTATTTATTTATTTTTTGTTCTGCATTTCTTTTTTTTTTTGGGATCCGCTTTCATATGAATTTGGATGCTGGAAATGTTACACATACTACTTTATTTTTTTTTGTTACCTCCCGAGTTTTGTGACCGGATGGTTTAACAGTATTTGTTTCTTCTTTATTTTTTGAAAGCGAGGAGAGGCGTGCAATTACCGGCTCACAAATTTTGAAAATGTCCTTAAGGTAGTTTTGAATTTTTTGCGTGGGATTTGAGATATATACTAGCTAATTTCAGATGGTCGCACTGAATTTTACACGTTTCTGTCACATTTCAATTTGCTAAAAAATCATTTGTCCTAAATGAAATCTTTCAAGAGTGTTAAATTAAGATTTCAATTTTGGAATCTACAAAACGTTGAAAGCATATGCGATGTGACAAAAACATGTTTAACAGTGTTATTAACAATTCATATAAAAAATAAATTAAACAAAGATGCTTTCCTCCTCAGACCCAAATTAACAGTAAAACCAAAATTTCCGAATCATTCATTAGCGTCATAATCAATCGCGGAGTTATTAAAAATTAATTAAAATCACGTCACGTACAATTGTTATGGATTCATTAAGTTTGGTGTAATACTTATTTCGATCGTGTTTGCATGCGATTAATTATTGAATTGCGAGTGTATTATTTTGGTGTTCTGCACAAATTTTGCATATTATTATTATTTTGACCGCCAACAAATTAATATCTACATAAATTTATAATCAATCGCTATAACCAGGCAAAATTAATTCCTTTCTTTTTTTTAATATTGTGTGTGTGTATTGTTTCTTTTCGATTTTGTTTTGATCAGTAGCCGTGAGCTTTGTTTAGTTGTTTTATTTTTTTTACATTTATTTAATTCATTAATTGCATTAACAATTAATCGCTTATATGCAGAGTATTCCTTATGAGACTAAGTGTATTTTGATATTAACGAATTAGAAAGCGAAGCTTTGCAATTTTCTGGAGACACTTAACGAATGCTCTGAATATATATTTATACAGTGGGTGATCGGTTAGCGAACATTTTTATGAAAGACTTATATGTACGGAAAACGAACAATTTGCTTAGCCAACATCGTATTGTCGTTAACCGAACACCCGCTGTATACCTTTACACACACATGTATATCCCGTTACTATAATTTTGATTATTGTTGTTTTGTTTATGTTCTGTTTATTATTTTTTATTTTCATTTATTTTCAACTTTTGTATAGGAGTCTCTTGCAGTACATAGACGAAGAGCTAATGCTGAGGTAATTTGAATCAGTTGAAACACTTTCTACGAAAAGTAAAGAATTTTTAATTTAAATTACTAATTACTAGCAGTACTAACAGCAACAAGCTTCAGATTATACCCTCTTTATTTGATGATCTCTTTATCTTTTTTTTACTTTACCCTCGTTCTATTTATTATTATTATTTTGTTGTTGGTAATTGCACTGAATGTACCTTTATTTGTTTCTTTGTTGTTGATTTGCTTTTTTCTGTTTTTTTTTGGTGCTTTGTATACACAAACATACATATATATATATATACAACACATCGGGGAAGGAATGTGGTTATTTATTTTGTTAATTTGGAAACTATTATTTAGCGAAACAGTAGCTTTTGAGACGTGTGAAACTTTTTTTTGTTTGTTTGTTTTTTTTCTGTTTGATTCCCGATTTTTTAGGGGAGCCTACAAATATCAGCCTAGTGATTCGTATACACAGCAGTAAGTTGAACTTTAATACCAAATAATTTTCTTCTTCTGTTATTTTTTTTTCTACTTTTGTTTCTCTGGTCCAGTCCGGTACGCGCAATTGTTTTCCCCCTTTTTTGTCTCTCACTCGTCCCACTGTAATCACATTCACACTTGTGTAGTTCTTGTCTATTCACTCACTCGCTCGTCTCGAGATGACTTTGTTCTGTAATTTTACTCTTCGTGCTCTAATCCATCCAACTAACTTAACTATACTACAACTTGTTGTTATTATTATTGTTTATTTTTTAATTAACTTTTGTTACTTTTATTTCGTAAATTTGTCAATTGATTGGTGTTTTTGTTTTTGCGTAACAAGTTTTTAATTTGTGTTTTTTTGTTCTGTTTCTTTTTTTTTTCTCTCTTTCTTTCTGCTTTGCTTCCTCCTCTCTCGGATGATGCGATTCTTGTAGGGCGACGCTGCCGGTGCAGGATAGCGAGGCAAGTTTGCATGGAAAGTGCGACGTGCACTCGATTCTTTCTAGTCCAACCAGTGATAGCGCGATCAACGGGTCGCCCAGACGGCACTCCTCCGTCGACGAGATCTTCGAGCTGGTGAACAACATGAGTCTGAACGGGCAGAGGCAGCGATCGCTGAGCGACAGCGGTAGAACGGAGAAAACCATCAACGGCGCCGAGACCGACGACATCCATGACACGCACGACACCAGCGTCCCCGATTTGGTGGGATGTCCGCCGGTGCCGCCCAGGAAGCATAGGAGGAGACACACTCCGCCACGCCCACCTAGTAACGGGTTACCGCCCACTCCCAAGGTGCACATGGGAGCGTGCTTTTCCAAGGTAATTCTTTTCGTCATCATTCGTAGTCGTGAAATCGATATTTCATTTATGCATTGATATGTAGGCATTCAATGGATGTCCGCTGAGGATTCATTGCACCGCCTCCTGGATACACCCGGAGACCAGAGACCAACATATCTTGATCGGCGCCGAGGAGGGCATCTACAACTTGAACCTGAACGAGTTGCACGAAACTTGCATCGACCAATTGTACAACAGGCGGACCGTGTGGATGTACGTGATCAAGGATGTCCTCATGACATTGTCCGGTAATATGTTAACATCCTCTCATTTGCGCTATACGATTTAATTGGTTGGAACGATATTAGATCTGTCAATATGCAAATGCTTATATTATATTATAACTATTCTTTTTTTAGGAAAAACTCCGCAGCTATACAGACATGACCTCCTGGCTTTGCAGAGCAAGCAGTCGCACCGCTTCAGTCTACACATGACCAAAATTCCGGAGAGGCTGGTGCCGCGGAAGTTCGCACTCACGACTCGTGTTCCGGACACGAAGTTCACGCAGAAGTGCTGCGTAGCCCGAAATCCTTACAACGGTTACAAGTACCTCTGCGGAGCAACGAACGGTAGCATCTACTTAATGCAGTGGTACGACCCACTCAACAAGTTCATGCTTCTCAAGGTAATATAAAATTGCACATTTTTACATCGAATTCCGTTTGTTTATTTTTGTTTTGTCGCAGAACGTCGAGTGCTCGTTCAATTCCACCCTGCACGTCTTCGAGATGATCATCACGCCGGAATTGGAATACCCAATGGTGTGCATCTCGGTGAAGCAGGCGTATCAGCAGAATAGGTACAAGCTAGACTTGATCAACATGAACTCAGGTGAGCATCTGTTCATTTAGTATTCCTTAAATAATATTCAAGTATTTGGTAATTTTAATAAGCACAATATTGATAAAGTTTGCAGGTTGTAATTAAGTGTGTTTTATTGCAGGGGCGAACTGGTTTCATTCCGATGAGCTGCAGGATATGGACGGCACCGCAACGGTGATCCCGAAACGGGAGAACCTGAACATCGTCTGCGTGCGGCAGATCGAGAAAGATTCGATGCTGGTCTGCTATGATAACGTTGTGAAGATCGTCACGTTGCAAGGGAAGCTGCGCGCCGACAAGAAGCAAGTTTCCGAACTGATATTCGACTTTAATATAGATAGCATAAGTACGTTCGCACACCATCCACTTTATCCTCGTCATTCAGTCATCTTTTTGGCCCACAGTTGTTTTACCGGATAGCGTTTTGGCATTCCACAAGCACGGGGTGCAAGGTAGATCCTTCAAGAACGGCGATATCACGCAAGAGATCACCGACAGCTCTAGGACATACAAATTATTAGGATGCGATAAGTAAGTTCTCTTGTGACCGTTTATGATTCGGTGATGAGTCTTTTATCTTGCAGAGTTGTGATGTTGGAAAGCAATTTACTGCGGACGGGAACCTTAACGCAGGAGGAGGGCCACGACCTGTACATTCTGGCCGGTCACGAGGCTAGTTACTAAAACCACTTGAAACAAGGAATTTTAATCCATAGTAATGTATAATAATTGATTCAAGAGCGACATTCGCATCACGTGCATCTAATTATTTCATTTACCACAAAGATAATCAATTTACCAATCTAAATTCACAACTTACTCAGATCGTGTTTGCATCTACTCTTAATAATCAGTTACTTTATTACTGAGATATATTGATTAGCAGATTAAATATATAAAATGCGCGTGTAGTGAGTGCTTCGACTAAACATAGTATGAGCAACTAATTAAACTGTTATTGAAATTGCAGGCCTGGATTTGGACGTAACACGAAATGCTCAGATGGGTAACAGACAAAAAAAACCTCCGCTTTATTCGCTTTAGTCTCGATTTCTTTCTTTTTTATGGTATAAACTAGCGGAAGAAAGGAAAAAAACCACGAGAAACAGAAAAAAAAACAATGACGTATATTAAAACAAAACACTTAGTTCTTAGAGGAAAACTAAATAAAAGAAAAAGAAAACAAACGAGGATAAGATTATACGTATATCTCGATGATATGATGATCACATAGATTTAAAAAGAAGAAGTAAAAAAAAAGAAAGTACCTAATTAACGTTTTCTTTAATGATTGATATACCTCAAGATGAAGAAGAAACAAATATTTTCGATTAGATTTCGATTTGAAACAAAAAAAAAAGTAAATAATTAAATAAAGATATAATTCTATTCAGAGAAAGAGAGATCACAGAGCTATTTAAGAGAGAGAGAGAGAAGGAAAAATGGAAACAAAAAGAAATTATTAAAAATATATTCTGCATGGAAATATTTTTAGATAAAACAAAATAATAAATAAATAAACAATGTAAGTAATGATACAAAATTATTATATATGATTCGGGGGGAATTTTGAGAATTTGCGAAGAAGATGGAGACACCACAACACAAATACACACAAAATATTAAAAAAAAATAATAGTAAGAAGCCGAAGTATTTTAAAGACGTATTATGGATCACTCGTGTTTATTATTAATATTGTTTTATTTTTAATTATTACGATTTTAATCACCAAAATGCGATTTGGCAATTGTTACTGCGCGTACTCATTTACTGTTTACTATATTTTTTTTTTAATTGTAACTGTTTTATTCTTACGTAATAATAAGGTTTAAGTCATTTTCATCGTCTGTTGTTAATTTATTAATATCTCTTTTTTTATATGTGTATTATTATTATTATATTTTTCTTGTTAACTTATTTTCTTGCGAAGCGTTCAGTGAGTTGGGTGGTCTGTAATAAACTGAAGATTTTTTCTTTCTACGTGCGATAAAAATTTTCTTCCGCGCACTTTTCTTGGGAACGGGGAGACGCGTTTTCGCTTCTATTAATTTTTCCTTGGATTCTATCAACATTCGTTGAAGGAAGAATCGATGGAAGGAAGGAGGCGGGCGAACGGAGAAAGTGAGAGAAAAGATTATCCAGTGTTTTTTTTTCTTATATTGTGTACATATTGTAAATTGTTCAATAAATACCAAAAAAAAAATAAATAATATACAACTTACATACAAGCAAAGGATTCTAGATTGTAAACGTAGTCGTGGATGTTTTTGTGATGATTGACATTTGTTTAATTTCTTTTTGTTGATGGAGAAGATCGAAATAGCAGTGGACGTGACCAAGGATGTGCTTTTTTTTTTCAAAATTGTTTTCGTGATTATATTTTTTTCATTAGTATTGTGATGATGTAGAACGTCGAGTTTGAATTTCGTTGATTTTCGAATTGTATCGCAAAAGGGAATAAATAATTATTACAAATTGGGAACAGTATTTATTTGTTTATCTTTATAAGTCAAATCCCATGTTTGAGATCGCTGCAATTTCTGTGTCTACTGCAAACTTGGTAGACACTGCTTTTTCTAAGCTTAAAAAAAAAGTTTCTTCAAGTTTGATATTAAATGACAAATAATATAAATATAGCAGTATACACGTTTTAAAGAGTGAACATTTAGCTTTAATTTGGTTGCTCAAATATTAATTTGTCGCCAATACTTTTCGAGATATAATAAGAAAAATAAACTACTTTTTTGAAGATATCTTTAGGAATTTTTCGAAATCAAAATTGATAGATTGTTACATATTGTTATTTATTTATATATATAATACAGAGTCAAACAGCGCTAGTAACAGCTGGTAAAGTATATTGTTTTAACATCGCAAGAGTGTCCACCGATTGGTGAAATTCGTCGAGGGCTATAAATCTTTATTTGTTTTTTTAAATATCAACAGAATTGCTATAATACATAATAAATAAAATTGGAATGCAAAGGAACGATTGTCGAATTCGGTCTAGCTGTTATCCTTAAGCACGTCCTTCAGGATTGAACTGGAATTCCTGCTCTGTCCGAAGTCTGCGAACGTCGGCAAAACGACCTCGTTGAGCAGCAACGGTTGCGGCGATTTCCTCTTGGCACCGCCGTTCTCCTCCTTTCCTACCGATTCCGAAGAGCTCTCCAGAAGATTGGGCAGAATCCTCGGCTTGGACTCGGCCTCGAGGAACTTGACGAAGGCCTGCGAGAGGCTCTCCTGCGTCATGGCCTGTCCTTGCGGATGCAGAAGCGACCCGAACCACGAATGCTGCTGGTTCCTGTTCAGGTTCACCTTCTCTATATCCTGCTGATTGAAGTCCAGCACGGTGGAGATGATCTTCAAGATCTGATTCTGATCCTTGCTCAGATTGTTGTTGCTGCTGACCAAACCGATGATCAGATTCTTGATGAGCATCTTGTCCACCTTCCCGTCCGTCTGGTTCGACAATTTGCTGCATTTATCCTCGGATCTGGTCAAATCGCTTTGCAATTTTGCAACTGGTGTTCACGATGACGACGAAGAAAAACGGGAGGAACAGAAACGAAAACAGAAACAAAATAAATTCAATTAGTAAAAGCGCATCTGATATTGGGCTTCGACTGTTAAAGACAATGTTCCAGTAACGATTATAACACAGAAATACTTGCAAAATACTTGTTTTTTTTTTTGTGGTGTATGCTTGAAGGGGTAATTCGGGCCCGATGCAATCAAACAGCAGGATGCAAGTGTTACACAGATACAGGCATACCGAAAAACCAGTACCTGATGTAATACTCAAACCCTAACAATTTGGCATGCTCTAAAAAAAATAACACATCCAATCATGCTTCTAAAAAAAAACGGTTAAAGTAATGTTAAATGTATAAATAAATGGAAACAAATCCATGCTGCCAAACGAAACAGTATAAAATCATAAATAAAAAGCTATAACAGATAATATAAAGCTACTTCATAATAAAAAGAAAATATGTTTTAAAGCGGTTACGCATCACACTAAACTTATCAAGTAATTTGACAAGTATGAGACAATTGACAATTTGCGAAAGTTAATAAACTGATAAGTAACGTGTAATGCTAAACCGCCTTCAGATAGACCTCATGTCTTCTTGTGATAGACTTCGGTGTGAAGCTTTCAATAAATTAATTACAAGCTATTTAGAGAAGCTATTTGAAACGAGCGTGGGATTATAGTGCGTGTTTTTTTCTTTATTATTAGCAGCAGCATCTTTATAGTTTTGGTATTGTGCGTAAAGAAATATCTACGGTGCGGCGGGGCAACGGTCGGTGCGGTGCATCAAATCAAAGAGGTAGTAGGTACAAAAAGAACGGTGTTACAAGAACTGCATTTTTTGTATCCCACTTAGTAACCTGAGGTGGCTTAATAGTCCTCACCGTTACCAACTGAGATTAAGAAAACACAGCCAATGTGCGAGGATAATTGAGTTATTAAATAAATATGTAATAAAGCGTGTGCTGAAAAAATAATATAAACAAGCAAAAATGGAGAAAACAATATATAACATAAAAGAAAACATGATCGATAAAATTGAGTTACATAGTAGCTTATATATTAAAGCCAATTTGTATTGAATTAATTTGGCTTTAATATTTACATCGAATTGTAAAACGAAAGAAGATTTATCTCAAGAAACATTCAGATCTATCCTAAATAAAATTATTGCATTCTAACTGCGTCAATTAAACATTAACTTAAGTTGGCGATAAATCTAAATTAAACTTAAACATGACTTAATACTAATGAAATATTAGAAAACCAGTTTCATAATTTAATTATGTCACTTTTATGCAAAATATTATGAAACAGGCTGTAAATCATACAATGTTAACTAATGTTAATATATAAACAAATACTACTATAAATGTATATAATTCAACTATCTATACATTACATATTTGATTTTCAAAGTAATAAATACATGCGGCACACTATTTCTAGTGAATTTGCAAGCTTAAATTTTAAAATTAAAATCAATAATAATTGTATATGGAATATGACAAAAATTGTGTGTGTGAAAAGAATGTGGTCTGTATGTCTGAACGTTGAAATACCAGCAGAAACTCTGGGACGAGTTCAGAAATACCCCAGAATTACCAGCTGATATTGTACTTTCAGACATAAAACGAATTACTTTAAGAAAAATAAATACAAAACAAAAAGAACATTTTTTTTTGTTGGGACTGAACATGCAAATGAAATCGGAAACGTTCTCAAGTCTCGACTCACCTTCTTCCTTCATCTGAACCACCTGCTTCTTGGAAGCCTCCATCTGATCGCTCAATCGCACCGCCGCCATCAATCCCTCCTTGCTCTCCTCCAGCTGCAGCCGAAGCTCGCCGATCTCCTGCCTCAAAATGTCCTGGACCTTCTTCTCGCTGGTGATCTGCCTTCGGATGCGTTCGGTCTCATCGAAAATATCCTTTTCCTTTTCTGAAAATTGCATTTAAAAAATAAATACTTCGTAGACATTTTCAACTTTAAGTTAGATTTATAGTTACCTCGTTGGAATTGCTGCAGGACGCTCTGCAAATTAACAACGGCCGCCGATTGCCTTGAGACTTGATCCTCGTAATCGTCAACCTTTCTCTTGAAATCATCCCTCTGATTTGTGACTAGTTGTAATTGCGTCTGCAACGTCTCGACCTGCTGATTCGCCCTAATATTCACGGAGGTGTACCTATCGCTGGAATGCCTTTCCCTCTCCTCGACATCTCTTAATTTCGCCTGCATCTCTTCACATTTCAACTCAGCGACTTGCACCTCCTTCGTGTACGTATCCTCGATGGTCAGCAAATGTTCCCGAAGACTATCAAGTTTCTTCTGCAACCCAATTTCCCGCTCGGACCACTCCGTCGTGATCTTCTGTGCGTTAGATTGCTCCTGCAGCAGATTCTCGGCCAGACGGGCGCATTTGTCCCTCAGAAAACCGTTCTGCTCTGCCAGCTTCTCGTTCTCCTCGTTCCTCTCCAGCTGCTTGCACTTTTCCGTCTCCGCCGCCAGCAACTGGTGCAACCTCTGGATCTCTCCGTGGTAGTTAACGTTCTCCTGATGCTTCTCCTGAATCAGCAGAATCATCTGATTTCTGTTCTCGGTAAGTTCGACTAGTTGGGCTTGCAGCTGCTCGCACTGTTTGGCATCCTCTAACGGCTTATTGTTTTCGGCCACGCTGCTCTTGAAGTTTTCGAAATCCGCCTGGATCTGATCTTTCTGCGCATTCGAGGCTTCCAATTGCAGACGCAATTCCTCACCAGATGCGGAAAGATTCTCTTCTAGCTCCATGACCGCACGCTGTAGCTGATTTCTCTCCTCCAACAGAATATTCTTCTCGGCGATGATCTCCTGCACGTTACTCGAAATCTCCTTCAAGTTCTGATTCTCTTCGTCGGATTTGGAAAGCTTCTCTTTGTAAACTTCGATATTTGCGTTCAGCTCTTGGACGTTGCCTGTAATTTTTTGATTTGCCGCTTGCATGTTACCAAATTCCTTCAGCAACGTATCGTGCTGCAACTTTAAACTAGTTTCTGCCATTTTCGTACCTTGCAATTTTTCGATCAGCGTCAATCGCTCGGCGTCCTTCTGCTCCATGTTATCCAATTCGGTAGTCAACTCCTGCTTCAAATCGTCCACCTCCTTTTGTAGCAGCTCGTTCTTCGTCTCAAAGTCTACATTCAATTCTTCAAGTTTCTTGTTCTTCTTCGATAAATCCTCGATGGCCGTCGTCAGATTTTCAATCTCTTCCTTGAGAGTTTCCATGTTGATGATCTGCTCCGCATATTTATATTCGGTGTTTTCGAATTCGATCTTGATTTGATCAACAGTCGAATTTAAATTTTCTTTCTCGTGGAAGCAGTCCACGTAGGTAGATTTCATATCTTCTAGGTTGTGCATTAAACCCTCTTTGACGTTCTCCAGTTCCTTGTAATTCGTTTTCAAGCGTTCATACTTGTTCTTGACGTCATCGCTCGGGATGTTCTCCAGCTCTTTGATCCTCTCGTTCGCCGCATCCAATTGATTTTCTAAAAGCAAGAGATTCTCTTCGTTGGTTTCGGGGATAGACTGAAGGTTTCCCGATTCCTCCACGCGCTGGATGAGCATCTCATTGTTCTTTATCAAATCGTTGCACTCTTCCTCGTAATGCTTGAGATCCTGATCCTTCAAATGGATTTCATCGCTGAGTTTACGGTTTTCCGAGAGCAACCTTTGCAATTCTTCGTCCATTTTCTTGGTGGCCGTTTGGAAAGCAGAGGAATCGCGCTTAAGACTTGCATACTCTTCGAGGATTCGTTTAAGAGTTACCGTAAAGTTGCTTACATCTAAAGTTAGGCCGGCTTCGCTCTGGACGAGTTCCTGAATGGCGTTGAATTTCTCTTGGAACTTGTTCAATCTTCCGATCTCCTTTTCGTATGCGCTCACTTTCTTCTCGTACTTCTCCAGAATCCTTTCCAATTTCAAATAATCTTCCGAATGGATTTGGCTGCGGCTTTTGTAGTCCTCGAACTGTTGTTCAACCTCCAAAAGTTTAACCGCAATTTGTTTGCAGCCATCACCGCAAATGCTTCCTTCTCCTCCTTCCGCTTCCGAATCCTTTGCCTCCAATTCGATTAATTTACTAGTCAACTCCGCTACTTTCTCCTTATCGGCTTCGGCTTCAAGCTTGGAAATTTTCCGTTGGTTTTCATCGTTGATTTTCTGGAGAAACTCGTTCTTCCTTCGCAATTCGTCTACGTCACCACAGAGCTTCGTATTGTGCGCCTGAAGCTCATCCTTGATGGTAACCAGTTTATCTGTTGTCTGCTGACAGTCCTGATCCAACTGCTCCAAACTGCTAACTAAATCCCTTTTTTCAACCTCCAACTCTTCGATTCTCCTTCTCAGCCTCTCCACGTCCTCAGTCGCGCTTTCCACTCTGACCTCCTCCTGCGTTTCCCAGCCCCAGCCATCTTCGTTTGTTTCGTTAGTCTAGAATTAAAAATAATAAATTAATTGAAATATTACAACAACAACAAATGGAAACAAAACACTTTGCAGCTAGGCCACGTAGATTATTGCTTTATCGTGGCAGGCTTGAAAGCACAACTAGTTTATTGTTCGTTTAAAGTTTTCGAAGTAAGTGATAAGTCGCGCATTTTTTAGTGAGCACAAACTGTAATTTATGCGTTGATATACATACAGTTTGCCCCATTTGCATACTACATATTTATATTGCTCGACGAACGACCGAGACGACACCAAAGAGCGTACACCAAAATCCCAAATATCCACACGAATATTATTATTACTACCAGCGTTCTTTTTCTTCGCCCATCGTTGAAACGAGAAAAATAGAGATAGAGAGAATTCGAATGGAAGAAAAATAAAATCGTTACTCGAAAACGTTATTTGTTTGCTCTCTCACTGATTCGTAAGTCCAATATTTGCCTTTCCTAGAAAGTAGGAAGGGTGAGAAACTATTTCGAACCGGAATTGTGGCTGATAAAGACTCACTGATAATAATAATAAATAAAAAAGAAATACGTATGTGGAAAAATAAAATAAATAAAATGGAGCTAACGTCGAATGAGCGTCGTTCGCCTTTCCAACATTTCGAAATGAAGGCATTTGGGTAAAAGTGATCGGACAAATCAAAATACAATGGAAGAAATAAATAAATGAAATTAAAAAGAAAAAGCATTGTTCTAGAAACGTAAAGATTTTAGACCTTAAATTCAAATTATTTTAACGACCATCAAAGAAAAGCGAACAAACAGGAAATGGACGTTCCATTATATAAAACATATCCCGCAGGAAGTTCGATTTTTTTTTACTTTTCCGCCTCGCCAACGACATTTAAGTTAAGAACAGCCTTATCAAACAACAAAACACAAAAAAAAATCGTTACGTAAACGATACTCGCGAGAGAGAGTGAGAAAAATTCGATCGTTTCGCGGAGCTCAGCAACAATATTATTTTTGAATTTGTATATTTCTCTAACTCATCATTATCTTCCAATATAATAAAAGGTACTTCAATGAACGTTTCGCTACGCATATTCAAATTGTGTCGCCGGAGCGGATTGACCTTTCGATGACACAACGATTGTGCATACACAAGGTGTTCGTTTCCTGTGACCCCTATGTACTTAAAAAAAAAACCCTATAAATATGCAACGCGTATATAACGGGCGGCAGCAAAATTCAGTTTCTTTTCTTCGAATCTAATGGGGGGCAGCTGATAACTCCCAAAAAAAAACATGGATAAATTACACCTAAACCGATGATGATGAAACCCGGTCTGAATACGAAAATCCAGCAAATGCGGGAAAGACAAACAGACAATTATCTAAATAGAACCGCGCCTTTTTTTTTTAACAAACATCAATTTTGAGTGCAAAAAAATGTAATATTGTGTTGTTTGTAGATAACTCATTATCAATTTCTATTTTCACCTAAATGACGCAGAAAATACACAGAGTGTGCGAACGCAAAAAAGCCTAGTCATTTTGCCACGAAAATGTCAATCTATACTCAAATAATAATACAATTGTTTCAATATTGTGCTGTAACGTTATGTGAATTGTTTTAATTTGATGCATATTTCATATAATTCAATTACTAATCCACGAATTCAATTCAAATCAATTTGCCTTTTTTTTTCGAATACTATCATTTGTTACACAACATTGTCCATTACCTTGACATCGATGCTCATTTTATCGAAAAAATCATCCTAGCCGTGACACATATTTATAAAATTGTCAAAATGACGTTTCTACAAAATATAACGTATTTTTTGTTATATCATTAATAATATCGAGAAGATTACATTAACATATGTTATGTAAATATATAAATTGTGCGTGTTAAAATGAAGTTTTCTTGTGGATCGTTTTGTAGACATACAGAAGCGTTTACATAAATGACAAATCCGTTGCTATGGTAAACGGACTTTAAACAATTTATATGTAACCAAAACAACTCAACAGACTTCTTCTCTTGCATTAAAAAATGCAATTTCAATTTGGAAAAGGCGCGTCAACGCGTCGCAAATCAGCGTCTTTCAGTGCGACGGTAAAATTTTCAGTCTTTTCATTAAACGAATGGACAAACATAACGCGAACAGTACAACATAAATGTTACACAAAAAGATCGTTTCCTTCGCTCTTCCTGTGTATTATTATTATTATTATTTCGAGCGCACTCACCACGGTTAATCAAATATTTACAGTTCGCAATCTGCACGTTTTTAATTACGTTTGATAACGAGGCGCAAACAGCGAAATGATATCGCGCGCTCGCTGCCTCTTATTTCCCAGAGATTTATTTATTTCACACACAAAAAAGTAATAGTGAAAAAGACGCGAAAAATGAGTCAACGAATGCATATTTTCAAATTCAAAGAATATTAACAAATAAGCCGAAGCGAATTACAACGCAAGAAGAAAACTAAAAATATAATGACAATCTAAAGACCGATTGGGAATTGCTGAAACGATCATCAAAAAAAAAGTAGGATGTCATGGATTGCGTAATTTGGAAAGATTTCAACGAAATAGTAAAAGCTTAATCAAATATTATTAACTTGGAGAAAGAAAAAACTGTTAGGTGGAAAACGGAGAAGATTAGATACAACTTTGAGCAAATTGAAATAAATATTTGTTTTAGAGAATTTCTCTGGTTGGAACAATGGATGCATTGCGAATTAAAACGTTGTTTGTAAATGCTTCTTAATTTAGGTTACAAACAAATATTTAAAACTCAGTAAGTTGACAGTTAATTGATTTCTAAACAGAATAGTTATTACTATGGTAACTAGACTAATGTTAATTGTCAGAAGAATGCGTCGTATTGAAAATTGGCAAAATTTTGCATGAATGTAGGTAAATGAGGAAGGGGATGAAACGTAAGGCAAGAAGGAAAGAAAAATGAGTGTCGCGCAATGGAAAAAATACGAAATACGTGCTCGAGCAACTATTCCGATCTACATCAGGTGTTATATTACTCAGAATTATATTGCGGAGTAAGCACTTACTGAGTATTTTCTCACTGTGTGCTCTCGTACCGACGACGCCTTCTTCTTCTTCTTTCTCTGCATATGCACACTCTCTCGCGCTCGCATTCTACTAATATTATAAACAAGCAATTCCTCCTCGGCTCGCACATTTTACTATTTCAGCTCTAAACGATATTATATTTCATATATATATATTTACAAGAGAAATATAAGCATCAAGGTTCAGAAGCAAATCGGAATTCTAACAAACAGTTTTTAAGAAATGCAAACTAACAACAACAAAAATAATATTTAACAAAAAAAATCCAAATTCTGTAATTCAGTTCAAGTTTCTATGACAACCATAACAACCTAAAGCAAAATTTGTTAATATTTTTAAAATGAAGTACATCTATCTCTCGTTTAACACGGTACTCGATTTACACGGTTTAAAAAGAAAATAAATTAATAAATAAATGTTAAAAATAAACGTGTAAAACGAGTGATGGTGTAATACAATTTATAAACAATAAATTAATTTAATTTGGAAAATGTTAAAAGAAAATAATCATTCCTTCTGTACTGATTAGTGTAGATTTTGTGAAATCCAAATTCAAATAATTCGACCTTGCACTTCTTTAACCTCTATCGCATATTCTCCTGATCTGATGTTCCTTTTCTTTTATTTCCTTAATTTATTTTTGTATTAATCATATTTCCTCGCACAACGATAAACCGAAATGAATATTAAGAACAGTATTTGCTCGTTATTCAAAATAATAGATCATTATAATCTCTTCAAAATGAAATGCCACACATCGAGTCGAACTGAAAACCATAAGTTTTATATTTATTTAAAGTGAAGTAAAACTCTCAACCCCATTAACACCTAGACTACTTGAACAAGGGAACACAGCGTATAGTGTTAATTGAGAATGCAGAGCGATCTGTTTGTTCGACCCTAGTAGTTTATGTTTGAAAACCCTACATTTTTAAATTTAAAAAAAATAAAAAATTTCAATATTAAAATCAATTGCTGTAATTGACTAAATTGTAACCCAGATTACAATATGTAACATTGTATGAAAGTTGAAACAAAATTTATGAAAGCTATTTGATTAAATTGGAAAATCTACTATTTCATAATTAATATTAAATACGTTACTGATTATAACGTCAAAATGATGGAAATTAAAAACTATGTAACCTAGGTTCTGTACAATGACAATGCGTGAGTATTGAAACAAAATATTTTAATTAATAAGAATAATTAATCATTTACTTGTACATCTAAAACGTAAATCAATTGGATTATAAGTAAATATATTCTAGTTATTTAGTTTGAATTAGTTTTACTCGAAAAATATGTGTTGAATTATCAATTTAAGCAATAATTAACAATTACTAAAAAAAACAATAATTCTAAATTTGAAACTACTAAGTACATTTTTCTCGCAAACAAATAACAACAACAACAAAAAAGGCGCAAATAACAATTTCTATATTAATTATGGAATGAAATATTGCGGATTCATTGCTGCGGAACGTCACCTGAGCGAAGGAACGGAATGATTTCCTTCTTAAACAAATGCCGAGAAATGTGCCCACTGGATGCAATAAAAGTTAACGAGGATTCGAAATGAATCATAGATGCGTCGACTCTTCAAGAATACTTTGCAATAATGGTAATATAATAAGTGTGGAACATTATGGATCCGAAAGCGGATCGCGGGGAAACCCCGCGTCAGGAAAAAAAATTCTATAAATAGTTAGCAACAATTACAGCGACAAGTTTACACAAAAAAAAAAGAGAGTACATTGGAAACCACCTAACTTGCGTTGCGACCGCAAATTATATTTAATTTTTTGTTTTCTATATAGAGAATTGCTTACATGTGCAATGTATAATTGTGCACAAAATATGGTTCGAAAGTAATTAAAATATTTACATTCGCGGTGATGCAATTTCCTTTTTATTATTCGACGAGTTTGCGTTTATATATATATATGTATATTTTGTTAAGTAAATCTAATGTTTAAATAATAAAAAAAAATGTGTATTCATGGTGAACTTACCGACGACGATTATTATGTTGACGATTTTCGTTGGTAGAAAATAATGGTATTGTTTCGTCGGCAAAGACCGAAAGGACTTTCGTGGTTGGAAGAACTAGACTTAAACATGTTATCATCGCACGGACCCGGCTCAAATGACTTAATGCCTCTCGACCAATTATTATTCGGTGAGTCCGAAGGGGGACGGGCCTGAAAAGGAGGATCGAAAGGACTCGCGCATGCCCGAACACTGATAAGCGGCGACGATAACGCCCGCATATTCGACGTTTGTCGTTCAATTGCATTGTTTTAACTCGTAACAAATACAACAACAACAAAAAAAGAAGAGAGAAACAACTGTTACAAACAACAAAAAGTAACGTACATCCAACAATGAAGAAAAAAAGAAGTAATTAGATTATGGCAGCAACAATAAATAAAACTTCATTTAATTAATGCTAATTGTCATTAATCATTACGAAAGAGTCGCGCCCTTTCAAAAAAAAACAAAACAAAAACATTCAATATTAATCAAACAATCCACATATTGTTTTGATTTTACATACTTTTTTTAAACGAACAAACATGAAATAAAAAACAATCATCGACTATGAACTTAACAATGAAAGATTTAACATTATGGTTACAACAAAAAATTAAATTTCATGTAATTAACGTCAATTAGCTTAAAACAAAAAACAATAATTTACTCAATCTGAATCAAGAAGCACACCTAGACGATTCGTTACATATTGTTTTTTTTTTCTTCTTCTTCTTCTTCAGAATTTAAAGTTAAGCACATTACAGAACTGTTCTTTCTTTCTGTTGCGTCGTTTTTTTTTCTTCTTCCGCGTAGACCTTCTTACAATGTGTTAGCCTTAACCGCTTTTATCGCGTTATCCAAACACCGGTTTCCTGAGATAAGCCAATCCTCTTTTATTTTTGGGTAAACATAGGCAAACCCCGCTTGTACCTTCAACGCTTCTCCTCTTTTCCACTCTTTATTTCTTCTCATTTTTTTTTTCTTCTCCTCCGACCCGAAGATCACAAAACGTTGGATTTCTCTTTTCCAGAGACGAAAACAAAACGCGCGCGCCTGTTGCCTGTTCGCATTATCATGTTAAAACCGAGATACGGATTGGGTTCGAACCACCCCGGAATCGATAGCGCGCGTTCTTCCCGCATATATATTGGGCGCAATAATTCTTCGACAAACAAACGAAGAATTGGAGAAATAAAAAACGAACGTTTCGGATCCAAACCAACAACGCTACTTCCGTAAAGTTTCTTATCTCCAGTTGGAAAATAACTACTTCTGAGTCATCGAAACCAGTTGACTTGGCGTGTGTCTTCTGGTATTCAAAGTATAGCAATTTTCTGTTTCATTCATTTCAATCAACGATTTATTGTCGCTTCTCATATTGTTATGAAAATCAGCCACCATTACAACATCAATAGGTCACAACAATGATCCTACCGTACGCAATTGTTCAACTTTATTCCAAGTAAAATTTAAAAAATTAGGGGCTAAAATGTGAAAATCAACTTATTTTAATAGTAATTTCTAATAAATTTAAAGTTTCAAATAAAAGCAATTATAAAATACAAATTTAAACAAGTACTGTCTAGATTCAACGCTTTTCGGATAAATATGTTTATTTCCTAGAATATAAAATAAATTGTTCTTTTCATTAAAGTTAAACATTAATCGTATTGTTACCATTAAATTTGTACGTTTATCGAGTGTAATTATTTAAATTTACATAATTAGTATGCTCATAGATAAGACTCCGTTCTATTTCACTTCGGAATAGTTAGAAAACCCATTTTTTTTTTGTAAATTTAACTTATTATGAAAACAATGAAGGATAATACTTATACTGAATTGTATTTCATTTAAAAAAAAAAACATATTTGTGTTTTGTTTATTCCTCGACCATATGAAGTGTGTGGTGTTAAAAGCATAATTAGTGTAGTACACCATAACATACACCATTTAAGCAAATATTACCACAAAGCCAGACACATACAAATTCCTTCAGTTTTCATCGTAACTATAAAATAAAACATGCATATTTCTTCAGAAAAAAATCTAATTAAAATTCGATATACCAATTTCCAAAGTGAAAACTTGTTATTCTTACAATATGTTATTGAAAAATTGTATAACAAAACTGTACAAATATTTATTATACTATAAATATTAATTAATTTATTATTTCGTTTAAAAAGTAAGCAATTTTAGAAAAAACAAAAATATTCTAGAGCTAGTCTAGACTCTAGTGTCCTATGATAAATTTTCACATACGTGCTAACACAGTTTGTGCCTACGGTGAAACAATTGATCAAATTATTGTTTCATTGAAAGAAAAAGTGTGTTTCATTCAATTTAGATACGAATACCACATTTTTTAAACGTTTATATTTATGTAATCTTTTTTTTTTGTGAAAGGAAATTGAATTTATCAAATTTAAGAGGAATAAAGTGAAACGATTATCTTATCTATCCTAATTAAGTAGATTGAATCAGAAATTTAACTATTCGTGGTGTAGTTGTTATATTCATTAAATCAAGAATTTATTTGAGAATTGGATTAACGCTACAAATGTTGCTTAACTTTCGCAACCTGATTTAGTTTTAAATAATTTTAACATCAACATTAAATATGAATTATTTCAATTAAAATTGTAGATGACACGTAATGGATAATCGAGGACTGCATGCGTTTATGCAAATGAACGAATTCCGCTTTGAAATTATACAAACGAAACTATTTCTGAAAAGGAATCGAGAAATTTGGTTGAACCTTACCTGTCCGTCCGTCTCCTGCTTTCACGATATTTATGCGACCGGCTTGAGCGTTTTCGAGCACTAATTATACAATGTATGGCCAAAGCTGTTGTGCAGCGATAATAATCGGGCAAGACAAAGGATCCGAGGCGCCGATTCCCTTTATATTACAGGCATAAAACCGTTACCGGGCAACGATGTTAAACAGAGCAGCAGATAAGATAACAGAATTGATTCTCTTCCGATTTTTTTTTTCTGTCGTCGTCGTTGTAACTTGTGTATTTCACACATGTGCAAACGCAATATTTAATATTATATAAATAATAATAACAACGACCACTTTCCATGCACCCACCCAAAAAAATAGGAAGAGACAAAGCAAATATAGATAAACAGATGGAAGGTGCGGCCAACAATTTCGTATTGCCTATAGTCTAGGTAAAAACAAAATCAATGATCTATGGTCCATGTCCATTTCATTTAATATCAAACAAACGACTTTCTTAAGTTAAAGATGATAAATCAATGAATGTAGTAAAGATACAAAACAATAATTGTAAATGAGAATCTTTAAAGTTATTATTGTAATATTATTTGAATTAACCATCTGCTATAGAAAAACATGAAACGGCCACAATATATTTAATATTGGCTGCAATAAATTGGTGTGTAAATATATAACTTTTTTTTTAGTTATTTCACTATATATGTATGTAGAATATATATATAGGTGTAAACTGTATATATTTCTGCCCTTATCAACATCAAATAATGACAGCTGTTGGATGTTTGCCTTTGGGGCTGATATCAGTGTTTGCTCTGCATTATTGGTACGGGTTTTTGAAGCCTGCTGTGTGCACGCTCATTTTCACACATATTAATTTCTAGGGTAGGCTAGATCAAACAAAAGCACACACACGCGAACAAACTTACAACTTTGATATTCCTCTGCACCTTCTCCAGCAGCTCAGCATTGTGCCTCTTCAGCAACTCAATCTGAAAATTTAATTTTTAAATTAAGTCTGACGACTGCAGCAGAAGGCAGCAAAATTAAAAAAAGAAGCTTGCACATTATCATTATTAGTCTTTTTATCTACAGATACGCAATATTTGAAGCACTCTCGATGTTATTTCGCCCCGCATCTTAATTCATCAGCAAATATTGATTCCAGCAGATAATATGGCCAGATGGAGGGATAGGTTTTACATATATTAAAAATAATCATTGATTTTTACATGTTTATACCTCGTTTTCCTGAGCAGCAACGAGGGTTTTCCAATCTGTCGCGTCAGAACCGCCGCCTGCAAAAGAGAGAAAATTTAATCATTTTCATTTCGCATATTTAAATAACGTGAGTCAGGCAACCACACGTACACGAATCCATCGAATTAAAAATTACGTTCCGCAATTGTTAATTGCGCGATTAAATCTCTTATTACGAGACCTGACAAACAACTTAATTGAATGAGTTGTTATTGTTCACAGCGAGATTATTCTTTAACCTGGTAAAAAAAAACAGCTTTGATTGTACAACGTCAGCAAATGGCAACGAAATTGATTCGTGCGTTAATTTATTCTGAAGATCTTCGTTTGTTCTATTTCCGTTTCTCTTCGCTAAGACAGCCAGCGAGGATGTCTTGATGTTATCGACATTTGTTTATGTTGACTTGTCAAAATCCGATGTTAGGTTATGTTTGTTTAATTTATGTGTGCCCTTTTTCGCTACCTGTGTCGTGCGGGTCCTCCTCCGCTAAAACGCCGCTCGCGAAGCTGCTGATCTGCCCCTTGATGTTGTTCAGGCTATCGTTCAGCCAGGACATCGTGTGCCGTTTTATTTCCCTTTTTCTTAATAATCCTCGATATGTTGTACACTACACTACGAATTTAGTTGTTTCTACAAATGCCAACACAATCATATTTCCATATATCACACGGAAACGAGCTTAGTTACTTGCGATATGTATATTGCATCACTGCGACGTGTATTCACCATATGACAACAATAGTCGCACACGCAATTAAAGAAAAACGGGAAAACGCACAGAAATTTCCCTGCAAATACATTAAAATCAATCGCTTCCAAGGAACATTTACGATTGATTTAAGACATCTTCGAACCTGCAATTCGCAACTCACCCTAAAAACAATTAAGCAAAAGCGATATTTACTATTACGCAGCAGGAAGTAACCCTTAATCAATATGTTTCAACCAGTTTTAAATTATTGTTAAACATTATAGTACATTTAAAATTACTTCTGTCATTTGGGTTGCCTATGTTGGACCTGTCAAATTTAAAATTTCAAAATTCGAAATTTACATTTTTTCGGTAATCAAATAATATTCTTCAATGTTTGCAAATTGTTATTAAAATCTACAAATAACACTTTTATTTATAAGTATTTTCATTTTGAATTGACTATAAACAAATTAATCATTTAATTTTTTTGACTATTTCAAGATAAATTTAAAACACATTACATTATAAAATGTAATAAAATAAAATAAATAAAATTTCAAGTTAGAATTATCTAGCTCATATACATATTTCTGCTTACATTGTAAAGATTAAATTAGAGGTTTCAAAGTTGGTCTACTTTAATTGTAAATTCCAGCTAGTTGTAAGAAATATTCTGTTTTCAATCTGTAAACTTTATGATTTTTTTGTTAAATTAAGCTTTTAACAGCAAAACTTACTATTATCAATTGTTATTTCTAATAATAATCAAGTAAATATATTTAGACTTGTTTTAAATGTGTATTTTTGATTTCAATAAAATTCCATTTTGTTATGTAAATTAGTGTTTTTTATCTGCCAACCTTTTGGTACTTATTGATCGAATAGTATTTGAATATCTCTATAATTTGCAGATTTCGTAGACAATCAAGTTTGGTTGCATACCTATCTAAAGTATGATTACCAAATAATTTCATTCATCTGTTACAAAACCTTTCGTTTTTTTTTTGCAACTGGTAACGCGTGCGCTTTCGCATTTTTTTTTAAATTATACGATTGTTTCTACTTCCTCCACACACACACAATCCATTTGTCAATGGTTTGAATGGTGTTGAGTTGAGAGCTTTAATTTTTTTTAATTGTTTCCGAATAGGCCAGCCATTGCACACCGCTGCTCGCTCGCCATATTTGTTTACTATGTGCGAGGGGTTAACAGTTGGTGTGACCACCTTAGATAATTACCAGTAAAGTAGTCAATGAATCGTCGAATTGATCAATGGGAAGATCATCTGTAGAAGGCCGACCTTGCCAATAACAAACGAACGAGCTTCCTTTTTTAGCCAACACCAGCAGGTAACCTAAATTCCATTCAATATTAATCTCATAGAACCGCTGATTTTTCTATACTTTAACTGAAAACCAAATGTATGAACAATTATTACTCAGTTCTATTTTTACGTACACCCAGACAAGGCTAAATACAAAAAGAAAATCAAGAACATATCAAAACAAAATCAGCTTTTTATCATCAAATGAGGACATTCCATCTGAGCTAGTCTTTCTGTATTGCATAAATCTTTTAATTAATTCAGTTGTCATGGCAATCAAATAGTTAGAATGCTTTGAATGTTAATTGTCAGTGGGTACAATGACTTTTAATAAGTTTAATTATATAAATTGAATACACACACACATACACAAAAAACCTACTGCATACATGTTTATAATTGGTAAGTTATTCTTTATTTATATCTGCGGTTTTTCTGCATTATATTCACTACTAAAAATAAATAAATAAGTGGATTTTTTTTCCATTTAATATGATAGAAAAATATCCAGCAATTAAACCTGCTCATTTAGATTCCTCAGTGTGCATGTGTTTTCCCCCATTTGTGTGAAACATTGCGATTTATGCTTTAATGGTTTTTAAATCTTTCAAGGTTATTGTTCAGGATTTAAAAATAAAACGTGCTTAATTGTTCTCAATAATTTTAATTCGCCTACTTTTATCATTTCAATGACACTGGCATATTGCAGCAAGGCTATGATTTATGCAAAATTGGATAACCAATAACTAAATATAAAATGTTTCAAAAATACAGTGGAACCTCGCATAACGAGCAAAATGAATTGTAAGAAAAATGACTCGCTTAACGAGTCCGAAGTCATCATTATTAAAACTTGTGTAAACATTAGTGCTTTTTGAATATGTTTCACAATACGAGTAAAAATCCGGAAATTTTGGAAAGGATTAAAGTCGTTAAGCGAGGTTCCACTGTATAAACGTTTCCAGCGAAATTGCGAAATATGGAATAAAACGATGAATGCAATTGATGCAACGAAAGATGCACAGGTCAATTGGTGCATTGGAGGTTAAGCAGATGTAAGGTCAAGGCTTGCATATATTTGAACAAATTTGGGATCATTGAAAAACTTAAATATTTGTTGTTTTCGTAATTTCGGTTTGCATTATAAAATAACTTGCATTTTCTATGTTGTACATACATGCAAAATATTTAAAAGAAACTTTCTAGCGTTATATCAGAAACATCGATTTGTAATGAAAATAAACTTCCATTGATAAAAATTAAATGAGATTCTCATGTTCTGAAATCACTCGTCGGAAATAAAACTGGTTTCTTCCTTATCTTCCGATAATGTTGTTTAATCTATAGAATAACCGTTTATTCCAATATCACAAAAATCCTATAAAACCAGAATTTGTATTTCATTTCAATTTTATGTATAATTATGTAAGATACTGAATGTTTATGATATTTGCAGCTCGTCGAAGATTAAAGTTGCATCCAGAGATTCGGCCGAGGATCCGAGTATGAGTGATATCACGCCGAAGTTTCTGAAACCCGCTGAAAGTTCGAGCTTCCTAGATAGAAAAGAGACTAACCTCTCATACGAGAGTACCGAATTCATCTTCAATAGGAATATCTCGCAATCCGTTCAAGTCCAGCGGCAGAAGCTACCGATCTTCAGGAACCGCAGTCACATTCTTTATCTACTCGAGAAGTACCAAACACTCGTGTTAGTGGGAGAAACCGGATGCGGGAAAAGCACGCAAATACCGCAGGTCAGTGTATTGATAAACGCCCAGTCTGGCTAGCTATTCGAGGATTTTTTTGTGGGCTGATAGAGCAATGTTCAAAAATCACGCACAGTTCAAAAAATAAAAGCAATTCTTACAGTTAAATTAGTTTTGGTAAGAAGCAATTTAAAATGTTTACGTTATAGTTAACACGCCCATGCATAATTTGTGTTCATTACTTTGAGTTATGTATATTTTATTTGTCGAAACGCAAAGGATCGAATTTCATACTCGATTACTTTTCATAATTCCACAAAGTTCAGTAATGTTAACAAATGATGCACATCTAAGAACGTTTTTTTTTAAAGAAAAATTCGCTCGCCTCAATTAAGGTCAGAAATATTTGCGACGACTTTACAAATGTACCATTGTCTTCGAATATACCGTTGATAATTCGCAAGAGTTTCACCTTGAGAGATTAAATTAAATTGAATCAGAAATGCAAACAGAAACGTGAAACCATTTAGTTCGTCCTTATACATCGTCTGTTTCAGGGTTTTTTTTTCTTTTCTTTTAATATTATATATAAAAATGTTCGCCGCGTTCCAATTGCGTTCTAAAAATATTTGTAAACAAAATCAGTACCAAATTTAGTTGCGTGCGGGGAATCGCTATTAATAGTTGATGGGACTTATCCGATTGGAAATGTTGATGAAATAGTGGCTACGATCTTTTCGCTTTATATTTCTTTTTTCGTTGATATAAATAATTAACGGGAGAGCAGGGCCGGATTTCCGAATAATTGTTAAATAAAATGATAATGTACTCCAAAATATATAAATGAAATATGATTCAATTCATAGAACAAAGAATTTTTTTGTACTTTAAAGTTATATAAAACAGATTTTGCTATTTAAATTAAAATTAAGAGGAGAGTGAGAATTAAGAGTGTGGTTGTATCCGGATTTCCGCGGACACTTTAGGACTTATCGCCAACATTTCCATGTTAAGACATTTTTTTAATTCCATTTATCACTATATAATTATAAAGATTTTGAGTTCACATTTTTATTCTTTTAAATTTCACTTTGTTTATAATTTTTTGTATTTGAATACCATAGTATATTTAGAATGTAATTAATCTAATGATAGTTGTAATAGCTTTCATGATACATGAATGTGTTTATTTAAGAAGTAATGCTTTTACGTGAATCATTCGAGTAAGTAGTTTCAAATGGAGAGTGGTTCTTTTAATGACCGAACGATAATCAATTATTCATTACGGTTAATTATTTGTGAATTATTTATCGATTTGTGCATTAAAGTAGCGAAGGAAGAGAAAAAACCACCACCCTTAAGCGAAAATCAAACGAAAAATCTATTTTAGAAGTTGTTGAGTACGGTGGGTTTAGTTGGCATGTTAATCCGGCCCTGAGAACCACTTGACTCGCCTTTATCAGCTTTTCGATACAGGTATAGATTGCGTGAATAATAATGATAATAATATTGTAGAAAAGAAATTGTGCTTTCGTGTCGAGTTTCCAGTTTAATTATTGTTTATGCACGGTGCGTTGTTTTTATTTGCGTGGAGAGAGAGATGTGAGTGTGGTTCTAACTATTAGGCATTTTTCAGGACGTTCATTTATTTTTTTCGTTTCAGGTTCGTGTAGCGCTTAACCAAACACTACTTAGAACATAAGAGTCGTTTAATACAAACAAAACTTAATTCAAAATAATTGTTGAGACTGAGAAACCGTCCAATGTCTAATTAGGGCCTAAGTAGTTAGAGAAAAGAAAAAAAAATGATTGGTCCCTCGTCGCAGATCAGCAAGCTACTGCTTACGCTGTTGCTTTTGCTGATGGTTTGGTATATTTATATGGATGTTAACTTATACATGAGAGTTCAAAACTACCCGATAGACCGGGGAAGCATCTACGACAACGTCACGTTCAGTTATAGTGATGTGGCCTGGATAAGTTGCGACATTAATCCGCTTTGCGATGTAACCGTGAAGGCCCTACTGCTTGACCATACTAACCATTATCTGTTCTCGCCGCTCGCCGTCATCGTCGACAATTTGTTGAAGATTGACGATGTCCTTTGGATCACGCCCAACATGATTAGCTTTTTTCATGTTTTCGTGGCGATCCTAAGCGCCAAATGCATTTCGAGCGATAGCCTCGCTTACAGGCGAATCGGCGTGTTGCTCTTCGAGGTGAGAACGTTCTTGGACGATATGGACGGGCACGTGGCCAGAGCGAGGAAGCACATAAAGGGCGAGAGATCCGAAGTGGGTACAGCAGGTTATTACATCGACGGCATCTGCGACGGTCTCGGTTGTATTGCATTGATGATAGGGGCCTTCGTGTTCCTCAAGAGCAATCCGCCTAGAAGAGGATATATGCAGCTACCCACGACGGCATCGCCGAGTGAGAAAGAGAAGGACACGATGGTGTACAAAGCGAAGGTGACCACGAAGAAGGTAGTCATCAAGATCGTGTGCTACTCGATTCAGTTAATCATCAGTTCGGCAGCTTGGAACCGGTACATAGCACTGTATCAAACGCTACTCGAATCCAACGACGTCAACTTGGATACGTACAACAGACAGACAATAGTTTACCAAAGTTCTGTGTTCTTCAGCGTCGCCTGGCTGTGGAGGATATTCAATGTTCATAATCTGTTGCATTGCCTTTTGTTGGCCGTATTTTGTGATAAGTTGTGGGAATTCCTGAAAGCCATTCAGTATGCCGGCTTCGGCGTTCTTCTCGGAGCCATCTGCGTTGCCGAAATCCACGTAGCCGACGTCAAAGATTTTATATACAGAAGGATCGTATCCTTCTGAGAGTCGACTACGTCTCCTCCTCCACTTCATCTTGCCAATCGTTGTGTATTTTCCGTTGCATTAATTGTTTAATTTAATTTAATCCCATGGTGAATAATCATTAAGTAATATTTGTAACTTTTTAATGATTACTGAGTTATTAGTATTATAGATGATTTACTGTCTTGTTAAATAAAACTGTGTACATATTGTTAACATTATAATATGTGGAAATGATCTATTATATTTGTTAAATATATATATAAGAATTACATGAAAACTAAATTAATCCGAATCCGAATTCGCACAATAAACAACATAAAATCATATACAATATCACTCTAATGTGAAGAATCAATTGAGAAAACTAGAAAAATGAAACACATTTGGACTTTTACACATTCAATATATACATTTAGAAATCTTGTAAAAAAAAGCTAACAAAAATATATTGATTATACACTTTTGACTGACACTGCATATGATTCTTCATAAAAACATCAACAATAACTGTGTATTTTCTTTTCAAACCTTTCTCTTGGTACGTGAATGAATATTTCAGTATATGATAGAGGCGGAATGGCCTGGGACGATTGGAGTGTGCCAACCTAGGCGCATCGCAGCCATCTCCTTGGCCAGGAGGGTAGCAGATGAAACCTCAACTCAGGTCCAAGGAAGTCACGTCGGATATGCCGTCAGATTCGACGCCTGCACAATACAACCTAAAATCAAAGTAAACCAATTACCGGTGCATTACAATCGAAGAAATACTAACAGATTAATGTTTTCAGTATATGACCGAAGGAATTCTGATGAGGGAAATGATGGCCGATCCGTTACTCTCCACATACTCGGCAATAATGCTTGACGAAGTGCACGAAAGGACTCTGTACACCGATATCTTGATGGGACTGATGAAGAAGATTCTGAAGGTTTCATATTTAATTTACATGAATATATTCTTAGCAAATTAACTGTAATTCTTGTTTTTTTTTTAAAGAAACGTAAGGAGTTGCGGTTGATCGTTGCCTCAGCTACAGTTGATGCGCGAGAATTGAAAGCCTTCTTCAATAGCAACGATGGTACAAACAAATCGATGGATACGGCTGCAATTCTTTCGGTACACGGAAGACAATTTCCAGTTGATGTTTACTTCATCAAAGGTAATTAGAATTACTGTTAAGTTGAGAGATATTACGAGCTCGCATAAACTTTACATTTTTTGATCATGACTCATATACGATGAGATAATCCTGCATTGAGTTAGATCATTATTTTGTTTGATTTGCATATTGCAACAGTATCATATATATATTTAAATGAATTTACTACAGCTTATGAATTTGTAAATTTTTGATATAGAATTCTTCTGTTGCAGAACCAATTCCTTGCTATGTGCAAGGTGTAATCGATTTAGTAGTAAAAATTAACAATTCCAAGGAACCCGGTGATATCTTAGCGTTTTTAACTGGACAGGAAGAAGTTGATAGAGCATGGCGTGTCCTGAAGGAGCATGCAAACTTGCTGGAAGAAGAAGACAAGAAAAACAAAATGTTTGTGTTACCGATGTACGGATCTCTACCAAATATGGAACAGCTAAAGGTATTCAAATTCGCACCCGACGGCTATAGGAAAGTTGTGCTTGCTACAAATGTTGCAGAAACATCTGTAACTATACCGGGAATCGTCCATGGTAATTACATATACTATGAAATTGATCGTGTGTAATTTATACATTTTGTTTCAGTGATCGACTGTGGCTTTGTAAAATTGAAATGGTTCAATAACGACACGCACACGGATAGTTTGATGCTCCTCCCCATAAGCAAAGCATCTGCGAATCAAAGGGCAGGAAGGGCGGGTCGAATGCGATCCGGCAAAGTTTACAGGCTGTACGCGGAGAAGGATTGGCCTAGAATGGCCGATGCCACGCCTCCAGAAATAACACGCACCAATTTAACCTACGTATTGTTGCAACTGAAAGCTTTGGGTATCAGCAATATTTTGGAATTTGATTTCCCGAGTCCTCCGCCGCTTGCAAACATAAAGAGCGCTTTGGAAATCTTATATGCCTTGGATGCAATTGATATTCGTGGTGAGCTGACCAATCCGCTGGGATTCAATATGGCCGAATTCGCTCTGGATCCGATGTACTCGAAGGTGTTGCTGAGTTCGGGAGAATACGGCTGTTCCGAAGAAATACTCACGGTGATTTCAATGCTGCAAGTGGAGACGATCTTCGTGAAGCCGTTGTCGGGGAACAATTCGATTAAAGCCCGTATAAAGAAACGAATGTTCGAAGTGGAGGAGGGGGATTTGATCACCTATTTAAATGTATTTTCCGGCTTCATGAATAACGATATGCAGCAGGGCTTCTGCCAAAGGAATTACCTCAATTACAAAAGTTTGAAGCGGGTCGTAGAAATAAGAAAGCGGTTGGAAAAGATGCTCGTTAATTATGGTGTGCCTCTTGTTTCATGCGGAGGTAACATGTCTATTATTATTTTTTTTCATTAAGTAATTTATTTCTTTTTTTATTTCCAGGGTTTGCTGAGACTGTTTGCAAATGTTTGGTGACGGGGCTATTCCCCAATGCCGCTTATTTACATCATTCTGGCGTGTACAAAACAGTTAGGGGCGATATCGAGTTGCATGTCCACCCGGACAGCAGTTTGTACACAATCACGCAACCCCAATGGTAAACGCTCGATCTAATCGTCACATGAAATCAAACTCCTTTAACATTGAAAAATTGCAGGGTTTTGTTCTGCGAGGTCCTTCACACCACCGAATTATTCATGAGGGATTTAACCGTCATCAACAGCGAATGGTTGCTAGAACTTGCGCCGCACTTTTATCATAGGACAACATCGTTTTAGGTAAAAAAATAAATAATACTTTTAAAAAAATAAATCAACTTTATTTATTCAGACCACCTTCCAAACGCAACTTCTTGCGTTCCAAGTACTCTTGAACATTATCGAATTTTCTCTTATAATAAACAGAGAAATCATCCTTACTACTCTTAGTAATCAGCTCCTTGTTGTCATCATAAAATTGATTCAAATCACTTTGAAACTCATATTTGTCCCCTTTACACTCATAACAAAGCAACTTATCACTGGTTAAAATTATCAATCTATCCCTTAAACTAAAATTAACAAGTTGCGAATCAAAATTGACATTTTGCAAGTGTTTCACATCCAAACTATCCTCACTCCAAACAGCTGAATAGATTTGAATGTAATTTAAACCCAGCAAGCTCACTGCAACATAGTTTCCATGAACCTGCATATCTGTTATTGGCAAAGCCCTGACCTCAACATTATCTTGATCCATTTTCAAACAGAACTGCTCAATTACATTTTTATCTTTGATAAAATCATTGCAGTTCACAATGCCAATCTGCCTTCCACTTTTGTAATCCCAAAATCTGACTGTGCCATCACCAGATGCAGACACCAAGAGTCCATTGAAGATTTCAATGTTTGTAACAAACTCCTTGTGTCCCAAGCAATAACTCAAGATGTTGTAGCAGTTTGGGTAATGGGAAACTCTGATCTTCTCATCTCTGTCACAGGTGATTATGTATTTGTCCTCAATTAAAATGTCCAAGAGCATACTTAAATGACCAAGCACCAAAGCTGGAGTATCCTTGTTAAACTCACAGACAAAAGCATCTCCTGTTTTATCTGCAATCAGGATATCATTGTTGGAGCCAAGTCTAACTTTACTTGCTGCTCTATTTAAAACAAAATTCTTTATCACTTGCAGTTTAGCATCAAACAGCACTACTTGTTTATTCTGAGTTGTTGCTAAAATGTACTCTTTGTTCACGGATAGGGAAATGATTTGCTTGTCCTCTCTCTTCAGAACCTCAGTTTGGCCCACGCTCAGGTTTTCTGGTATTATGATCTCTGGTAACTTAACACTCTTCACTGGAGCACAGCTCCCACTGTAGTTATGTATTAAAATTTGGTCTCCAACAGCAACGTAGAGGCACCCGTCGTATTGCTTCAGCAGAGCCATGGTTATTAAAAATAATGTACAACAGTTAAAACCACTCCGTTTTGTTATGACGTTTCACGTGTTTGAATTATTGTTGGTTATGGATTAGCTGTGTGTAGGTTTGCATAAGCGAAGAATATTTCAATAATAGATTGAATTAAAATTAACCAAATATTTTACATTTATTAATAAATTGACTTATAAATTATTGTGAATAAATAAATCCAATGTACAATTAATTATAAAGTAAAGAAATTGAAAAGTGCAAAAACTATAATCTTTAGTATAGATTTAACAGATGGCAGTAAATGAAGAATTATAATTTGTCACCAGGTGGTGTTATTTAAAAAATAATAACAATTTTCTTTGTGATTGCATTTGCTCATTACATAGCATTAAATAATTGCCTAAAGATAATTAACTTTAATGTTTATGTATAAACGAAAAGCTTTATGAATGATTTTGAACGTTTTCTTAATTAGCTTGCGGTGCTTTCGGTATTGGTGGCAGTTGTTGGTATTGTTTTCGTCTTTCGTACGCTTTCGTTATTTATTTATGAGAATCGATAAGAAGTGTAACGTCAGGAGGAGTTGTTGTTGTTTTTAGTTTAAAATTGTGTAAATGGCTCTATCTGCATGCGAACAGGAGATCGTGCTGAGAGAATGGGCTCCCCTGACGGACCTCTTCCAAAAGCTGCCAACTCGATCGCAAAACGGCATCTTCAACACCGAATTGAAGATATATTGCATCGATGCGATTACAGAATATCTCGTCCTGGGAACGAGCAGCGGAGTGGTATACATATATGACCGTAAGAAGCTCACATTGCAGAGACTCCGCTGCGAGGTAATGCACACCTATTGGTATTAATCTAACAATATGTTGGTTAATAATTCATCTTTGCAGAACGTCAATTCGCCTGTCTCTTGCGTAAAGATCGTTTCTTCTGTTGATTTCATGATATGCTGTGGCTCTCAGGATGGCACAATCACAATTTTCCAAGTGCCCAAGACACCACCTGATACATTACCTGAGAGCCTCAGGCCAGAAACAAAACCAGTGGAGAGGTATACTGTAACTGATATGCACTCAGCTGCTGTTACAGCCATAGAATGGTCCAAGAATGGAATGAAAGTCTTCTCAGGTGATGCCAATGGGATTGTAATACTGACTGAGATTGATGATTACATGGTAAACATTTTTAATAGAATGATCATCAGGAGCATCATTATGATTTTGTGATTTCAGCATTTATGTAAGTCTGCTGAAGTGCTCAATGAAGCTTACAAAGTAGTGCAATTAAGTTATCATCAGCAGAATCTTTTGGTTTCGACGACGTATCGCACTATACTTTGCCGCAGGGACAATAAATGGTCGGTTAGCCAAGTCGGCAAAAAGGATCGCAAGATGTACGTTACTATCATTAAATTAAATGATGATGTTATAATATGATGTAATTATTTTCAGATTCGGTCAATTTGGTTCTTTGTTCTGCAGAAATGGTATTAGTCCTAGCGATATCATTATTTATAGTTCCAGGCCTGGTTTGCGACTGTGGGTGGCAGACGCTAATGGTTCTGTTCAGAAAACGCTACTGTTTAAAGTAAATTTATATAAAGTTGAATAATATGCTCATTGTGATTTTTAATAATGCTACTGATTCGGATTGTACAATAATTTATTAATTAAAATGTAATTGTTTTCAGGAAGTTTTGAGCGATCACGAATTGTTCGAAGTGCCTCTACTAAACCCGTTTCCGGCGAACTTGGAGAACAAGCGTCCAAGCAAAGAGGCCAGCTTTGGACCTCTAATACAGTTTTGCGAAAACTACCTGATAACTTACAGCGATGAGGTCGTCTACGTGTTGTCTCCGCAGCATCTAAAGATCGTAGCTGTAATTACTCATTTAAGAAAGTTAGTGGTTCTTTCCGCTCCGTCCGAGGTCTGAAGATTTATAAATAAACTAATCGCGTGTGATTTTCAGGGTCTGTGATGTTGCGGTAAACAAGGACGAGATCTTCATTCTGGAAGGCGAGAGGAGCTTGATACGGGTGGCTTTTACGCCAGAAATGGAAATTGAAAATCGTAATTATTTAAATTGTATAATTGTAAATGAGGTAATTATATATGTAATATGTATTTGCAGGAAGCTCAGTAAATTCGTCGCCTCTGAAAACTTCTATAAAAAGTTTAACGAACAAGATGCAAGCTTCGACGATCTTAGCAGCTACTGTTTTCCAATCGGATCAGAACATCAGCAGGGCCGAAGAGGCTAGGGAATCTCCATCGAATAAATACATTCCTCATAATCCTTCCTACACTGAGAAAGTGTACGATGCTTATAGGAAGATGGAGGTGTACAACAAGATATCGGAGCAGCAGTTCGACGAAACCATTCTCTTCAAGAGAGGTCGCAGCAAAAAGTCGGATACGATGACGACGAGCGTTTACTCGAACAGCTCAAATAGTTCGAACGACGAGAGGGATTCAAGCAGCATCACGAAGCCGACTGTCATGAATCTGAGTGCAACAGATATGATGCCTGATCTGAGGAGTCCCGACTCGATTCACAACGATATCGTGCAAAAGGAGAAATTACTAGCAGACGTCCTTAAATTTGATCAGGTCAAGGTGGATCTGAAGCAGCTGGATAAGCCCAAACTGGAAATACTCGACTACTATGAGAGCCGCCCGGAGAAGAAGGACGAAACCAAAGATATTCCTGACATTATTACTAGCAGCAGACAGGAGACGCTTGTTATTCAAGATGAACCGTGCATCACGCAAAAATCACCCGTTGAGCAGGTGCAAGATATTAATAGGATATCGCCAATTAAAAGTGCCACCGAGACGATTAACAAACCTCAAATCCAAAAAATCGACATTCCAGGTGAATATGTTTTAACGTTTCGTTTTACTTTCTTCATTTAGAGGCCCAGTTTTACAGCAGTAGTTTCTTGTTTACTTACATACAAAAATCATTCATTTATAAAAAATATTTTGATTTGGAACTAGGTTTCACAGTCCATGTAAAACTTGTGCCAATTCCTTTTTAAATACTTATCAACATTTGTCACTAAATTGTAATTTTCTGTTGCTTTCTCAAAAATTGGTTTGCTAGGATATCGCAAATGAGTGAGTTGATGTTTTCTCAGTGAAGTATTGGCCGGTGAAAGATCAACTCAAAATTCTAATACCCATCTTTGTTTTCGCTTTGTAATTGCAGCTTGCCAAACCTTGCCCAACAATTGGAATGTTTACAAGATATCGTTGGGGGATAGCACCACATCTCCAGACATATCACTCACCGAATGGGAAGTCATTTAACGATTTACAATACTAATTACGAATACTCTAAGCTTAGTAATACTGTATTTCTTCTAATTATTTCTAGTCAAAATTTGTCTTTATATATACTTATATTTTTTATTATTAGTTTTTGGGCTTGTTTTGTTCCATTTTAGTGATGATGAACCTATTATAGATCTGATATGTGTTACTCGATTTTAACGCGCTTAATTGAATGAGAATCATCATTTCTGAGAGCGAGAGAAGAGAAAATGAAAGAGAAACGAAACATTATTTATTACACACCAAAAATATATTATTATTAAAGTTTTTGTTGTTGTTTTATTATTATTTTCTTTGTTGAAATTAAAAAAAAAAGATACCTTAAGAAGTTAAACACATTGAATAAGTTAAACAGTTTATACCGGCTTATAGTCGAGCTTGCTCTCCAGCTTTTTGTTGTCTGAAACCTTCCTGACGGCTTTCATGAAGTCCTCCTGGATCACGTACTCTCTATCTGAACGGATTGCGAAGAGACCAGCTTCCGTGCAAACATTCCTGTTAATAAAATTAAAATAATGATGGTTTTAGTTTTATAAATATAATGAGTTGGTTACCTCAAATCGGCGCCGTTGAAACTGTCCGACAATTTAACGATAGCCTCGTAATCGATTTCGCCGTGCTTAGCGATTGGTCCGGCGTGGATCTTGAGGATCTCCAAACGAGCCTGTTCATTGGGCAAAGGGATTTCGATCTTACGATCGAGTCTACCGGGACGCAAGAGGGCGGGGTCTAGGGTGTCGGGCCTGTTCGTCGCCATGATCATCTTGACTTGTCCCAGCGAATCGAACCCGTCCATCTGATTGAGCAACTCCATCAGCGTACGTTGGATCTCACGATCGGCGGAAGTACCTTCGGAGAATCTTCTGCCACCGATAGCATCGATTTCGTCCATGAATATTATGCAAGGCTGATGGTCTTTAGCATAATTGAACATCTCACGAATCAAACGCGCCGATTCGCCGATGTATTTGTCGACGATCGCACTGGAGACGACCTTCAGGAAGTTGGCGTCCAATTGAGATGCGACTGCTCTCGCCAAGAGAGTTTTACCGGTTCCGGGTGGTCCATACAATAGGCAACCTTTAGGCGGAGTGATTCCGACTCTCATGAAAAGCTCTGGATTCAGCAGCGGCAATTCTATGACTTCTCTCAGTTCACGGATTTGTTCTGAAAGACCTCCGATTGCCGAGTACGTCACATCTCCTGGATCCTCGTGACTCATGTTGTATACTAAAGGATCGACTTCGCGCGGTAAATAGCGCATGATTGTGAGCGTGGTCATATCCAAAGCCACCCTTGTTCCAGCCTTCAACTTCTGTTTATCCAATTGCCTGCGACATCCAACTACATATCTGGGCCCATTTGTTGCCTTTACAATAACTAAAAAATTACAAAAACTTATTATTTACAAACATTTGTACAATGAAGAGACACCAAATGTTAACACTAAATAGTCAAAGCTATTAAGTATTATATTATTTTTGTCTAAATTCTTGAAGACAAAGAAATATATTTATGATATATTCATTAATACAAGAAAACATATATTTCCTTAGTAACAGAGTAAGTTAAAATCAAATAGAATGTTAATGTTGAATACTAAAAATCAGACTTACATTTTTCTTCAGTCAACTGTTTCAAAACTTCTCCAACAATTTGGCCGACACTCTGCAGAGCCTTCAGATCATTCTCAGACTTATCATACTGCTTTGTTAGATCCTTCAGCTGCTCTCGCACTGGAAACATATGAAACAAGATAAATATTAGCAAGGATGCTGCAAAAAGACCATTCCCATAACTCACTTTCTTTGAGGCGAGATTCGACCTCCTTGTGTTCAAGCAGCTTCTTGCGGTAATCGCCGAGCGCCTTTTCGCGTTCCATTTCCACGGCCATGGCGGTATTCCTCAAGCAATATTCAACAAAACTTTACGCCAAAATGACACAGCGCAATACAAATTCATCGACACCTAACCTCGAATAAAAAATGACAATCAACAAAGTGCAAGAATCGAATTGGATTAAGCTCAGGATTACTTGACGTTTATGGAGGAAATTTGAATTTCGTTTCGCAAACAACCGGCGGTGGACACAGTACAAAATTCGAGTGAAAAAGATGGGAAAATTACATTTCAAGAGGAAAATCAAGTAATTTTTTTGGATTTGTTATATTTTCATTGAAAAAGATGCCGATTTTCTGGGTTTTAGTGTTGTGCGCAGACACGCGCTCTCTCCACCAATCGCTGCAAATGTCAGATGTCATCGAAACCTAAGCTGTCAGTGGTGTTTTGAGTGTGTGTGTGTATGTGAGATTGCGAGAGTATTGTTTCATTGTGTGTGACGTATGTTTTAAATAGACTTTTTCGTTCTGTTTTTGTGTGCGGTTTCCAGTTTGCGTCTGTATATTTATAAACAATCGGAAACGTTGTCGTTAGCCCGAATGTGACAGAAAAGGCTCGTCGTTATTTCCGTTCCTCTTCCTTTCTGATCCAGCTGAAGTTCTCTGACCACCATTCATTCAATCATTCCTTTCTCAGATACTCTCATTTTAATTCTCCCCAAACGTCCAGCATCAACCCCTGCAGTGTGTAAGTAGTGTGCCATGTTAAGTGAATAAATAACAACTGAAAGTCCTCCTCTGTCAAGTGCACATCATAGTTGAGTCTTATCACTGTTTAAACAATTGCTTCTCATTTAGTTTATTCATTATCTGATATGGATGTGTGATATTCAGAAGTGTTAATTAACAATGATATGTATGCTTGTATGTGTATATATGGGATGGATGGCATGTGGGCAGTCCTTATATAATTTTAATTGAATATTCTGTTTGCTTGGCAGGATGTTCTCCAATGGTATCAGCTGTAATCTGCCATTCAGCTGTATGAGTGTCACCAGAGACTCTGGCTCAGAAGAGCTTCTGCCCAGCAGAATGGCCCGGGAACCAATACTACTCAATGTTTATGACATGTACAAAATTAATGATTTAACCTCAAACATAGGCTTAGGAGTCTTCCACTCAGGTAAATATTAAATAATTCTAACAATAAAATCCAGCTGAAAATATATTTTTTTTTCAAATTTTAGGTGTCGAAATTTATGGTACAGAGTATGCATATGGTGGACACCAGTATCCTTTCACAGGCATCTTTGAGATTATACCAAGGGATGAGAGGGAATTGGGTGATCAATTTCGATTTAGGTAATTATTTTGATTTGAATATGTGGAGTTTCAATTAATAATGCATTTAATTGACTTTTTAGACAAAGCATACAAATCGGATATACAGATTTTACAGAGGATGATGTGAAAAGAATCATCAATGAATTGGGTAAAGAATTCCGCGGGGACAGATACCACCTAATGAACAACAATTGTAACCACTTTTCAGGTGCCTTTACTAAAGTGAGATATCATCATTCGATGTCTTTTTCCTCATTTAATAACGGTAATTTCGTTGTAGATTCTGTGCGGGCAAGATATACCGTCTTGGGTGAATCGTTTGGCGTATTTTAGCAGTTGGGTACCTTTCCTTGAAAAGTGTTTACCCAAAGAATGGCTGATGCCTATGGCTCTGCAGCATTCAATCAGCAACCATTGTCCGGACTCTACCTGTTCCGAGGCCTCGACCCCTCCATATTAAGAGAAAAATGCCAAAAAGAAAAAAGAAACCCACAAAAAGGTGTATATGGAATACAATTTATATATAACGTAGCGGTGCTGTGTGTCTTTCGAAAGGTAAATACTTATTATACAAAGTGAATTTGATAATGATAACAAAACACAACAAAGAAGATTAAAAAAAAACAAACATGATAAAGAATTGCCTTCCGATTAATTAATATAATTGAACAAATCTTATATAAGTTGAACTGCCATTTGCAGACGTAATTTATATACAATATATATATTTATATTTAACTGGAATTAACCGTTTTGGAGTCATGCATTTGATTTATTTTTTTGATTACTTGTACATAATGGATATTCAATGTGTGTGTTGTCTTTTTTACACGTACAAAATGAAAATCGAGTATTTTTCAAAAGATTTGTGAACGTAATTACCCACTAGTTAGATTTTAAATGTTTGTTAATACAAAAATTGTTGAGGATGAAAACACAAAGCGACAAAAAAGATATATGAAGCTATTATTTACGATGGTTTATATGAACAATGTTATGCAATTTAGACGATTCCTAATGAATATTAATCAAAACGAAAAAAAAAAGTGTGTTTGTATGTATATATTATGTGACTTTGAAGAGTGTGTGAGATTTGTACATATGATTAAAAAAAGTACCTTGTTATGCGTTGATAATGTTTACGATGAAGGAAGTTAATGTACCGTCAGATTCAATGTTTCATTATGTGATTATATTATGTAAACGAGGCCTATGGAACGCGAATGAGGAATTATGGGAAGTATCGGTTCCGAATGTACCGCCCACCCTCAGCCAGAAAATGCTAAGTCCATTCCTCCATACTATGAATGAAGCAATAAACCGACTGTTGACGAACTCGCTCCGCCCACTTCCACATAATCAATCTGCTCACTAGATTACCTCCGCCCCCGCGAAATGCACAATTTTGTTCGATTATAAACCATCTCTCTATCTCTTAACTCTCTTTATAATTAAGTATTATTATTATTATATTAATGATTAATTTATAATTCGATTCGTAAGAAGTGAAAATTCGAGAAGACTGGTTTTAGCGCGCGCACTTACAAATTTACACGTGTATATTTTTTAAATGTTAATTTTCTATCGTTCCATTGTATACAAATTGAAAGACGCATCAGCCATTTGAAAACAAACAAAAAAAGTAATAAATACGAAAGGTTTATATAATCTAAGCACACGTGACAATTGTTTACACATTATTATATCGACAATAATCATAGCGTTTTCCGAACCGCTCTGTATTTATTATATGCGAAACTCCAGAAAGACATTTACCATTTTATATTTGTTACACAAAACCCCCCTCGAAACCACCGTTGTTTGGACGCCGATTTATGTGTTGCGTTCTCATAAGTTGTAGTATTGTACAGTGCGCAATGGTTGGATTGTTTACAAAACATTGCGTCGTTAAATCATAGGAAGAAAATAGACATCGGTGCGTCCTGATTTTCATCTAAAGTTGTATTTTATCTTTTATTAGAATGAGAGAAGAAAAAAGAAACTAAAAAGTATACAACCATTAATTTTATTTGATTAATTTTAATATATTGTAAGTACATACATTTTCACTGTATTTTTATTATTGTTGTCCTATCTTATCCCTAACAATATATAAAATGTTTCGAATTTGTTGTTGATGTAGTTTTATATGAAATAAATGTCCTTGGGCTGTGAATAATTTTCGAGTATGAGGACAAATTACTGGGAAGCAGAATCTATTAAATGCTTATGGATATTAAGAGAAACGAATTGCATATAGAAATATCAATGTTTTCCTTTTATTTAGTATTTAATTATCAACAATTTCTTACAAAAAAAACCTTTGTACGTGCTAAATAAAAAGTAGATTGATTAAAATTAATAATCAAATTGACAAAATTATTACTGATTTGCATCTGTGCAAATCGCTTGATTCTTTCTCTTTGCATCTGTGCTTAAAAAAAATATTCTTTTCTCAACTGTTATATATATAATATTTATATATACTTAAAACTATAACTATATATATACTTTGTTAGGCCTTGGCTGGTGGTCTGAAGACACCGACGACGACCGCGTGGTCTCTCTCGTACGGTTCTAGCGTGATCTGCTCTTGAGGTTTCAGTTTGTCGGCCTGCAATTTCTTCACTTCGGCTGCGAAGACTGCCTCAGGTGAGGCTGTCGAGTCTATGCAGGAGGCCTTAATGGAGATGACGAAGTGGCCACCATTTTTGAGGAAGTACTGTGAGTTCAGGGCAACGATACGCGCCTGATCGGGCTGAGCCACATCGGCGAATACTGTGTCAACCATGCCGATCAACATCCTGTACTTGTGTGGATGTCTGGCATCTTCGATGATTGGAATAATGTTGGTGCGTTTCTTCGCAACATTGATCAAATCCCTTCCGGACCTGTGAGAGAATTCCACCGCATACACCAATCCTTCGGGTCCAACGATGTCGGAGACGTGCGACACGGTCGTTCCTGACGCGGCACCCAAGTACAGCACCCTGCTGCCTGGTGGCATGTGAACTTTGTCGACACCGCCAAGGATGGCGGCTGCCAATTTACTTCTGAACGGATTCCAGACCCTGTACTCAATTTTCTCGGTTCCCTCCTCAACGGAAATCTTCTTCTCGCCGTAAACGTCTGATCCAGGTACCAAGTTAAGAGTGACTAGCGCGTCTTCCTTTCCCCTAGCGATGAACACGCCCTCGTGCCTATGTGGTTCAATCACAACATTCTTGCCTCCCCTCATTCCACCGCGTCCGCCGCCGCCACCTCTTCCTCCAAATCCTCCGCGTCCACCGCCGCCGCCTCCTCCTCTACCACCGAATCCTCCGCGACCGCCGCCGCCTCCTCTACCTCCAAAGCCACCACGGCCGCCTCCGCGTCCACCTCCTCTATCGCCAAATCCGCCGCCTCCTCTACCACCGCCGCCACGGCCACCACCACCTCCGCGTCCACCGAAACCTCCACGGCCACCACTGCCTCCGCGTCCTCCAGGTGAAAATCCTAAAAAAAATAATTAAAAATAAGTAACCTTGGTTACAAAACATATAACCTTCAACAGAAGATTATCAAAACATAATAGATTGAAAAACAATACAATTATCTATACACAATTAATATAAACAATCTATATAAATTGTGTTTATTTATAAATCTTGATGAGATATTGACAAATTCAAGCAACAATTTAAAAAAAATCTGTAAATACACATTGTTTTTATATTTCAAACACGCGTCAATATATAAACAATAATAATTGAAACAATTATACATAATAATAACAACATAAAATGTATTAACACATGTATTAAATCAAGTCTTCCATGTGTTTTAGGCGTTGAGCAATTATTTAGCTCAACGATCGCGATTATTATGAAAACTAAATAATTCATTGATGCTAGTTATTTACAATTTCGATTTGCAACAATTTTTTTTACAAATAGTTGATTTGTGGATTGCAATATCAAGCAACAATTGATAAAATTTTATACATAGTAATATTTATGTGAGAAACACGCTTTTATAGTTAGGTTATGTTTGGAGGCCATGTGTTGCGGCCTCTGCACAAAAAACGTATTTACAAACATGATATAGTTGGAAACGAAAAAAAAATATTATTCTTTTAAAGATAAGTTTACTTACCGGGTCTGCCCATCTTAAATTTCTTGTGTTATTGAAATCTTCTCTCAAATCTTAACACCGAATCCCCAAAACTGAATGTGACCACGTGCAGTGCAAGCGCAGCGAACGCCACTTAGTTTACAAAGAGAAATTAGGTACGAAACTACCAACATGTAAACTTCAAAAAACAGCTGCAACTTCACATTGCATTTAGAGGGCGCTCCAGGCGTGAATTTGAAATGTGCTATTTCCTTTCGTTGTTTTGTTGCTATTGGTTGCTATATCCAGCTATATTAATAGAAAGCAAAATATAATATTTAATTTTAAAGACGATTTGTTGTTAATTTTATATTTATTTAAAATTTAATGATATTTACATGTGTCCCCAACTAAGGGTAAAGTTAATTGGGAATTATTGGACTACGTTATTTAAACTTGTTTAATAGATGGAAATATGAGACTGTTGTATTTATTTAAAATGGGGTGGTTTCTGAAAACCAACTTAAAATATTATATTTCGGATAGGCAACCAAATATACATGCATGTAATAATTGTATCATTGACTAAGTGTCAAGGTAGTGTCAAGATAAAAACTATTACAGCTGTCACTGGCTGTCACTTGTCAGAGATATATTTAATTGGGTTTTGTCTTATTGGAGCGATTGGAACATGTTAGTGATGTGACAAGTGCGGGTTTAGTAAACATTAAATAGCGCGTGGACCGTTATTATTTTTTTCCTTTCGTTAGTTCTGTGATCTGCAGTGAAAACATCCACGTTTACACAAATGGTTGTAAGAGATTGCAAAAACGCGAATTGCAGCGCGATTGTTCTCTACTGATAACGTCTTATCAAAAAGGTGGAAGTTGTTCGTATTTCGACCAATTGCCGTGCTACATTCCGTTCACGCACAATATGTTATCATCAACCAATAACAGCGAATCCTCTTGACACAGCATATTTATATTTCTCTATTAACTGTAGTTTTGTTGTTTTTTTTACCTCCTTCTATTTTTACTATAATTTCTTTCTTGATTTGGGTACAATGTCAAATTCTAGAAATCATTTTTTCCTACAAATCTGTATTCTGTTTGCTAATATTCTGATATCATTTTGCTTGGAAGATGTGACACCCATGAGCAATGAGGAGAAGGCAGAGCTGAGGTAATGTTTCTTTTTGATACATGTAATTTTTCTTTGATGACCCTAATTGATTTGAAATGTGCTGAATGCAGGGAGGAGGCAAGGGACATGTTCTATCATGCTTATAGAGCATACATGGAAAATGCATATCCTGCTGATGAACTAATGCCCCTCAGTTGCCAGGGAAGATACAGGGGACTTACTCCAAATCGGGGTGATATTGATGATTCATTAGGAAAGTAAGTGCTGACAAAATCATAACAACAATTGCATACTGATGATTATTAAACAAACTGATTATGAAATGCAATAATAATAATATTAACATTGTGCAACATATGTATTTCAGTTTCTCTTTGACTTTGATTGATACTTTGGACACTTTGGTTATTTTGGGAGATTTGGAAGAGTTTGAACATGCTGTTGGTCTTGTCATTAAGGATGTATCGTTCAACAATGATGTCGTTGTTTCTGTTTTTGAAACGAATATACGCGTTCTCGGGTAATATATTTTTTTGGTTTACGTATTATCTTTATGTACATATCTTATTTCTAGAGGATTACTGTCAGGTCATATTTTGGCTGAATACCTGAAGCAGCGGGCAGGGATAATGCAATGGTACAATGCGGAGCTGCTGGATATGGCCAAGGACGTCGGATACAGATTGCTTCCAGCATTCAATACAACGACTGGAATACCGTATGCGCGGGTATGCAGCGCGATATATACACTGATTTTGATAAGTTTTTCTTATATTATTACGTTAATTTCAGGTAAATTTAAAGTACGGTATAAAAAGTGATAATTCTGAGGCGGCGAAGGAGACCTGCACCGCCTGCGCGGGTTCCGTCATTCTGGAGATGGCCGCGCTGAGCCGTTTGACTGGTGAACCGATCTTCGAGCAGAAGGCTCACAGGGCTATGGACGAGTTATGGAAGATGCGACATCGAAGTTCCGATCTTATGGGATCCGTCCTCAACGTTCATTCTGGTGATTGGGTGCGACGGGATTCCGGTGTCGGCGCCGGCATCGATTCGTACTACGAATATTGCTTGAAGGCCTACATCTTGCTAGGGGACAACAAATACTTAAATAGATTCAACAGGCATTACAATGCCGTGATGAAGTATATTTCTCAGGGTCCGATGTTGTTAGACGTGCACATGCACAGACCGCACACGAACTCTCGCAATTTTATGGATGCGCTTTTGGCATTCTGGCCCGGCCTGCAAGTGCTTAAAGGTGATATTAAGCCAGCGGTAGAGACGCACGAGATGCTTTATCAGGTAATGAAAAGGCACAAGTTCATCCCCGAAGCTTTCACAACTGATTTTCAAGTGCATTGGGGTAATCATCCTCTGCGTCCCGAGTTTTTGGAAAGCACGTACTTTCTGTACGGCGCAACCAATGACCCGCATTATTTGGAAGTGGGGAAGAACGTTCTCAAGAGTCTACAGAAATATGCTCGTGTTCCATGCGGTTACGCAGCCGTGAACGACGTGAGGACTGGCAAAAAGGAAGATCGCATGGATTCGTTTGTGCTTGCTGAAACATTTAAATATCTGTACTTGCTGTTCTCTGATGCGGATGATTTAATATTGAACATGGATGAGTTCATCTTCACCACTGAAGCACATCTTTTGCCGCTGAGTTTATCGCATTTCGGAAATATCACTGCCAAGTCCGAAGATCTGGACGATTACGAGAACGCCCGTACATGCCCGAATACTCTTCAGCTTTTTCCAGGATCAGTGCGAAAAACACTATGGAATATGGTGGATGGAATGTGCCCTAAGAAGGTGGGTAAAAAGAGGCTAATGGCTGCCGAGTTCTCGGCGTCTAATTTGAATCATCTGAAGATCATCAAGGATATGGGAATTAACATCATTGCTCTCAGCGATGGACGAGTGCAGCTTTTGCATACGTTCTCTGCGGCCCGTTCGATCTCCGATGCTGAGGATGGACTTCTTTTCATGCAAGAAATGGTGGAACTGTCAAAGCTTCAATCACAACAGCCGGAAGCCGCTCCTCAAGCAGTTTCTTTTCAGACCAAAAATGCCGATGGTACTGGCAATTTTATTGTTCTGCAAGCAGGTCCTGCGCATTTCGGTATGAATTTGAAAGGGGACCTTAAGGTTACCGGGAAATCCATTATCATTCATCCCCTGAAAGGTTGCGGATCCCTTCCAGCTGGTGACAAGATGAAAGGAAAGATCGCAATTATGGAAAGGGGTGATTGCATGTTTGTTGAGAAAGCACGAAGAGTACAAAAATTGGGCGCAATCGGTGCCATCATTATAGATAATACGCCAAGCAGTAGCGCTCATACGTCGCCTATGTTTTCCATGTCCGGAGACGGCACCGACGACGTCAAGATACCGGCAGTCTTCCTATTCACCCAAGAAGCCTCCAAATTGCTGCTGAGCATATCGAAAGACTCCACGCTCGACCTCACGCTCAGCGAGCTGAAGACAGACGCGGCCGTGTGGCCACCGAGCGAGGAAGAATCAATGTTCCAAAAACTGAAAGTATCCGTCCAAGAATTCTTAAACAAACACACTGGTATCGCATTCACGCGGTCAATACTAGTTGGGAACTTTAAGGCAAACCTAGAGAGCAGCATAGACATGATCAAGATCAGTTACTTGAAGAACGAGATATACAGACCGACCAAGCAAATTGTGAACCCCAAATGGAGTCAAATTAGAACAACCCTTTTGAGAAGCATCATGAAATCCCAGAAAAAAGACGTTCTGGTATCGTTTAACGATATCCGCATGTACTACGAGTCCTATAGTAAAATTAAAGAGGAAACACCGAATAACGGTGACATAAGGAAACCTACCGAATGGCTTCTTCGCGAGCTCAACATGGAGCTGTACTGGAACGAAAACCAACCGAAAATTCAGGAAAGTCATCTTCTGGAAGATCAAGAAGAAAGTGATGGAAATACCTCCGATGTGGCCAAATCTCTGTATAAGCAGACCGTCTTGGACGATGTGAAAAACGAAAGTACCGGTACCGATGATCTGATCATCAGCGAGGAGCGGGATTCAAGTGATAAAATAATCTTAAGTAAAGAGCAAGTAGACGCTAGTGAAAAAAATAAAAAGGATGAATTATGATTCATAGAGTGAATTTTATTCTATTTATATAAATATCGAAATTTGTCTGTGTTACTTTACTTCATTATTGTTTTACATATTACGAGGTTACGGATCCTTTTATTTCTTCTCATTCTTTCTCTTTCTGTATCTTTCTTCTTGTTAATTATTATTATTATTGTTCTTTATTTTCCGCTCACAAAACATACCCTGTTCAAGGTTTTAATTATTTGTAAGAAATTTTATCGAAAATGAAATAATGTAAATAATTTATATATATGTAAGTGTATTATAATGAATGTATAAAATGTGAAATATTTTTATATAAAACGTTCTTATTTTAGAATGTTTAATGTATAATATTAAAATAAATTTCCTTTATTTAATATTTAATTGTTTGCAAGTATCATTGTATCACTCATATCTAATTGATTTTGATTACAATATTAAAATTTAAAAGATACTATGAAATCAATAAAAAGTTTGTTTTCAATTTTGAAAATCTGTACAGGTGGTTGCATATAAAGTGATGTTTCGTAGCAATCTTCAGGGTGATTAACCGGCTCAAACCAAACTGCCGGCGTCTCATATGAGGTGTAAATCAGTGTTTAGGTTATTGTCATTTACAATCCGAATTTTTACTGTTTTGCAATAAATTAAGTGAACTGTTCATGATGGCGAAAGCGTCTGCCGTTCCGATAGTTTTAAAAGCAGAAATCCAAAAGTTGATACCTACCTCGAAAATTTTGGTAGTCGGCGCTGGCGGCATAGGATGTGAGATATTGAAAAATTTAGCGATGTCTGGCTTTAAGGACATTGAGATTGTAAGTTGGAATACACACAAGTAGCAATTTACCAATTATATACATTTCCTGTGTCTCCCACAGATTGATCTTGATACAATTGATGTGAGCAACCTGAACCGACAATTTCTCTTCCGCAAAGAACATGTTGGCAAATCCAAGGCTATGGTTGCCAGGGAGACAATTCTTAATTATAATAAGGATATAAATATTAAGGCATACCATGACAGTATTACAACGTAAAATTAATTTGCATATTGTTTGTTTTTTTTGTATAATTAATGATCATTTACTTTGCAGCTCTGAATATGGAGTGAATTTCTTCAAGAGATTTGCTGTTGTATTAAATGCTCTGGACAATAGGGCCGCGCGTAATCATGTGAACAGGATGTGCCTGGCAGCCGATGTTCCATTAATTGAATCTGGCACCTCTGGTTACACAGGCCAAGTTGAATTCATTAAGAAGGGATTGACACAGTGCTATGAATGTAATCCAAAGGCTGCTCAGAAGACATTCCCTGGCTGCACAATCAGAAACACACCATCTGAACCAGTCCACTGTATTGTATGGGCTAAACATTTATTTAAGTGAGATTCGTCAGATTTTTTAAGATGTTTTCTCAAATCTAAATTTAATATTTTTTTAGTCAATTATTTGGTGAAGATGATCCTGATCAGGACGTTTCGCCGGACACTGCGGATCCTGAGGCAGCTGGAGACGCAGGCGTTGAAGCTTTAGCACAAGTAGACGAGAGTAAGAAAGTCGAAAGAAAATCGACGAAAACGTGGGCTCAAGAAACTTCGTACAACCCAGAGAAACTCTTCAATAAATTCTTTGAAGATGATATCAAATATCTTCTTAGCATGGGTATGTATGCAAAATATTTGTATTTTTTTTTGTTTGTTCTTTTTCGTCATATTATATTTAATTTTTAGAAAACCTTTGGAAAAACAGGAAAGCGCCAATTCCGTTATCTTGGTCATCTGCTGCTTCAGACGATGGCGACCAAGAGAAGTCTAAAAACGACGTCCATAAGGAAGATATGGAAGTGTGGTCGTTTAAAAAATGCACCGAAGTATTTTCGTCGAGTATATCGATGTTGAAAGAAGAATTGGCTAATAAGAATTTCTTGGTTTGGGACAAAGATTTTAAACCGGCTTTGGACTTTGTGACTGCCTGCGCAAATGTCAGGTCGCATATTTTCTCGATTGCCAGGAAGTCGCGATTCGAAGTCAAATGTAAGTAATAATTTGATTCTATACAAATATATTCGAATATAATAGTTTGTACTGATGATTGATTGTTTTTTCAGCTATCGCTGGGAATATTATTCCAGCTATTGCAACGACAAATGCCATGGTTTCGGGTCTTGTTGTGTTGTTAACTTTCAGAGTGTTGGCCGAAGAATATGAGAAATGTTTGACAGTGTACGTGAGGCAAAAATCAAGTGAATCAAACACTGTAATGATGACTGAGAAGTTTTTGGGAGCTGCGAATCCCAAATGTTACGTATGTTCGAAGCAACCAATGGTCGATGTTTCAATTAATACGAAATCAATGCTCGTCAAAGATTTTGAGTCGGAGATACTCAAAAAAAGCTTAAACATGGTTGCACCTGACGTAGTTCTGGACGGTAAAGGCGTGGTGGTGATTTCATCCGAAGAAGGCGAAACGGCTGCAAACGACAATAAAACCCTGACGGAAATGGGAATCGTCGATGGAGCTATTCTGAAAGTCGACGATTTCCTGCAGAACTACGAGCTGACCATATGCATCCATCACTACGTTCCCAAAGAGAAAGAGGATCCGCTGTACAAGATCTTGGCCGATATGGATCTGCAAGCCAAATCCGAAGAGGGAGCCAACGGTAAAGAAAACGGTGCTTCTTCTGCAAGTGCCGCTGATTTTGCCGCTGTCAACGTCGATGACGACGAAGATCCGCAAGAGGGGTCATCGAAACGCCGTAAGATGAATCCAAAGGAGGAAGACGATGATGATATGATAATGTTAGATTAGATGTGTTAACTGTGTATATTCGTTCGTGTCCTTCATATCAATATACAACAAAGTACGAATTATCAGTCGAGATCGGCAACAAACAAAACAACCAGTTCAATATTTTTGTATAAAACTCATACGTTTGCAGTGGAAACAAACAAGTCCGTTTTCGTTTTGTTTAAATGTTTCTTTTTTTTTGGTAAATCTTACTACTACTATATTTAAGAACATGTTAATTTTAAAATTTATTTGTGAATATAGAAGTAAATGTATATTTATATATAAATATATATATACACGCACGCACATATATGTGTGTGTGCATATGATCATCTTTCAATAAATGGAAGGAATGTAAGAAAGTCTTTGCAAATTTAGTTTTCGCGCTAGACGCGGCAACGTTGTCTCAAGTTGAATGGATATATCTTAAATGCATTCCACAGCTGACTTCAATTCAAATTCTGTTTACAAAACAATCCATTGTTTTCTGCAGTGGTGTCTGCAAGCTCGCGCTCAGAGAGGTTTTGCAGCAAAGCGCCGGTACGTACTGCACGATCTCAAGAAGCGTGAACAATGCCTCTGGATTCTGACGAGCAGACCGGAAGCGTGGAGATCAAGAAGAGATTGCCCGAAGAGGAAACCGGAAGACCGGCGAAACGTCGCTGCGAATCGCACCGTCCGAAACCGGAAATCCGTTTCGATGGGGTCAATCATTGGCCGGAGCTGATACAGCAGAAGCAACGGTGTAAACTGTGCATTGACGCGTTTTCGCGCATCAAGTGTGACAAGTGCGGAGTGGCCCTTTGTCTGAACAGAAACAACAACTGCTTCAAGCGGTTCCACATCTATTGATTAGCAGCGGCGCCGGGACGCGCGGATGTATTTCCTCCTTTTTATACTTTATTTCTCCTCATATATCGATAGTTTCGCTTCTCTGAATCTACTTAATATTTAAGTATTATAATTATATCTATCTCCTCTTTCCATATGATGTTGATGATGCAGAATGCTGCTGCCGTTGCTACAGCTACCACCGTTTGGATTCAAGATTAATTGCAGCGGCAACGTCGATCCGCGACGGATCAAAACAAAAATAAACCTGGGCCGACTTCAATGCGGTTCCACTTTTGTTTACAAATTGCAAAAAGTAAACTCAAACTTGAAACGAACAAGAAGAAGTGGAAAAAGACGCCGGCGTTTGCAGCTAGTTAACAATCTACGATGTAGAAGTTTTGCGACGCGAGATCTTGGATCGAAACTCGTGTTTGAACTAAAGACTAATTAATGGCTTCTGATCAAGTGCCCTCAGTGAACAAAAGGCCCTCGGAGGACGAGATGGACGAAGAGCCGTCCAAAAGGAAAGTTGAAGAGGCGACGCCAGAGTTCAGATTCGATGGTGTTGACCATTGGCCAGAACCATCGGACCAGAAGCAGAGATGCAAGCTGTGTGTTACAGCCTACTCTCGGATGAGATGTGAGAAGTGTGATGTGGCCCTATGTCTGAATAGAAATAAGAATTGTTTCAAGAGGTTCCATATTTGCTGAGCACAAATAAAATTTTAATCAATCTTCTCCATATAAAACATACATACAAAGATCTTACTTCTTTATGTCTCTACTTACAGCTCCCACCATACTCATCCAAAATTTTGAATTTGCCGCGCGGCATCCATCCTTCTTCCTTTCTCATTATTCGGTTGGCTAACCTGCAGGAAGTCGAAGTCGGCCATGCGCTCGATGTTCGTTCCTTCTTTTCCCAGCAGACATCTTGACAGTTGGTCGTGTTATTAGCACGTGTCCGTCTATTTCCGAAAAATATAGAAGAAAATGGATAAACCAGTGGTTCTCTCACGTGTGATCAGGGTTTTGGGCCGTACCGGATCACAGGGACAATGTACCCAAGTTAAAGTTGAGTTCATCGGAGAACAAAACCGTCAGATCATCCGCAACGTAAAGGGACCAGTTCGTGAAGGAGACATCCTCACCCTCTTGGAATCCGAACGTGAAGCCAGAAGATTAAGATAATTTCTATATTAAAAGGTATGTACAAGTACAATTAGTACATCGGCCAATATACGAAAACTGATGAAAACAAGGTTATTTATTATGTTGACATGATTTAATATTCTTTTGTTTCTTTTCCAGATGCCCAAATAAAAAAAGCCAAAATTCGTTGGAAGCAATGAAGAAGATCAACTGGCAGATATGACTTTTATATTTTGTTTATTAGAAAAATAAAAACTAAAATCTGGCTTTCCAACAATAAACAAATGATGTATACTTACTTATTATCCCTTGTCAATATGCACCAACACCAATTTGCAATGCATCCAAGATGAAAAAAGTAAAAGCATATTTATCAATTTAACTCAATTTCCTTTATTTACTAATTGAAATATTTCTTCAACAATTCCTCAACTTTGTTCCTGTTCCCAAGGTTTGCAACCTTTGCTTGGAATCTATTCCCTTTCCCAGCACCTTTTCCATTCAACAATTCACAAATGCTAAATGAAAAAAACATTAATAACCATTGAATTACCCACAACAATATTTTTCACCTCTTTCCAAGTTCCTCTATATCCTTCTCATTTCCATAGAGCAAAATGTTACCTGCACCCTTTTCCTCACCTGTTGATAATACCAAAAACGTTTCAGTTGAACCAAATTCCTTGATGAATGTATTCATGAAATCTGGTTCAGCTTCTTTACGGTGCATACAAAAGTACTTTGGCATGGGCACACTTGATTTCAGTTTGTCAGCTTCAAGAGCTGCCAGATCTTTGAGAACATTCTGCAAATTTTTGGTGCTTCCTTTAGAAGACTTCAGAAGTTTATCAACTAATTCAACATGTTGCTGGGGACCAGAGCTAAAATTAGTTTAATCAAATTAGGAAGATGTCTTTTTGATGTAAAATGTCTTGGTTTACTTTAAAATTGCAGTGAGTTTTCTTTCTCTGCCAATGGATTTGTCTAACCTCTTCAAAATCCTATTACCACAAAGGAAGTATAAGAGGCATTGATTCTTTCTCTTACTTTTCTCGCAGTGCAACAATTTAATACTCTGCAATTGACTTAAGTTGGTGACATGCGTTCCGCAACACATGTTGCTTTCAATTCCATCAATTGTTATGATCCTGATATCACCAACATGATCATCAGGAAGTCCCCTGCTTCTTGCCTAGAAGATACAAATATTTAATTTTCAATAAAGTGAACAAATTAGAGCCATTACCTGTTTGATTTCTTCATCTGTTGCAGTTTCATTGAAAACTTGCACAGAAACATTGGTGCAGTTACGAATAAGTCCATTCACAGTTTCTTCAACTTCAGCAATTTGATCTTCTGTGATCATAGGTGTGTCTTCAAATAAATATTGATTGATACATTAATTGGTTTTTCATTAATTGCAACAAAATTCATACCAAATTCAATATGGGTTACTTCCTCCCCCAACCACCAGGATAAAGTTTTAAAGTTGAAGTCTCTTTCAAAAATTGCACTTATCAAATGTTGGCCTAAAATACAAAAACTCTAATGAAACCTATTGCATGATAACAATAATAATTACCAGAATGCTGCTGCATATGGTCAAATCTTCTTTGCCATACAATTTTCTGCTTGACAACATCTCCAGGATTCAATGGTTCTGTAGTATAATGCAAGGCTTGATCACCTTTACGAATCACTTGATGCACCCATTTGTCATTAAGGTAGCCTTGATCAAAAGGCTGAAATATGATATGATTCGTAATTTGATGAAATATGATTGTTATTAATGTTCACCTGTCCTCCTCCTTCTGGGAAGATTATGGTATCTTTGCATATTATTTCATAACCTTCTTGTTTAACTTTCTTGCCATCCACCAAAGTTTCAAACTTTGCTGGGCAGCAAGAGATCACTTCAGAGGTGAACTGAAAATACGTTAATTATTTATATGTAAATTCTAATTGCAATACATACCTCTTGCAAAAAGCTATCTTCTTGACATTTAAAAACCATTTTGCGTTTAGTAAATTGACAGATTTACGTTGTATTACTCTACGTTGAGTGCAAAATATTCTTTATTGACTTACACTTACGATAAAACTTTATACGTCAATTTTATGTACATATATTTATGAAATAATGTCTATTTTAACAGAATACCTAATATTATGATTATACAGTTGCATAACATAATCTGTATTATTTTCATGATTGAAAAGCTTATATGGGATATTTTCTAAATTGAACAAATTGTTAATTTTTTAACCAAAGAAATGTGATCTTTTTAATTAGGTATTATTGATTAGGTGTAATTGGGAAATATAGGAGGAAGAAGAAAAAATAAGCAAGTAACCCTTGATATCCGCGATCTGTTTGTTGAAAAAATGTGGATGTTATTTAATGAAGAAAGTAGAGAGAAAAATGCAAAAAATACATGGAAATTATAAAATTAGTTGTTAAAGTTTAAACAGAATATATTTGATTATTATATCTGATTGTTTGTATTCATATTTGTACAGTATATATTATCAATTTTGATTTTGACCCAAACGGGGATGAAGCTATGATGTTTGTGTGTTATTTATTTAACATATAATTAAATAAAGTTAATGATAATCCATATTATTTGTTTTATTTATATCTGTTTTTTTTTGCAGCTTTGTAATTAATATATATAAAGGTACCATTCTCATAATATATTTACTAAAATGATTGATTATAGCAGAGATCGGCTGACCGACATTCAAAGAGCATCATTATTTCTATTGCATCAATTATAAAATTTAAGTAAATCGTTTGCTAAGGTAATACGGTAATTATTTCGATTGAGAAGTAATTAAAATGCTTGATTTTGATAAGTTATAGTAGATGTAGTGACCAAAACACAATGCCGGCAGTTAGCTGATTGGAAAGGTTGTAGTTTTCTCTTTAATTTGCGTATTTGATGGTTTAATTAGCACTTGTGGTAATCGATTAATTTAAAAACGTGAAGGTGTTGCAGCAAATTGAAAAAAAATAATTAAATAAATGGTTATATTCATATATATTAGAAAATTTGAATTTACTGTTTTAAAGAATAATTCTTTCGCTTTCGTTTGCTATAAAATAATTTAGTTTTGGTTAATTAATAAGAAAGTTATTAAGCTTTAATGAGTCGGCGGTTTTTTGCAAAACTCAAGTCTCCGCCCCCATAGATTCTCGAAAATGCCAGAAAATTTCGATTTGCACTAGGAGACAATGAGTAGCAAGGAGGTATCTGAGCTACTAGCATCGTTCGTTCCTGATTGGTTGGAATTTGAAATTTTGAAATTTAGAAAGAGACTAAAAGTATTTTATCAATCTATATTTTCACTTATTTTAATCTCTGTATATTTTAGATCAACATTCATGTTCAACATTCTTCTAGAAACAAGTGTTTACGAAAATACAGGCCAATTTCCAAAACGTTGTTTTCCAAACTATCTAATACCAAAGTTTGATAATTAATTGTGACGAAGCTTTGGTAGCTACAAACCTGTATTTATACTCATTTTAATCTCTGTATATTCAAGATCAATATGAATGTCGAAAACTGCTCCGAGAGTTGGTGTATAGGAAAATACAGTCCATTTTCGAAGACGTTATTTTTCCATCTCATTTATGAAATATTAAAGTTTATTGATCAATTATGAAGACACCATTACAGCTACAAACTAATATTTAAGCTCATTTTAATCTGTGTATATTCAAGATCAACATTTATGCATAACATTCTTCTGGGAGCTCAAGTTTATGAAATTACAGGCCATTATCTAAGACGTTGTTTTCCTATTGTTACTTAAAATGTATATGTATGTTTGGTTGCTTGCACTTTAGGCGCCAAATAAATATTCCATTTGTTGTGACAGCTGGCGCCATCTGTTAGCAATATTTCAAAGGTTGTAGTTTAGGCATTTTGGCGCTGCACAAAATTTACTTCCTTAGAAACGTTCTAATTTAAATAAACAAACATGTAAAAATAGTGCTTGTACAAACGTAATGTTATTACTTTAGTCTAATCATTAAAATGCTAATTAGTTTTCGAGTTACATGCATTTTAATTATTTCAAGCAGAGACATCTGTCGGAATTTTCAGTATTCGGTATGTGTGGTTGCAGAAGAATTTTGAATACAAATATTGATTTAAATATACAGAGATTAAAATGAGCATAAATATATGTTTGCAGCTACCATAACTTAATCACAAATAATTATCTGTCTTTGGTATTTGATAGTGTTGCAAGCATCATCTTCGAAGAAGGCTTGTATTTTCGTAAGCACTTACTCCTAAAAGATTTATGCACATGCATCTTTGATCTAGAAAATCGCCTGCTACGAGCTGTAGAAATTGGAAGCTGTTTCGTTGAAATCCGAAGAGTTTTCATGATTTTTTCTTAATTACACGAAAATTACGTAACTTTTGTTGCAATTCATGATTGCGTAAGATGGGCGCCACCAGAGAAACGTTATCGCCTAGGCGTAGTAGGCGCCTCTTAAATTATTTTCTTAGTAGGATCAATTTGGGCCTCACAAAGTCATGATCCGTTACTGGTTTTGTCGTGTTAATGTTATAACATATAAACGGCTATGTATGAAAATAATATTTATAATTAAACATGAATGACCCGGCGCATCCACAAAATATTTAGAGTGAATATTAAGAATGATTTAGTGCAGAAAATATAATCTAATATTTATTAGTTATTGTTAAGTTTAGTTCAAATTCAAAGCATTTTTACGTAATTCCTTAATTTATCACTAGTATTTCTACGCGATATTTGCTAAGTACTTTTATAAGTAATTTTTTACGTTTATGTATTACACATTATGTTTAACACATGTATACTACTTATACGTCATTTTATTACGTAATACATTATATTTTATATAACTGACAGATAAAATGTCATTTAATGACGTATTTAATCTATAACGACAATGACATCTAATTGACGTTAAAATTAATATTATCATATTTCTTCGTATTTTCGTATGTCGTGTATCCCTTGACACCATTAAACCAACCTCCGTAGCTTCAGTATTTTGCAAATTATACCGTGATCTTGATCACTCGATTGTCAACGAGATTTCACAAAATTTAGCACCTTTATTTAATTGCAGAACTAATGTTAATGCATCAAAATTATGATGCATAGCGAATTGTGACAGAACAACTGATTTCGTTTGCATCACGAAAACCATATGCGATCGTCAATGATTGATTTGTTTTGACAGCAGCCGCGATCCCTTATTTAGTTCTGACCCATTTGTACTTACTTAGCGACTGGCAATTATATATATATATTATTAGTGCCACACTGCACTGAATGCCCAAAGACTAAATAAGGGGACGGAATCGGATTTACTCAATTAAGATCAAAGGAAAAACACATTTAATTGACGCCAGATATAAGAACAACAACAAAAAAAACCTCGATAAATTGATACATAAATAAGATTGAGACAGAGAGATAAATAAGTCTGTTTTATAATAACCAGTTCTTATTAACTTATTATTAAATTACTGTCGAGAAGAATGGAACGAAACAAGAAGTCCTCGTTAAATACCGTTAGCATAGATAAGTAGTGAAAAAAAACGAAACGAAAGAAAAGAATGAGGAATGTCTTTATGAAAATGTACACACATACACACACATATATTACTTTTTTCTCTCTTCTTATTATTATCATTTACGATAATTGGTGAGTGACTAATTTTCTTATTACTGAATGCCATTGTGCTGGAGCGAGCGTGTTTTTATTAAAATTTCATGCGCACTTTTATTTTCTGTACTCTCTCTCTCTCTCCCTTTTCATTTCATGTCTTTCTCAATTGGTAATTACAGTGTTTTTACAATCAGACGTATTATGCAAACCTGCTAATAATGAGCGCCTATTAATTATTGGTTTTCATTGGCGCCGTCTGCGAAGCCAATAACGGAAATTACAGAAAAACACACTCGCATACACACTGATGCTTCCCCCTCGCTCCCTTGGGGAACGAACTTTGTTCTTTCAGTTTTCCATTCAATGACACACGAAGAGATAATTTGCGTTTTATTGTTATATATTTTTTTTTCCCATTTCCAATTCCCTGAGGTTTTACCAAGAGACGAAGCGCAAAACTTGCTTTCCAGTAAAACCGACTTCCATCAGAGCAGAGCGCATTTTCAACGATTTGCAAATTAGTCAAATGTGTTTTAGTTCTTAATCTTAATTGGAATATGCGATTCCGCGAAATAATGCAGAATCAATTGAATGAATGCGCGTTCAAGTGAGAATAAATCAAAAGTAATGAGTCGATTAAAATTGTAATTGATTTATAATTAAATTCGATGGCATTTTAATGTGCGAATTAATTAATTGACGTGCGCGCAGCGAAACGAAACGGGTTCAATTAAGTCGATGGTCGGTGCATCGATTAATAAAGTTTGCAGTTAAGTTTTGCGGAATCACCGTCGCAGCAGACAGCGAGCGACAGGTCATCTCTTCATAGTGAGAGGAAATGTGTGGCAAAAACGAATCGAACAGTCAATCATTATTATAAACACACACACACAGAAAAACAGTCGTACATTCATAGTGAATGTGCGCAATGTTTTAAATACAACTTCAACGCGTAGCTCAGTACAAGTTACTTGGCAAGTACTTAAGTAATAATTACACTATGTAGGTAAACAATCCTTATATTATGATAGGAGTATTATAAAAGTGTTAAAGCAAAGTAGAAATAGGTTGTTGAGTAACGCGTAATGAGCGGCCGTTTTCACAGAAACGTTATTTGTTTTTGTTTCTCTATAAATGAATCGATACTTCTGATTGTATATAATATAAAAATGCTTAGCCTAAAATGACTCGGAAACATTCGCGTAATGATGGATAATTATTGGAGTTGTTGCGATGATAGAAATGTAAACAACATTTTGTATCGTAAAGTACCTACATACGGTACAAATATGTCAATAATCGTATTTGATTCCATATAAGTCAAGTTATAACTGCGAAACGGGATCTACATTGCGATACTGAGGCATACGTTGAAATAACTATTTTATAAATATGTAGGAATACTTGGCCTATTACCTTATACTGTATAAAATAATATTCTTCGATGGCAACTTATGATGATGGTATGTTCTACAATAATATGAATATACACACGTTCTAAAACCTATACTATATTTAGTAAATTACGTTTATATCAGTACATAGGTTTTAATGAGCAAATATGTAGCTTTAATTTGGTATATCAAAAATAAATTTGTAGCGCATACATATTGACATTTAATGTAAAGACATTCCTTTTTCGTAGTTTAAAAAAAACTTTCTTCAAGTTGACAGCGAATTACGTCTAAATGACTAGAGATACAATTATACCAGTACATACGTTTTAAAGAGTAAATATTTAGTTTGAATTTGGTTGTTCTAAAACAAATTTGTCGCGTATACATTTCGTAATATATGCAATAATGTAAATGTACTGCATTTGCAAAACATGTATTCAAGTTTGACAGTAAATAATGTTTAAATGACAAAATATTCAATAATACCAGTGTATAGGTTATACACAGTAAATAATTAAATTTAATTTGGTTATTCGATAATGAATTTGTCGCGAATAATTTTCAAAATATAAGTAAAAATATAATTGCACTACTTGATGTTGTTTTCAAATAAGGTATTAATATTTAATTGTTTAAAGTTTTTGTGTTTAAACCGCAACATGCATATTAAGATTAATAAAGATACTTTATTCTCTGCAATTTTAGCTTCAATTTGCATATTAATTGACCTATCGGCCTTTAGCAGATAAGCGTTCAGCAAGAGGAGCAGGCCAAATAACAAACACGTGAAATTAATGAGATTTTTCCTCATTCCAATTTGATTTGTTGTAGGTGTGATTGTGGAAGCGCCAAGTGGTTAAGAGGTCGCGACGATCATGAAGTGACCCACGACCCTTCGGGGCCAATTAAAAGAAGAAGAAAGAATGCAAACGGCGGCCTCTGCTCGGCCGTCGCCTGCCGCATCATCTCATCATCTTACATCTCTCATCTCCCCATCGTTCGACGCGGTTAGTCGTCGTCCAGAGAGAGCTTAGCTTAGTATACTGAACGGCAGCATCGGCAGCGGCCTCTCACCTCCACGCCACGACGATCGCATCGCTTCGGTTCTACGGTCTTCGGTCAGTCGTGCGCTGGGACCATTCGAAAGTGGTACCGTATTATTGAATCACCCTGTAAACAGGGCCAAACGAGAAGGATTCAGAGTCGGAGGGAGAACGAGCAAGAGAGAGAGAGAGAGAGAGCGAGAGAGAAAGGAGTGCAGGACGAGAGTGAGTGCGCGTGAATGGTGGTGCTGTTGTTGTTCTTCTAGACGGCGCGGTACCAGAGAGGCCCTTCCAACAGAGGCCAGGCCACGACAAGACCGGACTAGACCCGACCAGACTGCCTGGTACCTCTTCAGTACAGTACCAAGAGTGCCCAAGCCCAATGGTCGCGTAGCATGTATCGCGCTTCCACGTCCAAGCGTTAGATCCAAATTCAAGAATATTATCACGAACCGCTCCTGCCCTTCCTTCATTTTCAACCGCACTCATCGATCTCGTTTTGTGGTTCCTGCGAGGATAAGTGGTCATCAAGGTCTGCTGAAATGTGGGGGCAGCTCATCCTATTCTCACTCTTCTCCTTCACCGACGCTCTACTTAATGTAAGTCCAAACACACTAAAACTAATAATCATCATCATCATCAGCATCATCATAATGAATCAACAGCATCACCATGTAAAAGAAATGCGAAAGAAAAACGATACACTTAAAGAAAACATATAAACACGACAAATTGTTATTATTTATACATCTCGCAAACACGTCGTTATCGCGTTGCGCAATTAAATTAAATTTAATCGCGTATTCATCCGCGACAAGAGGTCGACGCAAAACAAAATTCAATTAAAACGGTCGTCTCGTTTTGGTAAATACATACACCCAAATCGGATAGAACAGCGACAAGCGCAATATTTGGACAATATATAAAGGTGAATAAGCATCATTGGAAACTCGTTTAAAAGAACATTCTTTTCATTATATAATAATGAGTTTATTCAATGGAAATTACACAATACGTGTACCAGAATACAAAACAAAAATAAATGAATTGATGAGGTGAATGAATATGAAGGATGCTCGTATGCAATTTTATCAGAAATAACCATCTCCATCTGCAATACCGTTATAAAGTTAATTAAAACTTATTCACACTGCAAATTTATTAATATCTATTTTGATATCCACCTGAACGTTTTGAAATTTAAATTTATTTTATTACTGTATTAGTTAATTCAATTTTATGTTATTGTTAAAAACAAACTTAAAGAAATATTTTGATTATTTCAAGTTATAATAATATCTCGTGAATGCGTTAAATTTGATCAATATATTATTGAACACAAGTCTCAATTACATAAATTTTACTTAATACTCATTCAGAAGACGAATTACATTAGTTAAAGCAGATTAGCGTATTGTTGTTGTTAATTGAATCAAGTTCCATGGATACATCGTTACGTTAAATGAATAATTATGGTTTAGTACTACCTACATTTATACTACACAATGATTATTGCGTTTTGCGCAGAGTACTAATTATCCGAAAGAGTTATCTATACGCTATAATTAAGCGGAAAATATAAGTATAATGCAGTGAAAACGCTTTTGTTTTTTTCATTTTCTTTTGAAGCTTTTCCAAACTTGGACGGATAACATCGACTGGGCTAAAGAATGGACAATGCGATTTAAAGTGGCTGGTCAATTTCCTTTGTATAGATTATATAAGCACACTGAAGTGTTGTCTATCCTACTCTTTCACTCTGTATGGGGCGGGCAGAAGAAATCAACAGATTATTGTACTTGACTCGAGATCGGTTACGTTTTTATGGTCGTCCTAACTGGCCGTGGTTAAAAATAAAGAACTCTTCGCAAAAGGCGAAGATGGACTTTCTCCCATTATGCGTTTAATATTAATGCGGCAGGTATATAGTCAAAATGGCGCGTTCGCAGAAGAACTCATCCTAAGATTTCTTGGATCTCTCTAAAATCTATATGGGTATATATATATACATACATCGGTCGATATCTTTGCAAACGATCAACTCTAGTCATCCAAGAAGTATTCTTTCTTGCTCTTTGCAACTGCAAACTGGGCACTGGGAAATTGATCTTTATCTCGTTAAAAGTACATTATTGTTCCCTGTAGACTTTAATTTATTTCTTGACCTCCGTTTAAAGAAAATAAAAATATTTACTTCATTATTTTTAAAGAGAATTCCGCGAATTTTTAGTTTGCAGATTTAATGAACATATGGGATCGAGCGTACTTAAAAAGGTGATAAAATACATGATTTCACATATAAAAAATCTTCATCATTTAATAACATCTAACGAAAATTTTCTGGAAACACATTTATTGCAGAAAATGTTTATCAAACTCAGAGGAATCTCGCATTGCATTGCATAATCCACAACATAAGTCAATTCGTTATGAAAATGTATTGATTTTAAAACTACTCAAATCCTGCACTTAACGTCAAATATCAATTAAATGATGGACTCCAATCGACGTTCGAATGTTTTTCAAAATCAAGTTTATTTAGAAATTAAAAAGATTTTAACGTTTATTCTTACTCTACATAGTTTAAAAAGAAAATTGTGTACTTACATTTAAAAGAACGTAATTATAAATATTAATTATTTGTACTTCTTTTCTTATTTAATTGGAAAAAAAACTATTAAATGTCACAGGCATAATTTGTCACAAACAATTTTTATTGTTTTTTTTTTAATTATACAACTTGATTTTAAAATTAATATGTAATGAAAACTTTAGAAAAAAAAAGTAGAATTTTAAAAATTAATAATTTAGTAATAGCAATTTACCCAACTTAAAAAAAATTATATAGGATTAGTAGAATTAATTATAAATAAATCTTTAAGATTGTTTAAGATTATGAAAATCGTTTTTAAATTATTTTAATCAAATACAACGGTAGTTTTTCATTAACTGAAATTGCTTAAGATTAGTAATTTCATAAGAAATTACATTAAATAAACGATGTTATTAAAACACGTTATCTCATTTTCAATGTCCATAATAAACATCATTGTGCCTGCGCTTAATTTTTCTACTTTTCTGTAATAACATTTTAATTGAACCAGTCACAAATGCATTGTTCAGAAATCTTACAATACTCGTTTATTATCTACCAAATGCTATGAATTTGAATGATTTAGAATATTTTTTAGTAGAATTACCGTAATTTCTACTTTTCAATATTTAATTCATAATAAAAAATCTTTCATAATATAAATACACTTTTTTTCTTTTGTTGGGAATATTGTTTAATAATTACTAAATGTCATATTACCAACACGTATAAAAATTGCATATTGTTTAGTTACATTAAGAAAAACAGTTTCTTTTGTTTTGCAAAGTTTTTTTTTTAAATATTAATTTGAAAATCAAGTTACATAATTACAAATTGTGCATAAAAAAAACAATTGTTGTTTGTGATTCATATTTGAAGTGAAAAGGAATGTAGAAGCAGCAAACAAATAATATGTGTAATTATAACATGTAAGTATAAAATTGTGCTTTAATAACATAACATATTTCCCTTAGTAACAAACATTACTACATAAATAATATAAAAGTTAATTGTAAGAAAGGTTTGATTATTTGAAATACTGTAAGATTTGCAAGCAATTTCATAATAAATCACTTGGTATAAATGATGTTATTAAGTTGGATTATCTCATATTCAATGTGCAATTATACCAATTAATTGTAATACATTTTAAGTAAGATTGTTTGTAACATTCAACAAAATTTAATTAGACATTAAATTGCTTAATTATTATGTAGTTTATCTTATCAATTGGACAAATTCGTGGTATCTTTTAGGGACATTCTCTGTATGCGTTGAGGGAAGAACGTAAGTAATAATGGTGTGACCTCATTTCGTCGAAAATTTCGCAACCGCAAAGTCTTCAAGATAAAACCAACCGCCCACGCGTTTCGCTCCGCGCATTCATCGCGTCTTTCGATTAAAGCTACAATTGATTCGAGCTTAAAAAATATAATAATAAAAGAATACAAAAACAAGGGACAACTTTCGTACCTTCTGGTTTTCGATCAATTAACCTTCGTGTGTTTACCGATTTTTTTTCCATTTCTTTCGGTCAGTTTTCGGTCCGTCCTCCGGTTTTGCTTCTTTTGCTCCGTTTATTGTTTATCCTCTTTTTTGTTGTTTTTGCATATGGGGAATGGTGGGTTCTTGTGCGGCGACGGCGACGCAGCATTCCCAGTCTGTGAGTGTCGGGACGGACGGACGGAGAGAGGAAACAAAATAAGCAAATGAGCCTTCTTCTTGGTTCTTCGCGCGGGTTGGAGGGAGGAATGGAATGGAAGACTCAAATAAAAATGTGAAATAAAATGTAAATCACGCGTGGGATTGAGGGAACTTTGGCGGATTCGAAACGTGTATTTCCAGAATTCCAGCGCAGACCTTCTTCCTCCTCCTTCTCACCGCTTCACCACACTTTTTATCGTTCTTTCTCTTACACACACACTATATCACTATCACAACTGAAGATCCGAAAGATCTGTTTAAAAGAAATTTTATATGGAGACGTAACTTAATCTCTTAATTTCCTCATCTGGAATAATCCGAAATTTGCCATCAAGCAAATGCATCATTCCAAAATACCTTCGCATTATAAGCAAGTCATCAATATAACATAATTCATTTTTTGAATCACCAAAATGACACTTTTCATCACTTGACATATTCAATTTTATAGTTAAATTAATAGAGAAATCATTAAGTTAAATTTAGAGTAAACTTTTCGAAAAAGTAGTTCACCTTTTAAATAATAATAATAAAATTTGATAACATTTAGTTATAGTCGACTGACATTTAATAAGAATTTGAGGATATTTTCATTTTACAAACAAAATTATTTATCAGATTGTAATTAATTAATTATGACACTTTTTGTATTTGTTGTCAAATTGATATAATGATTATACAAAAAAACTGACGTTTCTTTCTATTGGATTTCTAAAAAACTATGAATTACATAAAATTTAAAACAAATATTTCAATAATTATTATTAATTAATTTGTTATCAAACTTTAAATAAGCTGAGATTAATAATTTTTATCTTTTTGTCGGGAAATATTAAATTTCGTCTTCTAGATTAAGACTTTATGTAAAGTTACAAAAAAAAATAGAATTCACATGAATATATACGTGTTTCTATAAACAGTAACGCGAATGTTTAGATTACAACAATTGCAGAATGTAAATATTTCCGTTGCGAAACTGTAATGGGACCATATTTTTCTCGTGCCCGAATTGCGTTCTGGTTTTTATAAAATTGATGATTTTCTCGCGAATCTCTCCATATGAGTAACGATTAAAAACAATAAACTCTCTCTATATGTTTATGAAGAAAAATGTAATAAATTTTGAAAGAAATTTTGCAGATCTGTAAATATTTATAACGCGCGGAGAGAGAGAAAAAGAAATATATATATTGGTTTCGAGAAAATAAATAAATACCAGTTTCGTATAATTTATTGCCTGGAAACAGCAATAAACAATCTATTCGTCTATAGAAATAGAACGAATCTCCTTAAACGGAATTTTAGGCATAAACTAGTTCGACGAAACGGTTTGTAATAGAGTTATTACATTGAAAATAATCGATTTTGTTATAAATTATAAAAAAATGCTGTCCTCGTTGATTATTTTTGTTATAATTAATTATGTCAATTAAATAAATTTCAAATGCTGATAACTTTCTGAACTGGTTTTTATTTTTGAATTTAATTAGTGATTTCTGCACTTCGCACGCTTACAAAACTCTTATTATACCAGTTTTTTATGGATATATTTAGAATATTTTAAAATTTGAACATTTACAAAGAAAAAAACAAATTTAAAATATTAGACCACACCGAATGTTCGAAAATCGAAAACAAAGAAAAAAACGAGATTCAAAATTTTTAAGAAATTCTTTTAAGAATTAACGTAAAAATACGTTATCATAATTAATTTTATAATTTATCATTTTTGTGTCATAATTAGTTTCTGATTCTTTTTTTTTCTGAAATAAAGTATTCGTGAAGAAAAGTTTTGAGGTCAATCTTATATTTTTTTTTCCTAAACAAATATAATTACTGATCATCGATAATTGCAAAAGGTTGTATATTAAAAAAAAAGTTATTGGCATTAAACGATTAGGGAAATTCGAGATGCGAGCGTATAATTAGTATATCTGAATTGCAGAAAACATGCAAAGTTAATAAACAGTATGGAATTTCGCATGCAATTTATGCATTAAGTAATTATTCGGTCGAATGACGTATCATTAGAAACGTGTCCATTACATACATTAGTCTAAATTCGATCGATCTTGGATATAATGTGCAGAAAAAAAACATATCCATATCTTAACGAGACATATTATCCACCTTATCTCCAGCTTTTAAATGTTTCAGTTAATATGTAATAAACCCGATAGTTTTATTATTGATAATAATAACAAGATTTTCTTGATGCAAACCGGCCGGCAATTTAATTAAGCAATCATCCAGTTTCCATAGTAATTTATACATAAACGTCAGTTGGACGTCAGTTCGGTGATGGAGATACAAGGTCAAGAAGGTATATTTGTTGCACGAAACGCAACGATTGGACTTTAATTTTGTTAAGATATTTTTTTAGTATTTTTGTCTTCTTTTGTTGGAATCAAATCAAAGTAGTTTTTAAATATGTAGTGAAAATTGGTGATTTTTAATGAAACGTAATTTAATTTAAACGAAAAAGAAATTTACAATATCTTATTTCGTAATCATGTAAACAAGTTTTTATAAGAAATTGGTCACTTCAGGAAATTATTTTCTTTCCATGGCAATTTATTAGCTGTATTCATTCACTTTGATTTATTTGTCGCTGCTATAATTATTCTATTTTTAGACGTGAATATGTTTTCATTGAACTTAAATTGTCAAGTAATTGGACTTAAGTATTTTTTTCAGGATAGTTTCCATGTCAAACGTCTGATCAAAATATTATTTTCGAATTACACTATCTTCACACCTGTTGCAATCATGATTTGATTTAGTTTCTAGTATGTTTTGTAAAATGCAAAGATGTTTATTTGAAGTACTTTCTGACATGTTAAGAATTTGTTACTGTAGCAAATCACATCAATTCTTCAAGAGTGACATTTTCTTCGTTGGTACAAGTTTAGTTGCTTCTTGCATCTTGCTCGACTAAATACCTCAAACTGCTGCAACGAAGAAGCAGTTGGTTTGGGTAGGAAGAGAGAGTATGCTGTGCGCGATTGATGATTTATCGTGTCGAGATTAGATTGTGCGGCGCGAAGTGGTCTTTATAAATAGGAATAGTAAATCGAGGGTAGCCGCTGTAAATTGATAGTTGTAAACATAGTCGTTTCTCCGATTTCGAACGACCGAGATGCGTTCTTGCAAATCTAAAATAAACTCCGACTCGGTGTTCCAACTTGAAAATAAACAACCAAATGAAATAGTGTTGTTGTTGCCGTTTGTTACGACATCTTTCTTTCTCTCTTTGTCGTAACAAACAACAACAACAACTGGAAAGAGAGAGAGAGACGGAATTGAAGAGGAAAAAAAAAAGGATCGGGATCGACGGTGGAAATAATAGGCGCATGCAAATGCGCTTCCTCTGGACGTGCTTCTGTGGGACTTTTCCATACCACCTCCTTCTCCTTCATTTCTCTTCTTGCTGTTGTTCTTTTCTTCCGTTCCAAGTGCAAGCTTTTGAAGTGAATTAAGTGTTTAACAATTTACAAACCGCAGCTCTATAATCTCTCACTTGACACGAGCGCAATTAGAATATAAACGAGACAAGAATGGTTTCGTGTGCGACGGAGGGAGAGCTGGAGGAGGTCTGCCGTCGATGGTTGCGATGTTGAAGTAGGAGTAGGAGGAAAAGTTCTTGCGAAGGGAAGAAGGTGCAGGACGGAGAAGGGGCGATACGTCTCTCCTCTTAGCAGGTAGATAAGATATGACAAGATATACAGGTGTGAAATACAATGGACCGAGAGCTGAACACCTGTTCCACAATAGTTAGTGTGGCACAGAGGAATGCAGTCTTCAAATGAACACCTGGCCAACTCCAACACCGACTCGCCGTTGTCCATAACGCAGAGAGAACAGAACGAGCGAGACAGAAGGACAAAGAGAAGAAGAAAAGAGTATGAGTGTGTGTGTATGTCCACACACATACTCACAGAATTAGATACACTCATCATCCTTAGGGTAGAGGGCGATTGGTGAAGAAGGAGTGTAGAGGAGAAGAGAAAGATTACAGCAGTTACCACCTACAGGAATCAACGAAAGTAACGAAATTGAGCGATCTAATTCTTAACGCAAAAGTGGGAATTGGAGGGACGAATGTGCCATCATCTGTCCCACGCATTCCAGATGATTAATTTCCTCAATCTGGCTAACGGTGATTTGTTGTTCAAGATGTTTGTCGGCTGTATCAATTTACTTCCTCCTCCCTCAAAACGCTCAAACGATTTTTTTCCACTCTCTTCATCTTTCTCGTCCGTTGTTCTTTTTTCACTTTTGACTTGGTTCGAAGTAGAACCAGATTGGTTTCAAGGGTCTGAAGGGACCTCCGGGGGGTCAACTTTCATTTCACACCATCGTAAATCATATCTCCTCCTCCCCCTCTTCATTCTCAACCACTCATCCTACCTCCGTCATCTCTTCTTCGTCATCTTAGTCGTCCTTTTATCTTTTTCGGTCTTTTGTAGATTGTGCGCGCTGCGCTCTTATGTTATGTGTGTGTATGCATCATGCGACATGTGGTCGTCGATATTGCACTCTCCTAAACAAAATTTATTTTCACCGCAAGTCAGCGGCGACGAATATTTATCGCTTTCAGCGCACGATTTAAAGTCCAATGTAAAAAAATAGCGACGACGACGATCTAAAACATTGCATCAATCAAGTCTGCATAAAGATTAATCGAATTGATGATTAAGTGAAGTAACATTGAATAATTAGAGTTCAAAAATAGATCAGACGCAAGGCTAGATAAAGTTATTTATAACAAAAAAATCACCTAATTCCAACTGATATATGTTAAATTTCTTAATTAATTTTCAGTTTATAAAAATAATTATGTTTTTGTAATTTCTATTCTATTTATCTTCATTTTGAAGATAGATATTGATGGAAATTGGTAGTGAAAATATTCTAATTTTATTAGATATAGAAAATATTGAAATATAAAGAATATATTTATTCTATGTATGTATTTAATCTATATTGATTCAATATTCTAATATTATTTATTTTGTTATAATAAATTAAAAAATAATTAATAAATATAACATTTATCAAACACGTAATTTCATTAAATATATTTGCATTCCTATAATTGACAATTAACTATGTTAATTTGATGGTAACTTATTGATTCTTAATTAATATAAATAAAAGGTGTGTTTATGTGAATGCTAATAACCGATAGAAATTATAATTAAATTAATTACTTTTCCATAATTTGTAGAAAATATCAAGGATAATGGAAAACAATGTTTTAGTGTTAGATTTATTGAATGCACTATAATTTTATGAAAGCTTTGAATGAATGAATCCAGGTATACGGATCTTTCACGGTGGCCTTACTGTCTTCCTTTTTCTTTCTAATGTTCGACACTCTTAGGTGTGAATAGAAACTTTTCAGTGTCGGAAATTAAACGCCGCCGTTTATTTCGAAACGTGAAAAATAAATAGAAAAAGGACGTAATGTAATTAAGTTAAATGGGTAGGCGTTTCGCCTCGATTACACTTATAAACTCATTCATTCGGCTTTGCGTATTTCTGTACGATATACCAAGACCGTTTCAAAGAAAAGACCATCTCACGTGTCAAAGTCCCCAGCATAATCCCAGCATAAACTACAGAAACAATTTATCAAATGTATTAATAAATTAAAATATTAATTGGTTTCAATATATATTTTGCAAATTGATAATTATTTAGCAAGAATCAAGAAATTTTATAATTTGGAGACAATAGAAGGCTAGTACTTGTGCTTACGTAATTATTGATAATTATTTCCAAATGTGTGACAATAAATATAGTTTTGAATACAATGTTTTAACGATATGATTTGTATTTCATTCGTAATTTAATGAAGATGTTATTTTATATCCGGTGGTTAATGAAGATATTAAAGCTTTGGTCGGATGGGTTTCGAGAAAAGCATTAGAAGCTGAAGAGGTTGTCGTTAGTTTTGTTGTTTTCTTTGTAATCGTGTCTTCTCGTTTTCTCGGAGGCTGCGGAAGATGTGTATCTTAATAAGGATGATTAATAAGGAGAGGACACGTCGAGACTACCTGTCTGCTGTCGTCCCTGAAACTGTTTACTGTTTCTATACGAGCTCTTGTTTCTCTGTTTGCAGGAAAATTGCAGTCCGAAGTCCTGCAGATCGGGCATGGATTCCAAGAAGGCGGCGTGCGGTTCGGACGGAGTGTCGTATGTGAACCGATGCCACCTGGAATTGGCGAGATGCCAGCAGAGGAATCTGACGTTCGTCCACAGAGGCAACTGTCGGCCGGACGAACAGCAGACGTGCGCCGCTCACGCCATCGCCGTAGCCATCCTCAACTCTGCGTCCTCCAAGTCTTCGGCGACGGCCTCGGACAGATACGCTCCGCAATGCAGGACGGATGGTAACTTTGCTGCAGGGCAATGCCATCCGCAGATCGGTTACTGCTGGTGTGTCACGGCGCAGGGCTTCCCCATCCCTCTCACCGTCGTTCCCTACAGAACAGGACTGAAGCACAAATGCGGCAAGATCAAGAAGTCGACGATGCGTCGATCCTCAGCGAATGGCGCCGGCCAGAAGAAACCTGCGAAAGCATGCAGTCTAGAGGATAAGGCACTCTTCAACAGCAATCTCATCCACATCTTCACCACTGAATGGATGCGCAACACGGAGCAACCAAAGTCGGCTGCAACTGATGCCAAGGTGCTCGAGTGGAAGTTCGATAATATGAATTTGGATAAGAACGAGCACTTGGATAGGAACGAGTACAAGGATTTGAAGAGGCTTGTCAAGAAGGTGGTGAAGCCGAAGAGATGCGCAAAGTCCTTCGCCAAGGCGTGCGACATGAACCGTGACCAGATGATCACCAAGCACGAGTGGGCTCAGTGCTTGACCCGCGACGGGAAGGACGGTAGGTGTTTAAAGACTAGCAACTTAAATTAGCCTTTCCGGTTTTGCTTTAGAGACATCCATCACACATCAAACGTAATTATCGTCACCCATCATCCTCCTTATCATCATCTACATCATTATTGTTATTACATATATGTATTTCAGAATGGCATAATATATACTGATTGCAGACGGAATAGAATCAGCACCAAACTAAATAAAAGTCTCCTCCAATGATCTCATCTCACTTATATCTGTCTACAGCGTGTTTCAATCAATTGTACGCACACTATATAAAAAAATAAGCATTCTTATAAAACTTCTACAAATATCCAAAACACATAATATTATTCTCTAATAATCGAAAAGTCAACAAATATTTATCAAATAAGTTTGCAAACATTTCTTAATTATACTTAATTCTACAAGTTTTCTCATTTTCGCAGATCATTGATCATATATCGAAAGGTTTCATATGTAGAATACTTTTGCTATTTTATTTGTACTAATCATGCTTAGATCTTTGATCATGATTTTGTCATAATAATTGTGAAAAAACTGATCAAATTTAATTAAAAGCTTAATTAGTGTAGCTTTTTAGTAATAGCTTATGTCTTTTTAACTATTTTTTAACGTTTCGCTTAATATGGAAATATTTACATTGGTGAATGAATATGTATATTGTTGATTGCTCATCATCACACTTTTGAAATCATATTATTTGAGACACTCTGTGCATATCTCTCTTTGGAATTCAAAAGTGAAAGGCATGTACGCTTATAGTCGTGCATATACACACTCCGCGTCGCTCTTTTGATTTCTATGAAATTTTATTTAATTCTCTTACGCAAACGCATTTATTGCTTCCTGCACCAAAAGCTGAAAACATCGTTTCTTTTTTTTCCTTGCATCTTCGTTTTTTCATTAAACTCAGGTATAATTCCCAGGGTGGTCTATTGTTAAAACGCGCCGCACAATGTACCTCTAGGTGTCAATGTGAAGTATACATGGTAAAGTTTTGAATTCAAAGGAGGTAGTCACTCATAAAAAAAAACTTAACTAACTTTGAGCTAGGTGCAATGCAAACAGGTAATCAATAGAAGACTCGAAAAAAGGACTATTGTATACAACAAAAAGAAGTAGTTCATATTATTTCTTGTTTTCTCAGAAATATGATGTACCTTGGTTTTAATTTGGGTCTGCCTTTTATCGTCTAATAAGCATTTAACCTTTTTTTATCCTATTTTAACATAGATAAACGCAAACTTCTTGAGGCAATAAAACTTAACAGGAGAATGGCAATTGACTTAATAAACTGTATCTACGATTGCCAAAAAACCTCATTAAATAATCTGTAGCAAATGATACTTGTCAAGAAGAGCAATTGCAAAGTCACTTGGCAAGTATCTCTTAGACTATATTTGAAATGATGATTAATGGAATGAATAATATGCGCTTAGTATTTTAGATATTGAAATATTTATTTATTTTTATTGTTTTAGTTATAGACGATTTGTAAGTGTTGTTATTGTCGTCCCTGAATGCAAAAATGGTAGCAAAAAGAAAACTGTTGGTTTGCTGTGTAGACTTTATTGGTGCTGATGATTAGAGATAGTATTGCCATTCGCGCCTACTTTGTTTTGAACTTAAATAGTTTTTTTGCGTCTGTTCTTCTTGCTGAACGCAGAGAAAGCGGGAGGAGAAGAAGCTCAGAACCTGGACCAAGATGAGGAAGATGAAGCCGACGAAGGAGAGGACATCCATCTGCCGCCGTACCGTCCCAGTAGCAGTAAGAATCACCCTTCTTCTTTACCATCTCAACAACAAGATTACACGAGTAAACATCTCCTAATTCGTTTGTCGTTAGTCCTAACAGACGGTTCGAGGAACTTCAACGGTGGCACGAATTACGACGACGACTCTTCGGAGAGACGCGACGAAGACGAAACCGGATGTCTATCGGATAGGAAGACGGCGTTGGGCGAAGGTACGCAACTGTATGTTCCCGAATGTACACCGGACGGTCGTTACGCAAAGGTAAAATTCAATTTAACGATATGTATATTTAGTCGAAATCTTAACTCAAATATCTTGTTTTTAAGGTTCAATGCTACAAATCCGCTGGTTATTGCTTTTGCGTGAACGAAGACACCGGCAAGAATATAGCAGGAACAGCGGTCAAAGATCAGGTCCCGAAGTGCGATCAAATCGTTACAGTCAGCAGGTCGATGAAGGGTTGTCCCGATGACAAGAAGAACGCCTTCCTCAAAGATCTGATGGAGTATCTTCATACTAGCATGATAAAAGAAACCAATGGCACCACAATCACAGGGTATTACTATAACGATAAATTTAATCTTGAAGACGGTAATTGGCAAATTTTACGTTGCGCAGAATTGGTGGTTCCGCCTGGCGGTCGACGAAGGAAGAGCAAGTGGCGTCCTGGAGCTTCGTGTTCTTCGACAAGAATAAAAACAAGGTTCTCGACAAAGCCGAATGGAAAAGCTTCAAAGATACCATGTCCACCGTGAAGAATCTCAAGAGATGCGGTAAAAAGTTACCGAGGTACTGTGATATAAATAAAGACAGGCACATCAGCATGACGGAATGGTTGGATTGCCTCAACACGAACAAATATCAAGAGCCATGTAAGTNNNNTTCCTTTTTGTTGCAGCGACGACGTTATCGCCGAGCTCTATAAAATCTGGTAAAACCCCGTTGTTCCATCCCAGCCTCTTGATGGAAGATTGAAGTGTGATTATTTCATGAAACCATTCGAAACGGACTGTTGTATAATGTTTAAGTGTTCTTAATTGTGATCTTAGTGTAGCTTCGTCAGAGAGGAAATTTCCCCCAAACAAAGAAAACAAAAAGAAAATGAATATCAGCAAACAAAAATCATATTTGTATAAATCTTTGTCCGATATAAAAAATATATATATTTTATTTATGTTTCGGCCCACATTCTGCAAAACCCTTTTCTTCTTGTATATAAACATTATTTTTTAATCGTTAGGTGCCGCCACGCTCAACAACGATCATCGGGTGCTTCTTATCATTTACGTAACTATTAATGACTGTCTCTTTAATTGTGCTTATTTATTCTAAACCTTTCGTAAATATATATATATATAATTTGTACTGCTCCCCAAACAATGTTTTCTCCTTATTACTTTTTGAATTTTGTGGAGCGCTCTGTTGATGTGTAAGTAAAGATTTTTTTTTGTTAAATAATTACCTTTTATTTGATCCTTATCAACTAATAAATACTTTAAATATATACAGCATTTATTTCCATTATCTACAAATAGTATAATAATTTTATTCTAGTAGATTCATCATCTGATTGTTACCACTGCTGTAATACTATTTATAGTTAACAAATTCTCATAGAAACCAATGGTTCTGTAAGATATATAATATAATGCTACTATCTATGTAACACAGCGGCTGATGTATATGAGAGTATGAAGTAGTGTAAATGAAATCAGTTGTATTAAAAAAACACTTGTATTGTATTTCAAGATATAAACAGTTCCGAGTTTTGCAACTTAATAAATTCATATAAATTATTGGTAGTAAAAAAATTAAGAATCATTGTAAGTCAGTTGTAGAACAAGGGAAAATCCTTATTTCTGAATACAATTGTTATACTATAAGATATATATATGTACAAGAAGAATTATCTAATTCTAATTAAGGTACGTGTTTCGCGTTGGATTAGAACACCCTGTCTTGGTAGCTGCTGTCCTGCACAGCGGAGGTGGTTGGGCGTGTTCCAGGCAGTGAGTGATGTGTTCGCATATGAGAGGGACGCCTAGGCGGTGCCAAAAATTCGAACATACTTTGGTGATGGTTCGCCAACATATTGCTCAAACTGCAAGGCATTGGGTCCGTCCAGAAGAAATCGTGATTCAATGCGGTGTCAGAATCTGCCCTTCTAGATGGATCCAAAACCAACAATTTATCTAATAAGTCGCACGCGTACGGGTCCTTCATGTAAGGTTTCAGACGGTCCTTTACTTTTCTTTTTTGAGCTTGCGGCAATTCCATCGATTTGTACAGTTCCAAGTTTTCCACCCCCGGCCAAACGGCAGGTGTAATCGATCCGCACAACTGGGAAATAAAAATTAACTGTTGCTGTTCACTGCTCCCTTGCATTATGGGTGACCTCGTCCACATTTCAGCCATTATACAGCCAGCACCCCACATATCAACAGGAGGTCCATAATTCCTTTCGCCCAATAGCAATTCAGGTGGGCGGTACCACAAAGTCACAACTCTGTTTGTGAACCTGAAATAAATCAAATATTAACAAAACAAATCCATGATTCACACTTAATTGGTAATTCAATCTATAAAATTGTTATCGAAGCTCAAACTGCTGTACTCGAATATGACTATTTTCTATGTCCAATTTTACAAGTAATCTACTGCAATCACTCACCTGTTAGGTTCTCCATTCTTGTTTGCACTGAATGCCCTGGCTAATCCAAAATCGGCCAACTTTAAAACACCATTTTTAGTTATCAACACATTAGCCGCTTTCATATCCCTGTGTAAAATTTTGTTGCTGTGTATATAATACAATCCATTGAGCAATTGCTGCATAACTTTTTTGATTTCTCCTAAACTAAATTTAACATTAACATTCGACAGCAGACCAGCCAAATCGTGTTCACAAAAATCGAATACTAAATAAAATGTGGATCTGTATTTGTTTGATGCTGATGCTTTTGTTCTGCAGATCTGAATCAAATTAACTACATTTTCATGCTTCAGCAGCTGAAGTATCCTTATCTCTCTCAAGGCTGTGATTGGGAACTGCACCAAAAAAAATGTATAATCAGTCAGTCAAGTTCCAGAAAAAGTAATTCGTTAGTTTGCATAAGATGAATACTTACACCCTCCTTCTCATTCTCCATAATGACCCTCTTCATGGCTACATACTTGTTGGGGTTTCCCTTGTCCCGGGCTTTGAACACCTCCCTGAAAACACAGATACAAAATTGCACATCTTCTGGTGATGTCCAGGTCCATAACCTCAAAGAGGAAGACCACTTACCCGAATGTCCCTTGACCAATTTTGGCGACCTTCTCATATTTTGTGGATTCATCACAAAAGGGGAACGCAAAGTTTTCAATATACCGCTCCTTCTCTTTGCTATTCATTTTGTTATGATAAAAAATGTAAACATACAAAAATACTATAACCTCACTATTCAAACTTGTCACCAACTGTCAGGGCATACCAATCACAACTAAGCTGAAGTTAGTTGTGATCAGTTGTGATTGGTGATAAGCTGAAGTTATACTCTTTGCGAACTATCCGACACTACAGATGGCGCTATCATTAGAATGTCATTTATTTTTTTATTGTTCCTTTATTGTTCATAAGAAAGCAAAAGCATTTATAATTTATTAATACGAATAATAATAATTAATACGAATTTCAATCATTCTATTGCGAATATTCAAATTTCAAAAACTTTCTAATTAATTAGAAGATATTTGTTGGCCCTTGTGTCAATGTTTGTGACCAATCAATTAATTAGAAAATATGAAATAAACAAACTTAGATACAAAATTCTCTAAATTTAAACATGTTAAATTTGTAAATTGCAATAAAAAAATCGAATAAATAAGTTTAATAAATAATGTTATTATTTATCTACAGATACAGAAAAAGCTGTAGAGAATTCATAGAAATAAATAATACTTTCACGAAATCGAAACAGTGATTAAAAAATAGTCATAAACTCGTTGCTTACAGCTGTAATAAAATAGAAATTAAACCTTCCCTAAAGTCTTCAATAGATAAAGCAAGTTAAATTCGAAAGATTATCTTCTACGGATTATGCAGAAAACAGAATCTACTAATAAAATGGTATGAACTTTGAAAACTTAATTTTTTTAATGTGAAAGCAACAGTGCTGCTACTAACGTGCTCATAAGTGAACTAATCACTCAAAAAGTTTACCTTGGATGTGTTGTTTGAATATTTATTATATATGTCTTTTTTATGCTTTGTTACCCCTTATTAATCTTTTCTAACACTTTTTATTTACCGATGCGAGACCTTCCCACACTGTGATAAGAGCTGATATGCTTGTCAAAAGTTTGTATAAATGTTGAATTATATTTTGTTATTTTTATTATTTATAAATTTATTGTATATTTATAAATTAACTGGGTGATTCTGTGTAATTGTCTTTAGATATACTTAGATATAAGAGCTGATATGCTTGTTTATAAACTCTTTTAGTTTGTTTGTACTAGACATTGACTGGCTACATACACTGTAAGGTGTGAGCTAAGTGCACACCTCCACTCTATTATAGAGTGGAGGAATCAGAACAGAACAGAACAGTAATATTTTTTTAAATTTATTTTCTTAGGATCAAAATGAATGCGAGAAACTAATTCGTTCAGTATTGAAATCGAGCTCAGACAAATTTTCCTTAAACACCTTAGCTGATCAATTCATGGAGCTCGTCGGTGTTGAAATTCCCTTCGAGCAATTCGGATTTACCACTTTAAGAGAATATTTAAATTCGATATACTGGATTCTGCGGGTATTTGCGAAAATATTATCTAATTCTTTCAGTTTTTATGTGATATATCCATTTTTTTTATTGTTATAGGTAGATAATGAAGAGGAAACCAATTAGCCAAAACTCATCTATCGCACCTTACAAGAAAAGAAGCACCAAAATGATTTGGATTAGTCAACTAATTACAGCACGTTCTTTTTACGAAAGTGCACGAATAGATGTTTCAATTTTAATCTTATATTGTTAACTATTTATTTATAGAAATTACAATTCTATTGTTTATTCATTTTTATAGTAGAATAATAAATTTAATTAATATTTTCCATATACATTTCTCTATAGTGCTCAAAATCATAGAAAATCGTGCGTAACTTTTTTTATATAACTTAATTACAATGCGCAGTCAATAACTTTTTTAATGAAATACAAAACCTAAAGAAATTAATAACATTAATAAACAACAATAGATCAAAATAAATCAGTTTATAATAGATCTAGTGACTTTAGTTTATGTTAACTTGATATGGCTAAACTTAATAAGTTATTTGCATTTTTTTTGCTGATATTGTGATTTGATTTTGTATATGAAATACATAACTTAATTACATATTTAATTACTTTGGTAATCATAGAAATAAAGGTAATTCAGGTGACGAATGAAATGCATTAATATAATTACACTAGTTACATATTACAGCGTGAATTGTATATTCAGTGTAATGATTCAGGCAAATTGCACAAGCAATAAAGTACTTTATTCAATTAACCGAAGCAATGATAACATTAATAATAATCATAATAGTAATAAAAATTGTTTGCGTTCGGGTTTGAAATAAAAAAGTAAGCGTTACTTCACTTTTTTGTTGTTGTATTCATCCATTAATTATTTAATATGACAATTCCAATAGTTGTGGTGTTTTATTATAAGCGCTTTTACAAACGGCGCAAACTCAAAAATATTGACTACAACAACAACGGGCACTTGATGCTGCGCGATTCCATTAGCATGCAGCTACCAGAACGAAGGGCCCCGACAACAAAATAGTATTTTAATAATTCCTATCTAGTTATAATGGCGGAAATTGGACAATTGTTTTTATTCTTATGTAAGTATTCGATAGTTAGATGTTATATACACGCAGAAAGGTCGCATGCACAAGTAAATAATCCACGCAAACACATTCATGCATACGGAGAGTATCCGCACCATTGCAGAAGTGGACTACAATTTCGTTAAACATCCTTTTCACATAGACCACTAAGAGTACTTATATGTACTTGAATGATGTGATAGTTGTACGTTGAAAAGCGGACGTAATATCGATCAAATATCATTTATATCTCTGGTGGATTACATTAGCATATTGATAGATTATTGAATCGCAATACGTAACTGGCGCATCCACCAAAAAAAAATTAAATGATTATAGTATTGAAATTTTTCCGCAGGTACCGTTTTCCAACTGTGCTCCGGTTTGACACTACCCTATATGGTGACGACGAAACCCAGGCACACCAAGTACAGTTCGTCCATTGCGACCCCAGTTGCAAATGGGTCCGTCGCGGTCCCGTCCAATGCCACCATCATCGAGGGTAAGGGAGAGGCACTGTACAGAGTCAATGATAATAAAGGCAGCACCTGCATCCTGCTGAAAACCGATGCCCTCATTGAGGTACGCCAAACCCCATCCCCTAATACCGATTTCATCTTATTAATCGAAATCGCTGTTTACAGCTGAGCTACAAGAGCAACATCGGCGAGGAAACCGAGGACATTTACATTCCCGAAAACGCGCTGGTCGAGGGAAACTGCAAGTACGAGGATGAGTCGTCGATGCGGCTTTCCTGGAAAGGCTACACTCTGATCTTAAGCTTCTCGAAGGTACGGAAAACTTAAAATTAACATAATTAATTACATTATATATATGATCTTTGTTTTTAGACACCTGGAGGTGAACGTTGGTACATAACTAATGTGGAATTGCGCGTCAACACCAATGTACAAAAACATCACAAAATTGCTAATGGTAAGTCTAACTCTATCACTATAAAAATATCCAACCATATTCTTCTAATTATCTACTAAAATATTGAAGTAGGCCAACTAAATTAAATTGCAGTTAGTTTAGAAAACGGCGAAATTTAAATAATTTTCCGGATATTTCATACGGTTTATCGATCGCCACCCACTAAAGGTTCAAGAACAATAAGCATTGTTATTTTCATTCTAATGTCTCTCCTTTAGAGAGAAGCTTACGAATTAAATAGATTCCCGAAATTTATATAATTTTCTAATCATAACGTCTTTGTCAAAACAATTGAAAGATAAATGATAATGTCAGTTTGTTATTATTATTATTATTTAAAAACAAATGGAAAATATTAAAATGAAAATTCAAATTGTACTTACGAAACATTTCCTTTGGATTATTTATTTGGTATTTCAAGTAAATAACCTTGGTTTTGCATATTCAATTTCAAAGCACATCATTTGCACCAAACATCTATTATTGCGCGTAATTTATAATGTTTCGATACCGGAAACAACATCGCGTTTCAACTAACAGATTTTATTATGTTTCCATAGCGACATGATTGTTCATTTTTATCGAAGGCTACTATCTAATATTTGAATTTTTGCAGGTAGAACCTTGGCCTTGTACCATGAGAAGATGGTGATGCCTACTCCCGTTGGAAAATCGTACAGCTGCGATGAGACTGTTATAACTCTTCTGCCCAAGGAGGACATAACGACGCTCGAGGATCTGAAGGGAACGTTGTACCTTCGATCGCTTCGAATACAGCCGTTCATGTACAAAGGACCCAACTTCGAGGTGGCCTTCAAATGTAACGCCGCGAAAAGCTTCCACGATGAGACGGCTCCGATAGCCGTGGGTTCGACCCTCGCGGTGGCCGCCCTGCTCACCATCACCGGATACGCAGTATTCAGATATTTCAAGATAAAGAAGGTGCAGTACAATACCATGGAGTAAACCAATCTGAATTTTGAACGCATTTCTCGCCATCCCAATACCACGAATCCATGAAGAAAAAAAAACAGAGAAAAACTAAACTAAATATTATTAATTTAACCGAAACCTAGATAGATATACTCGCGAACGATGATATTACACCGGACGCGCACATGTGAAAAACGTTACCAAAAAATTGAAACTATTTATTTTCTAACGTACCAAATATAAACAATACTTATCATTGGATACATAATCAGAACGTAGCTAGCGAAAGAGAAATAATAAGTAAAATTTAAATTGTAGTTACACGACTCGAGCGTCTAAATAAGATATAAATTTGAATTGTAAAAGATTACAAAAAAAAAATAAGTTTAATGATGATCCATATCGTTTAGAGATAATGAACCGAAAGAGTAACACGTAATTAGCAGTTTGGTATCGGATAATATAAAGACAAACGTAAAATTTAATTAAATTGCATAGCAACGTTCATTAACTGTTACCTAGTAACAGAAAGCGGATGCTGTTTTTCTAATAGCGATTTGAACTTTCCGATGCCGTCTAAATACGTTCATAACATATCACCAATGACAGACCGTAATTTTACCCACGAAAACTATGTTACTATTGTTACGTCGTATTATATTATTATTTATTGTTTATCGAAGTTTACTATGATGCTAGATGTAATTTTTACAAATGTTTCGCATATCGTTTAATGCCGCCGCCGCGTGACTGTTTTCTTCGTTTTCTTTTACATTCCTCTCCATATATACTTTGCTAATGTTTTCATTTTGATTTGTCAATGTATGTAAATATATTTATAAATCTATTTGTGATAAATGTTCGGTTTATTGAAAAATTATAACAAAAAAAAAGAAAAGATATATATATGTGTATATTAACATGTCTTCCATATAAAAATATCATTTTAGTAAGTTATTTTTAATTTAGGAGTAGATTATTGTAAAACGATACAGATAACAAAAAGAAGATACATATTTAAATAGTTATTAATACTGATCGTATATATATATATATAATTGTGTATAATATATATATATACAGAAGAATGTATATTGTTCGTATATAAATAAAAATTACTTATGGATTGATGAACATTACATTGAGCGACTCTTTAATTCGTATTTAGCTTAATTCAGGATTTCTCTAAGATGAGAATGACTTTAGTTCTTGTTAATGTTTTACTTGAGAAATCATACAAAAAAAACTTAAGTCTTAGCAAATTAATGAACTAATAACATTTAATTGAATGGTAATTACATCAAATAAGCGTTGTATTCAAATGTTTTTCAATTTCTATTATATGAATTTTTTTTTTCGCTGTTTTCAACCACCTTTGATCAATTGCATCATCATCCTAGTAAATACAAAAAAAAACCTTGTATCAATTAATATTTCGAGACAAAACAAATGAATCATCGATATAGAATGTTAGCTCGAATAACTGTCTGATACATATAAGTATAATTTCATAATGTTTACACTCTTATGTTGATGTTTTCGTGTTGGAACAAGCGAATTAATTATGCACCTGGAGAGGAGTCTAACCTAGCGAGGTAAACAACGGAAATGCACAAATTTATAACCTGAAAGTTTCGTTTTGTGCAATTGCGAGCTAATTATTTAAATCGGTTCGTCTCCAATGGATATACATCAAACATTAAGGAGTTATGTAAACGATAAACAGGAAATATACGATGTTCTGAAGGACTTCCATTGTCATCTGGAGGAATTGTACAAGGAATGCTGCGATTCGGTGTTCGGAGCCCCCAGCAAACCCTGCGACGATTCATCCATATACAAGATCGATCTCATCGTAACACATCTGCACGAACATTTGAACGTGGGCAAATGGAGCGAAGTACCGGAAAACAAGAGGAAAGCCTTCTCCGCTGCGAGTTTCATTAAATGCTCGCTTCTCCTGCAGCAATCAAAAGAAAACGTGAAGCAAGCCCTGGAATGCATTGACAAAGGTTTCCTGCTGGGCATTCCTCTGAAAGAGAACAGCAATCTCCTGACGCAATGCGCCAGTTATCTGAATGATGATCTGGAGAAGTCCAACAAAAAGGAGTTGACTGAAAGTGAAGAAGTCCCATGCAAACGGGTCAAGTATGAGAATGACTTCTGGAACATAGATGCTAATACGATAAGTGTAATCAAAGTTCCCACATTGGAGGAGTTCTACAAGAATTACTTCTTGAAGGAGATCCCTGTTATAATGCAAGGTGATCTGTTGCGTTTTGTTTATAGTAACACAATAATATGAAGATTGCTATTGGTTTTAGGTTGCATGTGCCATTGGCCTGCATGCAGCAAATGGCTGAACCTGAAATACTTGCTGAAGATTGCAGGCGGTAGGACCGTTCCCATCGAAATAGGATCCTCCTACTCCGATACGAATTTCTCGCAGAAGCTTATGACGCTAAAAGAATTCGTCGACGAGTACTATTTAAAGACGTCCAAAGATATCGGGTATTTGGCGCAGCACGATCTTCTCAATCAAGTACCGGAATTGAAGGAAGATATCTGCATACCGGAGTACTGCTGCACGAGCAGAAATTTCGATGACGACAATCTTTTTGAGCCTGAAATAAACGCGTGGTTTGGACCCGAAGGAACCGTGTCTTCCTTGCACCAAGACCCCAAAGACAACTTTTTGTGCCAAGTATTTAAAACAGCGAGCTATTTTGTACCATTTAAATATGTGTATATTTTATTTTAGGTTTTCGGAACGAAGCAGGTGATCCTGTTCGCGCCTACGGACAACAACTTTCTGTATCCGCACGAGGAAACGTTCCTGAGCAACACGGCTCAGGTCGATCCGCTGAAGCCTGACCTGGACCAATTCCCTGACTTCGCCAAAGCGACAATGTACAAATGCCTTTTGAATCCGCAGGAAATGCTGTATATTCCACCAAAATGGTGGCACCACGTCACCGCCATCGAGAAAAGCTTTTCCGTGAACTTTTGGTGGCAATGATTTGATTGAAAAAAAGATACGCCCCCACTGTACTTAAGATCATATATCATAATCAATGCAGATAAGCTGTACAAATTCGTATGTATAAAAAAGAAACGATTATCTATGAAGTGTGTATTATATTTCAGATAAATACGGTATCATAAGTTAGCACATTGCGTGATATATAAATATAATACTTCATTTTAAATATATAAAGACTTTTGTAAACATATTTTCTAAGATAAAGCAATCTACAGAAAAATACATATTTATTAAATTCAAGAAAAACCAAGCTAACACATAAATATTAAAAAATTACAATTATATAAAAAAAAAACGAATTCAACTTGTAAATAAATAAGTCAATCAGTCATCCTTCTTATCACCCCCAGACACAGTTACTTTCTTCTGGAGCTTGCTGTGTTCCTCAGCCAACCTGTCATATTCAATACTCAGATTCTTGGACTGAGTGGATAGTGCCTCCTTATCCTTCTTAGAAGACTCTAACTTGCCTTCCAGATCCTTGATTATCTTCTTGAATTCAGTGATCTAACACACAAAATAAACATTAGCAATTTTATAAACAATTTCATCTTACAACTTACAGCTTCATTGTGAGCAGTCTCCTTATCTCCATCCTCCTGCTTGCCTTTGCTGGCCTGATCCAAAAGTGACCTAGCAGTGGTGGTAGCACTCTTAGCTTGGCTAATGGCTGCTTCAGACTGGGCCAAGAGAGCTGCTTGGGAGGAGATCAAGCTAACCAAACGCCTGATGACCAATGATAGGAACAGGGCAAAACCAGAAATGTAAAAGTTTCTCTGTGCACGGAACAGACGCATGTTGCCTTGCATCTCAGCATCAAGATGTTTGTGATCATTTTCGGCTTCTGGAAAACAGAGAAAATAAGCATGTTAATATATTCTTTTCTTTGCAATTGAAAAGTGACCAACTATGAAATTTTTTTGTATATTCTGATGCAAAATTACCTATGGTCGAGTATTTTCTCATTTCGCGGATGGCGTCCAGCAGGAATAGGACGAGGATGGCAATGAGAATGAGGAAATAAATTCCTGCCTGGTATTGCAGGCTCTGCATGAAGCGTGACTTGAAAAGTCGATTCCATTTTTTTGGGCTCGCCACTGGCAAGACCAGCAACAAAACAACTGCGATCTCTACGTAGAGGAAACCGGCGATTAAGGTCCACTGTAAACTCATCTCGATTGCGGCACGTTCTGCTGGGTTGAACAAAAAGGCTCAACTAAAAATTGAATACTGGTCAGCTTTAGGTGAGATTATGCTATTTATAAAATTCACTGTAATACGTGATACCAAAGTACAGCTCAACGATGACAATTTCGGGAATAGACGCACTTACGATTTGTCAAGATGCAACCTTGCGCAACAATCGTCATCACTGCCAACTTTTCGAAGAAATTTCTATAGTTCAGTACATTTCGGAGAGGTGGCGGTATCAACAAAAACAGGAAATCAACAATTTTTATAAGAGGCGATTGAGTTGCTACTGTATTTAATAATGTATATAATAAATTTATTTCCGAAATAAGTTAAAAAAAGAGATGTTCACTGGACATTTTTTTAGTATACACATATAAAAATGGACAAAATCTATTTGCCTGCGTCCTCCTTCAATCCAACGGTTTTGTTGAAGACGATCTACAAAAAGAAATAACGTTTGATCAACTTCTCGTAACACTATTAAACAGCCTCACCATGTCCTTATTCGTGTCGGGATCGACAGAGAAGAATCCCAGCCGTTCGAACTGGAACTTCTCAAAAATCTTAGCAGTTAGGATCGATTTATCAGCGTATCCGGTCGATATGCTAAGCGAATCCAAATTGCAGTCGCTCAAAAAACCGCCGGGTACTTCTGCTGGATCCTCAGGGTTTTTATGTTTGAAACTTAAATAAAATAATTATATAGTTTAACATATGTTCTTCAATGGTTTAGCGAATCTATATTCTATTTACTAAATAAACTTACAGGCTGGCGTAGCTTCGGATTTCGACGGACACCGGATCGCTGACCCAATGGATGAAAGCCTTCGGTTTCGTGGCTGCCTTCTCTACGGCTGTGCAATTGCACACTACCTCGACAACATCGCCTTGCTTGTTCTTCACCACATCCGTCACGTCCAGCACGTATCCAGCGTGCCTAAGACCGACCGACTGGGTTTTGGTAAGCCGTCTATAACCCTTTTCACCGACCTGCAATTGGAATTCGGTTAACAATAATCTCTGAGCATATTAAATCGTATTCCAACCTCCATGAAATCATCCCTCTCTATATAAATAGTTCTGTCGAACGCTACGTTGTGGTTTCCGGCTTCGGGTTTGTTCGGGAAATTAGGAACTTCTACTGTGGTCGCCTTGTCATGAGGATAATTGGTTATAGTGATTTTCAATGGATCCAACACGGCCATTACCCTATTTAAGGAAAACATTTGAATTATATTTTTTTACTAAGAGAGTAATGATCAATTTACCTTGGGGCTGTGTTGTTGAGGTAGTCTCTGACGAAAGCTTCGAGCATACTCGGGTCGACCGTGCTCTGCGCTCCCGTCACGCCCAATTGAGCGCAGAAATTGTTAATAGCTTCGGCGGGGAAACCGCGTCTACGTAGAGCCGTCAACGTATACAACCTAGGATCATCCCAATCGTTCACGATGTTCTCTTCGATTAGCTTAGCGATTTTCCGTTTCGAAACCACCGTGTAATTGACGTTTAGTCTACCGTATTCCCATTGTACGGGGCAGTAGATGTTCAAAGCGTTGCACAACCAATAGTAACTTGATCGTCTTAAAAGAAACGAGAAATTTAACAAATTATAGTGAAACGTGACAAGTGATAGTTACCTAGATTGGAATTCTTTCGTGCAAAGAGAGTGAGTGATGTTTTCGATGCTGTCGCAAAGGCAGTGAGTGTAGTCGTATGTTGGGTAAATGCACCATTTAGTTCCGGTGCGATGATGGGGCGCATACTTTACTCTGTACGCCACCGGATCCATTTTACCCTCCTCCAAAGTGACTTTCATCCTTAAGGTTGCCGCGCCCTCATCCATTTTTCCATTTTTCATATCCTAAAACAGATAACAGTAAGGTAATTTTCTAAACATTATAATATTGGGTTCCATATACAAACCTCAAACAGCTGCAAACTTTCTTCGATCGGACGATTTCTGTAAGGCGATGGAGGAGGATTGAATCCTTTCATCTCATCAGCAGTCTGATGACAGACGTAAGCGAGATCCGCCTTGATGAGTTGCACGGCCCACTCGTACAGCTGATCAAAGTTATCGGAAGAATGTGTCACCTTCGACGGTTTGTATCCTGCAATTCGAATTACGCAAATCACACCTACAATTCAAATAACTCTTTGATTTAACGCACCCAACCATTCGACGATGTCTTTGATTCCAACGAAGAACTTCTCCTCCTCCTTTTCCGGATTGGTATCGTCGTAACGCAAATAACATGTGCCACTATTGGCAGCAGCATATCCGAAATTGATATTGATTGCCTTCGCGTGACCGATGTGCAGAATACCGTTAGGCTCTGGCGGGAACCTTGTCTTCACTTTACCACCGGTCAACTTCAGATGCTGCTTCATCAACTCCTGCGTCCTCTCAGTCACCACGTATCCATCAGTTTTGAAATTTTCACCGGGTTTGTGGAAGTTCAATTTCTTCATCACATCCATAATGCTCAATGCGTTACTGCTAGCAGTGTTAACTAAAATAAGAATCCAATAGGAATTTCAACAAATTTCATACTTATTCAAATGATCTCACCATTATTTTTCACCTCTGGCGCTTTTTCCTTTGCAGCCACCTTGACCTTCTTATCTTTTGCAACTGGTGCTAAATCTGCCTCAACTTTTGGTCCCAACAAATCTAGAATCTATGCAATATACCTTAAATAAATGCAAATAAAAAACACATTGTAATTTACCTGGATATCAACTTCACTCTTAATGGCTTTACCATCAGCCCATGGTAACTCAGTCCTAACTTTCTGCATCAGCAATCCAGTGTTATACCGATACCTCTTCTCCAACAGTTCATTTTTAACAGAGGCAATTTGCTTCTCAATAGCTTTCTCAATTTGCTCTGGTGTGACCACAATGCCCACCCCACAGAACTTCTCAAACTCATCATCTTTGATGCTGTGCAAATGGCTCAGGACATATTCAATTGCCTTGTCCACTCTCACAGTTGAATCCAACTTCTTACTGGCTATATATTTGGCAATAAATGGAAGATGCTCACAGATCTGTGGCTTGGTTTTTGTTGCCAGATGATAGATCAGCATACCAGTCCCTTCAGACAGGGCAACACCACTAACCTTTGAGTGTAAAATGGGATTATGAAAAATTCAGGTTTTAATTTGAACTATTAATTACCTGCTTCAGTAGCAACTTTAGGGTATTCGTCACGTTCACATTTTTCAGCGTCTCTTTGGCTTTCTGTTCACTCAAGCCAATGGACATGAAGGATTTAATTAAATCCTCGTCTTGCAGAGCCATATTTTTAGAGAACCTTAACACAAGGTAGGTAGGCAATTACACGCCGTCAGAAATACTCTTTATTTATAACCTATTCTGACACCAAACCATATGATGTTAAATTTCGGCTGATTTCGGTTTATTTGACAATCGCGATGCCACGCTGTTAAGTACACAAATCAACCAATTGCAACACGTTTACAAAATATACTTTAAGTAAATTTGATTGAAATGTCTTTTTAATTTTGCATTAAATTACAAATTCAATAATTTTTTAACCCAATAATTCTTATAATAATCTAATTAGTCATTTTCAGTCAATATATATAATCTTACATAATCTAATCTAATCAAATATTAATAACAATATTTTGGAAATGAAATTGTAAAGGCGATGGTGCAATCAAGATATCTTCAAAGCACCATCTATTGGTGTTTTTCTAAATTCATTCGTTCTGGATTTTTAGCGCTTTGCTCATTTTCAAATTAAAGTTTGTATAGTTTGCTGGATATTTATTATCATATTCATAAGGATATTTAGAAAGAAACAGTTTCAATTATCCAAAGTGTATTTGTATTAAAGATACTATTTATAATAAATCTACAAACTACTAATGAAAATACTAAATCGATTCACATCTTGACTTTCCTAAATGACATAAAATTCATGATCAGTCTACCCAGTATTGCGATATTAGCGCAGAAGAACGAGACGCTTTGCAGCCAAACGAAGAGGAAGGTATTCTTGCCTTGGAACTCGAGAAAATACGCGGGAACCAGCCAGGCAGCTTGAGCCGCAAACCATATTCCCATGATGAAGAGCGCCACTCCTGCAGTTATCTTTATCTGCCAGATGCATAAAGGCAAGACGACCAATATCCAAATGAAATACTGCGACGTGAGAACGGTGTTGTACGCAACCATCGTTATGGTGATGGTTACTATGGCAAAGTTCAGAGTGAATTTATTGAGACCGTACCTGATCGAGAATACAATCAGCAGAATCAATTGCGGTAAAACAATCAACACGCTTTGCCACATTCCGATGTTCTTAACGCCAGCAGTCAGATACTGTAGGTAAAAGAATAGGGAGAAATTGTGCCTGGTATCTTTCCTCACCAGGTGGTAAATATACGTTTCGTACAGGAATTTGTATCCGTACAGGTAGTAGAAAAGACTGGTGAGCACAACTAATGATGTTAAACAGCCGAAAACCAGTCTAAGCTGATTGGTATTTGGCACCAAATACATCAGGTATTGCTTCTTGAATATCGTCTTGCGCGTTTCGACAATTTGATTGTCAGCGTTTTTCGCGTCCTTTTGCTTTTTACTCTTTGGCTCCGTGTAATTGAACAGATTGTTCGTGGCGTAGTACGAGTATTTGCTCAGATGCATGTAGAAGGCAAGGCTGTACATCAATGGATACAGTCTGAAATGGACAGATAGGCCATGGCACAAACCTGCCAGGAAATATTTCTGCTTGCATTGCAAACAGTACAGGGTTAGCAGGACCAAAGCTCCTGCAATTGAATCGCAATTTCCTCTTGTGGCTATAGCTATGGACAATGGGTTGTACAGCCATAGCAGCATACTAGTATCGGCCTGAACTTCGCTCTCCGTTTTGCACGTAGTTATTAATTGACCTTCCAATCGTTTGCTCTTCTTTCTGTACCGGATATTCTTAATATTCGGTTTATTCAGATATTCCACTTTCAGAGTTTCTCCTGCAACCTGCGGTGCTTTCGACTCGTGCTTCTGTTTATGTCCATTGTATAGCTTCAAACTGTGGAGGACGATCGCCCTGATTAATAAACCTACGATGACGTCGGTGAACGAGAACAAAACTTTACCAAAAGCATGATGCAAAGTTATATTCGGGATTAGAAAAAAGGCGATTAAAGGGGAATACCTGTACGTGTTCCTGCTGTACGGCGAACCATAGTTTAAGACGTGCCTCGAAGCATCAGTGAATACTTTATAATCCACATCCGTGTAAGCCACAGACGCGTATTGATCATGATATAAGCCATAGGAGATAAAGCAGAAGCGAATTATCACTGCAAATATTATATGCCATAAGTAATGGATATTCTTAAAAATATTCCAAAATTTCCCAATCATTTTTATATAAATATGTGTTCCTTTTCTTATACCCTTCACACTACAATTATCTATAATTACAATCTAACGTTCATGCTCATCGCATTTTTTTGCAGGCAGGTCTTGAACTTTTTAAACTCTTCCATGCAATCATTCAAATTGACTGAATCCTTCTTCAATACACATTTCGCGTACACGCTACCTTCCGTTTTACATTTAGCTAGAACGACAGGGTACTGTCGGAATCTCGCTTTCGCTTTCTTTACGGATTCCATTAGTTAAACTTTTTGTATTTCTTTAAAATGTGCTCCTTCTGGAGATCCTCGAGGGTCGGCAAATCGGTTCGGAAGAAAATATCGTAAATGGGTTTGGAGAAGAACACCAACAGGGATGCGCTTGTGACAATTCCAACAAAGACTCTGGGATTCCTTTGTATCCAACTTAAATCCTTCAGCACTTTCCTTTCTCTCATCTCACTACTGTTTGGTTACTTTCGGCTGCTCCTGCTGTGGCTGCGCATACAAATACGCAAAACCTCCGCAAACGTAACTCTTTTCTCTCCACTTCAGACAACAATTTTTCATATCCTCTATGGCGTACTGGCAATCAGGTTCTTGGTACCTGTTAGCTGCGGAAAATCAAAACAAAAACATTCTTAATAAATATTATATAACTTCGGAATTACTAGGTTAGGTTATGTTGGGTTAAGATTGTTACATACATTTCAAGCATGCCTGAATCTTGCAGGCGTACGGTTTGCACGGATCTTTCTCTTTATTCATCAATTTCGACCTCGATTTTAGTATCCCAGTTAGTTATTTAGAACGAAAATAAGGCACTTCACTCCGGCTAAAATAACTTCTTTTTATTTCAATATTAATGACAAACGCAGACAGATGTCACCAGGGTTTCTCCATTTCATGCGTTACAATTTTATTTTGCTTTCATACAGTTGGCAAAACCTTTTAGCCAGCTGGTCTTGATTGGTCTTGATGAGTATAAAAAGAGGAACCGGATAAATTTTGAACCATTCTGAACCATTCATATTTTTTTCAAATGTTTACATTGTGATAAAACTTTATAACAGTTTGTTTTGGAGCTTCAAATTTTTGGTTTTATTTCGACAATTTTGATTTCGGCATTGAGAAGACAAGCAAGTAAGTAACATTTCGAAATATTTCTTCAATTATTCTTTATATATATATTGTGTATTAGGATGGTTAATGTTTGCTGCGTCAAAGGATGTTTTACAAAACAAGAGGACAAAATAGGGTTGAGATCATTTCCACCCATTGATTCTTTGTTATTTGAGCAGTGGAAAATTGCATCACGGAATGATTCACTGAAAGATATGGACTATCCACTTATAAGGAAAACTAAGAGAGTATGTAATCTTCATTTTCCTGCAAAGTACAGAAAGAGACCAATGTTCTTAAAGCATGATTATCCAATGTTGATAGAAAATATGAATGACACAGTTGTTGACGAAATTAATATTGTTGCTGATAGTAACAAAACTGTTGACAATAATCTTATTACTGTGGATCACTTGTATTGTAAAACAGTGCAAGTTGAGACTGAAAAAATGGATATTGTTACTGAATTGAATACTTGTATGGAAGAGAGAAAGGAAGTAAGTGTTATTAAGAATGTTAGTTTAAAAGAAAAAAGAAGAAGGCAATTGAAAAAAAGGGTTTCCTATTCAGATAATTTAAATATTAAATATAAAAAAGAATGCATAGCATTTGGAAATTTTAAAAAAATTAATATGAAGGTACAAAAATTTTTCAATCGTCATCTCATTAATGTAGAGAAGAAAAGCAGGGGAGAGTCAAATGACTTGGATGATAATATATTCACTCGCAACATATTTAGACAGAGCAGGAAACGTTATAGTTATCCGCTTAATTTACCATCAATAGCAACATTTAAAAGTAATCAAATTCGAGTGGATCCTGGTTTAAACGATAATGTTTTCAATATATTGAAGCAACACATTCGCAAGAAGAATGGAATTGAGGACAGATTAGTTACTCTTATTTTTGACGAGATGTCAGTTGTTCCTCACTTGGACTATCTGCCTAATAGAGGTACGGTTTGTGGATTTGAGGATGATGGCTACGAAAGGACATGTAGAATAGCAGATCATGCTCAGGTATTTATGGTGAGGAGTATCTACAGGAAGTGGAAACTTCCTGTAAGTTACAGTTTTACCCAAGGTACAACAAAATCCTCCACCATAGTACAATTTATAAAAGAAATTGTAACAAGATTGGTAGATATAGGGTATGTAGTTGCAGCATTTGTATGTGACCAAGGTCCTACAAATAGTGCTGCGATTAATATGCTTCTAGAAGATACAAAAAGAGAATACATTAAAGAAAATAAAAAACCTAAGAAAAATATAATAAGGATTTGTAATTGTGAAATTGTTCCTCTATTTGATATATGTGATATAATCAAATGCATGAGAAACCATTTATTAAACAAAAATTTAAAATTTACATTAGAAGGAGAAGCCTTAACAGCCAGTTGGGAGGATATAAAAACAACTTACTACATTGATGTTTCGAGAAGTTCACATTTCTTGAAAAAAATTTCAATAAGGCATATATATCCACAAAAAATTCCCAAGATGAAGATTTCTAAAGCAGTGCAAGTGTTTAGTTATACAGTATGTGCAACAATAGAAATTTACGTAGATAGTAAATTTTCATGTCCCAATGGCAGAAAACTTTCAGCAGAATCAAAGGGCACAGCTTCACTATGCTATTTTATCAATGATTTATTTGATAGTTTGAATTGTGGCGTAGTAAAAAGGATAAATGCAAAAAAGTGTGTGTACATGGGATCAAGGCATTTGCAGCTATGGTATGCGGCCAAAGAGGTGGTAAAAAGCATGAAATTTGTGAATAAGAGAAACGAAATGACTAAACAGCCAGCAGTCTTAAGAAATTTTGCAAAAACACTAGATAGTTACATAATGCTGCACTCTATTCTGTTAAAACGAATGAATTTTAAGTATATGCCAACCAGATCGTTCAATCAGGATCCTATGAAAAAATCGTTTGGCCAATTGAGAGAAACGAAAAGACCTTCATGTGTTTCGATTATCAATAGATTTTCAACATTATTAGTAAATAACGTTATTATTGCTAATGTTAGAGGCGAAATTAACAAATCTAACGGTTGTGAATCTATTATCGAAGATTTAAATGTATTTTTAAATGAAACGCACGAAGCATCGTCAAACCTATCAAAAATTATGATAGAATTGTCATTATCAAATAAACATATTCATGATGAACCGATTGAAGGGATCATTTTTTCCCATCTGTCGGTAGGTATTTTAAAACGAATGGAAAAATTGTTTGTGAAAAATAATTGTGCCATTTGCAACACAAATATCTTTGCAAGGAAAGAGATATCATTCACTGAATTGAAGCAGAAGAACTCTTATAATAGAAATTATTTGAGAAGATATTGTTCGGAGGTTCTTCTGCTCTCACTCATTAACATATTTAATATAACTTATCACATAATGCCTAACGTTTTACCAGAAAGATATGATCCTTATAAATTGTTAAAAGAATATTTAAAGGAAAAAATCGTTTGGAAATTTGAGATATGTGCACACACAAATGATCTAATCATCAAATTACTGGAAGAAGTTTCAAAAATTCTTTTTAGTAGGTATTTTCAAACTCTAAACGGAATTTTAAAATGTGATTCACAATTTGCTGATAAACAAGACAAGATACAACAAAGTTTTTTGAAATATGCTAGAAAGCATAAAAAGAACAGATGTTACTGAAATTATCATCAACAATATTAATAAATAAACAACTGTGTCATTTATGAGAGAGGAGTTCATTTACAAGACTGGAGAGGTAATTATTTAATAGTTTGAATAGTTCAACTTAATTACTATTAATAAATGTTTATTTCTTAGATTGGAGTTATGAAGCACGAGTAAACGTGGTGCATCAATTAGGAAAGAGATAATTATTTTGTAGTTTCAATAGTTTAACTTGATTACTATTAATAAATATTTGTTTCTTAAAATGGAGAGATGAAAATCGAGCAAACGAGGACCATCTATAAACGATGAGTTTGTTCATCATAATGCTAGAGAGATGGAAGACAATTTGTTAATTACTATTCTTAAATTTATTTATTTTTTTTATTTATATA